AACAAAATAGTCAATAAAATAATTACAAAAGGATTAGAAATTATACAAAACATGTCTTAACATTTCAACATTTCAAATGAGATAGATAGGTGGGCCTGTCTTTGTTTTTGTAGCGCGTTCCAGTCCAGGGTGGAGGAGGATTTTTTTTTTTTTTACTTTATTTTTATTAGGACATTTTAGTTATGTATATCACGCATTTACATACACAAATTTTTAGTATTGTGAAACAATAAATCATCAGACCGACCAACAAAAGGGAAAAAAAATAGGAGGAAATGAAAATAAAAATAAAATACGAGGTCATCAACATAGTGACACCTGCAAAGATGTATACAAATATTTTTACATTGAGTTTTGTTTTGATTGTGAGATTTCCACTTTTTCCAGTACAGTTCTCCTTTATCTGAGGAGTGTCTTAAAGAAAATGTTATTAGTTCCATAATCTGAATTTCGTTGATTTATATCAGTCCGTTCTGAAACAGTAGGAGCATTTCATTTTTGACGAATATCTCCCAACTTACTTTCTTTTCCAGTCATTAAAGCTAAAACAAAAAAGACATACAAGACAGAGTTCCTTAAATGTCTTGTCTTTTTATGTTATTTTTATTTATAAAGTCTTTATTCACATGGTTTTTTTTTTACTTTGTATGATTTCAGGAGTTTGCAGCCCTCACTAAAGAGCTGAACGTTTGTCGAGAGCATCTTCTGGAGAAGGAGGAGGAGATCGCAGAGCTCAAAGCCGAGAGGAACAACACACGGGTCAGTACAAAATATATACAGATATTTTATAAAGGGTTAATAATCAGTAGTTAAAATAGGAATATGGCAGCTGCTATCACAAATGTTAGTGTTACGATTATTGCCAAAGGAAACGTCACGATTTTAGTGAATATATTTATTTATTGACACCGTGACCAAACCACAGCGAAATTACATTCAAATCTAAAACATCACCATTCCTTTTTTATGTGACCAGCTTTGTAAAATCTAGCTTTCTGAATGACTACTACCAGATAAATGACACTTGACAAAAAAAAGTGAACCTCTTTTGACCATAGATTGTTGTTGAAATTCTTTTATACAATTTAAAATGTGACTTCAATCTTCACAGTTATTACTTACTAAATATTCTCAACATCCATAACTGGCAATATGCATAATTATAAATCTGAAATATCTAATAACTCAAATCATACACAATATGATGCTAGATAAAATAAACATTATCTAGTTTTAATTGGTTTGCAGTTTTGTGTTGGAGACAGTGTGGTGAGTGGAGTGTCAATCATTCTCATGTGTGTGTTTTGGAAATGTATTAAAATTAAATTCTTTTGGGAAAGTTTTGCAATTGTAATGGAAGAGGTATTTGGTTATAAAATACCCAATGACCCACGTGTTTTGTACTTGGGCTTGTTGCATGAAAACAACATTCAAACAGAAGACTTCTGTTTGATTAAAGTGATGCCCTTGGCTAGTGAGAAAGTAATAACAGGATGACCCTTTGAAATTACAGCAGTGGACAGATATAATGGAGGAAATTTATGGGATGGAAAAAATAACCTTTTATTTGAGACTGAAAGCTGCTAAATTTGAAAAAGCGGTGGTCCAAATGGTCTATTTATAAAGCTCACTCGAAAGTATGAGGTATTTTATTTTTCAGTTTTTCAGACTGTTTATTCTTTTATGTACATTTGCTAAAAATTTGAAAAAGCATAAATAAAAAGTAAAAAAAAAAAGTTTGAACAGTATACAACATTTAACTGATGCTGTTTCAAATAGTAAAGCTATACAGAAAAAAAAAAAGAAAAAAAAAAGGTGTTTCCTCCTCGATAAACATAACTGGAGTTCCTCATTGAAAACATAACTGGAGTTCTGTTTCTTAATACTCATGTGACTCCTTTCATGTGTCATGCGGTAATAAAGGAAGTGCTCTACTGTTTTTAAACTGCACACACCATCACTAGAATAATTTGAATAATTTCAGACCTGGTATTGCCCACCTCTCCTGAACTAAACTAATCTAAGACCTTACTTAGATTGATCTGTCTGTGTGTTGTAGCTGTTGCTGGAGCACCTGGAGTGCCTGGTCTCTCGTCATGAGCGCAGTCTGAGGATGACGGTGGTGAAGAGGCAGGCCCAGAGTCCAGCCGGAGTCTCCAGTGAAGTGGAGGTGCTCAAGGCTCTAAAGTCCCTGTTTGAACACCACAAAGCCCTGGACGAGAAGGTACGGGGACTATACACACGCAAGATTTAATGGAGTTTTCTTTAAAGATGGAGGATTACGCTAAATCAACTCTTTTTGAGCTTATATGGGTAGTCAATATGCCAAAAAAAAAAATCATATCAGGATTTTCAAAAACCAAGATTTCCATTTGATCAGATTTACTGTTAATATCTATATAAGTTATGGAGCTCAGCAGTCCACTTTGAAGTCCACACTATTTCTGGAAGTAAATTTTCCATTCATTTTCCCTATAGGCCTTTCCAAAAATTCAAATATTGAGTGTTGAAAAGCATCGCGGAGGCTAACCAGTTAATATACGCAGTAGTTTTAAGTCCAAAAAGCACATTTAAACTGCAAGATTCTGTGAAATGTTTTAAAACTTGGCGGTTTATAACATTTCAGAAACAGATTTTATCATACCATACCAACTTTATTTATAAAGCACTTTAAAACTTTACAGCTGGCCAAAGTGCTGTACACAAACACAGGATAGACTAGAACAATCGCAGTACAACACAATACACAATACAAACACAATACAACTACTAAAAAACATAGAAAACAATAAGATGCTGAACAACAAGAAATGTACAGCTCACTTGTTAAAAGCCAGTGAAAAAGGTGTGTTTTTAGGAGTGATTTACGAACATGTACAGACTCCACCCGTCTAATCTCTAAAGGCGACTGGTTCCAAAGTCGTGGGGCAGCAACAGAAAAAACACCATCCCTACGAAGCTCAAGTTTTGGGACGGTGAACAGGAGCTGTTCTGCTGACCCAAGAGTGCGAGAAGGGACATAAAGGTGAATCAGGTCAGCAAGGTAGTAGAAGTAAATAAAATAATTTAAAAAATCAACTCTATAAGACGCTGGGAGCCAGTGGAGGGAGGCTAAATTAGGTGAGATGCTCTCGTGTTTCTGGGTTAAAGTTAAAAGTCGAGCTGCTTAGTTTTGGACCCGTTGCAACCCGTTTTGAATAAAATTATTGGTCTTGTCATAATTAATCATCATGTAGCTGATTATCCCCGAGCTTTCAAACTTTTAATATGTATTTTTTTTAAGTCTATGGAAAAAGTGAAGGTAAATTTACTTCAAGAACCAGGGATTGGCGGCTACGAAGCCCCATTAAGAAGTCACCAAATGGTTGATTGGTTAAATTCACCTGACACTTACTCAGACTTTTCTCCACTCACTATTCCTATTGCCTTTTTCGTGTTCTGTGTTTGACGTATAGAGCTTCATTAAACAGAAGATCTATGAACTATGTGGTGATATCATCAAAAATACATATTAATCCAGCTCTGCAAATTTATGTCCCTGGATAGTGTTTGTTTTGTCAGCTTTTTCACCAGTGTAATATTTTTATAGAAGAAAACTAACAACAGTGATGATTAAAAGGTGTCAGATATTATGGAATGGATTATATTGCAATGTCTGTTTGGTTTGGAAGCTATGCAGAATTAGATCATATATTTGATATTCTACATACTCTAACAGAAAAACAAACCCTCATCTTTCTACTTTCCTTTTACATAGTTTTATTTCTTAATTTTAAAACGCATTTCTTCGTTTTGTAGGTGCGTGAGAGACTACGCGTCGCCTTGGAACGATGTAGCGCATTAGAAGAACAGTTAACCATCTCACACAAAGAGGTGAGTACCCATCCAAACATGTGAGAACCCTGTATTTCCCTGTAGGTTTGTATCTACCAGCAATGACGGGACTATTAGCAGCGACGGAATTTATCTCGAGGGTCAAAGGTCAGAGGACAATATAAACAAATGCTTGGAATGTCCTTATCTGGTCCTCCCTTATCTCTTACAGCTCTTCATTCAGATACCAGCGCACTCAGACACTAATAGGGCCGATAAAGACAGGATACCTTACACGTAGGACGGTCAAAAGTATCAAAAATCAGATACTAAGCGATAATAAAACACATATCGAAACTAGATAGTCATTTGAGCGGTTATAGATACTAAAACGGAGAGAAATTAACCCTCTCTCTTCTCTTTAGGATGATTAGAAGGGATTACACAGATAGAAGACCACATGGGAATAGAATAGAAAGTACTAAGATTTAATGTTGAAAATCACATTCTGCTGTCTAAATTAGAAGTGTTTTTAATTTCATTCATTTTGGTATCGGAGTCAGCATCAAGTCTATTCCTTAGTGTCTTAGTTGAGTTTGCAATTTTACTACAATGACAACAATAATATAAATAAAATACATGTGTGATATAGTGAAACATTTAAAAAGGTGTTGGCGTAAAATGCTCCACAATATGGCATTAAATTTTTGTATAACCATGGAGACAACCTGCTATAATCATGAAGACAGGTCAGATTGTTACCAGGCCACGTCACGGGTCAGATCTGTGGAGAGGCAACGCATGTTTTTCTACGCATTTTTGATCAACTTAATGAATGAATGAAATGAATCGCGTTTGAAATATTCGTGTCTTGATAACAATAATCGTTTAAGGTGGCAAGGGAAGTTTATTTGTGTAGCACAATTCGTACAAAGTGCTTTACAGAATTAAAAATACATAAAAATCATAATACAAACAAATCAAAACATAGATAATCATTATAAAATAAAAAAAAGAGAGACATTAAATGAGAGAGAAGAGTGCAGAATCAAAATCTTTGTCATATGCAGCTGAACAGAACAGTTTATTTATTTTTATTTTTTATTATGTTTAAGATATCACAGCTTGTACATCATAGTTATAAAGCTGATTACACGTATATGTTAGAGTCAACCAATATAGAAAAAAACTATATTAATAACAGAAACAATTATACATATACAATAAAAAAACAGATTCAAAATAAAAATAATCATCATCATAATCATAATCATAATAATACAGTAAAAACATCCTAAGTGTGCTGGAATAATAGAGCAAACATAGGTCTCCATCTCTTATTGAAAAGCTCTCTGTGTACTCTCAAAGAATAAGTGATTTGCTCCATCCGACAAATCTCTCTCACGTTTTAAATCCAAATATAATAATTGGGCAGATCAGGGCTCAACAGAACTGTTTTGAGACTGAATTTAAGCAGCGTCAAATTAGAGGCACATCTTGCATATTCAGCACGACTGTTCCAGGTTTTAGCTGCATGAATCTGAAACGCTGACTCCCCGTGTTTAGTCCTGACTCTGGGCACCAGCAGGAGGCCGGTCCCTGAGCTCCTCCAGAGTGCGAGATGGTTCATTCGGCATTAACGTGTCACAGATGTACTTTGGTGCTAAGCCATCGAGAGACTTGTACACAAACAGAGATGCACTGTGTAACATTTCTGGTGTAGGGTCCGCCACCTGTTTGTCTTCATGGAAATGTTATTGCTTTCTCTAAAATCTATCACGAGAGAGTAGAGGTGTAACGATACTTCATGGTACGATATTTATTGCGATATCGCAGGAAAGCTCATGAAATGGTGGGAAGGCTCACGATTAGGGATGTAACAGTGTCCAAATCTCTTATATTTACGCAATATTTTCACAATATACATCTCACGGTAAGATATTTATTGCGATATTTTCTTGAGGCTAAAACTGTTAATATGCGACTTTTTCTTCTTAAAACGCCTTGATAAGACTTAATCCAAAGAACTAAGACTTAAAAGTGCTTATAACTGTTATTTCTTCTTGTAGTCTGCACTGAAATGGAGCAAAGGATCATGGTCTATGTAGTTCCCTCAGTCTTTTTTTTAGCTATTACTGCACCATAACTTTTAATTTAAGCAAAGAGACTTGTAATTCGATATATTGTGACGATATTTTGGTTATTGTTACATCCCTACAGGAGAGACAAGAAGGTTACAGCACTACGCTACATTACAAATCAGATCTGTGGAGAGTCACCCCCATTCACAGAAGGAATTATTGTATATTTTCAGCAATAGAAACACCTACAATTAATAAATGCTAGATGGATGTGTTTAATGTCATACTGTGGAACATTCTAGGACCCTCCACCAGAAAAGTTACCACCTTTTAATGTTCAGGAGATGAATTCAGTATTAAACACCATTTTTATTAGTTTTAATAAGGCAAAAGATGAAAAAACATGATTCATTTTTTGTCACAGACCCGTCCCTGCTCATCGTACACACACAGAGTATTGCGAAAGTGATCTAAAACATCATAATTTTTGTCACGCCCTGCTCAATAATGCTCGCCATGTGCTAATCCCACAGAATGCCGTGATTTAGCTGTTCATTTCCAAACTGCGTGGTGCATTTGCTCTGCTGAGATGAGTGACAGGGACAGACCCAGGGGACAGAGATGTGGCCTAGTTTCCTCCTCTCCGCTGCAGTCACCTTTTGTTCAATGCACAGAGCCTCTAACCAACCACTACATCCACTCACAATACAACTGTCGCGGATTTCTATGGGCGCTCGTCTTGAGGCCGCTTCTTTCCATTTTAACAGCTATTTTAACCTACATATATGATACATTTGTGGTGCAGTAAATCTTATGTTTAGTGGTGAGGTTTGCACACTATTTTGCACTGCTTTTGGTAAATAATTTTCACCAATGTTCACTTAAAAATTCAGAAGCCACTAGTTTTCCAAGTGTCAAAACAACAAAACAAGGACAGAAGGAGGGTAAAATAGGTTTGCATTAAGTAAAGTATTACTAAACCAGATATTTTGACACTGAATTTTGAGTTTTCATAAGCCATAATAATAAAAAATTCAAGAAATAAAGGCTTGAAAGCTTCACTCTGTGTCATGAATCTATATAATATGTTGCTTTTGTCTTTCTGAAATGAGTCACTAAAAATATTGACATTTTTCATCATATTCAAATTTTTTAACCTAGTGGTCGTTTGTGGTTGCCTAGTCGTTTAGTGGTGAAGGTTGCTCACTAAAATGCTTTTATTTTGAACAGTAACTGTGATGGAAATTGCAATATTTTGGTAAATACATTTGACCAATGTTCACTTCAAATACCATATAGGTGTCCAATAGTGATAAAACAACAAAACAAGGACAAAAACAGGGTAAAATAAGTTTGCATGTTGTAAAGTATTATTAAACCAGACCTTTTGACATTGAATTTAGGGTTTTCATAAGCAATAATCATAAAAAATTGAAGAAATAAAGGCTTGAAAGCTTCATTCTGTGTCATGAATCTATATAATATACTGTTTTGACTTTCTGAAATGAGTCACTAAAAATATTGACATTTTTCATGATATTCAAATTTTTTTAACCTAATGTAAGATTTTAAAAAAGTTTCAATATATCGGATTATAATTTAGGCATATTACCAATCATAATTTATAGTTCTTATGCAACCTGACCAGTGTTAAAGTCATTACAGAGTGGACAGATTAAAGAAACAACAACAAAACAATTTCTATTTTGAATGTAGTAACCAACCATTACATTCACTCACAATACAACTGCCTTGGATTATTATTGGGGCTCGTCTTAAGGCTGATTCTTGCTATTTTAACAGTGCTAAACTACATACGATATATTTATGGTGCAGTAAATCATTTAGTGGTGAAGGTTGTGCTCTAAAATGCTTTTATTTTGATCAGTAACTGTGATGCACATTGCATTATTTTGGTAAATAAATTTCACTGATGTTCACTTCAAATGCCACATAGTTGTCCAACAGTGTCAAAACAACAAAACAAGGACAAAAAGAGCATAAAATAGGTTTGCATTTTGTAAAGTATTACTGAACAAGACCTTTTGACATTGAATGTTGAGTTTTCATAGCCAAAATTTCAAGAAAGAAAGTCTTGAAATCTATATAATATACTGTTTTGGCTTTCTAAAATGAGTCACAAAAAATAGTGATATTTTTCATAATATTCAAATTTTTTTAAATTTACCTGTAAACTCACCTAATGTAAGACTTTTTTTTTTTTTTTTTTTTTTTAAGTGTAAATATATTACATTTTTATGCTATTATAATTTAGGGACATTAATAAATAATGGTTGTTACATTATTTATAGCTATTTTGCAGCCTGGCTACTGTTAAATTCATTCATGAGAAACAACAAGAAGACAATTTCCATTTTGAATGTACTAACCCACCAGCTACATTGACCAGACCAGACCTTTTGACATTGAATTTTGAGTTTTCATAAGCCAAAATTTCATGAAATAAAGGCTTGAAAGCTTCAGTTCTCTACATTTATGGTGCAGTAAATCTTACCTGTTCCAATGAGTATCTAGTTTCAATACTTGTTTTAACATTGATTAGTTTTTTTTCAATACTTTTGACAGCCCAAGTATAATTAAACCTGACCTTAGGCTTTGTAAGAATCTGTCGGCTCAAGCAGAAATATTTGAAGCCTTTCTATTTTGTAGACGTACACTTAACTCTCTCCAAGATGTTTAATAATTTTTCTGTAACTGGATGAAGTGAGGGACTAATAAATGTAGTTTTAAATTATTGTATGAATTTAATATATTTTTGATTGTTTTTTTTTCAGTTGTCTTACCTCAGGGAACAGAACAATATAAAGCGAGGTCAGGCCGATGGAACCAGCGAAGTCAACCACAGCGAGAGCATCCCCAGCACCAACGGAAAGGTACGAAGAAAAAAAATCTGTAAAAATACAAAAGTGCAGTATCATTCATAACAAACTATAGTCTATAGTCTTTAAAGGATAAAACAGATCAGCCTTAAATATGGTCTCAGAAGCTATTAGTTCGTTAAAAAGACAAATTTGGCACTAAACCAGAACTAAATAGTAGGATTTTTATTCACCTTATTCCAGAAGTTGCCGTGGGTGACGCCATAGTCTTTCTAGTTATATTACTTTGCACGAGGCTTCCGACATTGAATAAGCTCGATAGACATAATTAGACTTAAACTTGGACAAACTTCATTGATCCACAAGGGGAATTATTTGGACACAGTAGCTCACACATCACAAAATATTATAATAACAAAGAGTAAAACACAAAAATGGTGATAATACATTCACAGGTATCAAAAATAACAAGAGACGGTGTCAAATAAGGCATAATTATATAAATGTATATGTACAAATCAAAATAAAATAGTAATAGAAACATATATTTCAGCTTTATACAAGAAGTTGTAAGGAAAAACAGTGCAAAAATGATATGATGATTGACAGGACATAGGGTTATCTGTTACATAAGGGTGAGTTGTTGTTGTAGAGTCGTAGGGAGTATGGTATGAATGTACTCCTGTCCTACACACACTATATACTTTCTATACAGACTCTATACAGTTTTAAAGCCTCCCAGAGAATCAGTGCAGTGTTGACTTATTGGTGCACATGAACATTGAACGGTTTACACAAATGAACTTTCTTTATTTCAAATTTTAGTTGCTAAACTTTCCCCAAGTTCTTGATTAAAATAAATGGGATTCTCACATAACTCAAAGTGCCATTACAAAGAAAGCACGGTTTAGTTGCGTTTATTTATGTAGCTGTTACTTATGTCTCAAGTAACATTATGAGACTTTCTCTGCCAACACGTAAACAGTCCAATGTCCAACTAGGATATCGACCGAACCAGTATTTGAATCGGTGCATTTGTCCAAGTTATAACATCTCCATGTAAACTTTCCCCAAAGTCTCAATTGAAATAAATGGGATCCTCACATAACTCAAAGTGGCATTACAAAGAAAGCACAGTTTAGTTGCATTTATGGCAAAAAAAACAAAAAACAAACTCAATCCACAGAGTAGAGAGATATTTGTATTACTATAGTTCTATTGTTTTTATTTTTACTGGTACATATACATTTATATAATTATGCCTTATTTGACACCAGTCTCTTGTTATTTTTGTTACTTTGCTATAGGCGAGTTTGAGCTGACGTCATTGTTATTGTTGCATGCTGGGAAATATTTTGGTCGGAGGCAAGAAACACGATAGCGGTCAAACACAGTGCGCAACCTCGCGTATTTATCCCCGATAATGGTAAATTCCTGCTGCATTATCGGATGCACAAATAGAAGCACGGAAGAAGGAAAATGTCTTTTTCGTATTCTGAGTGAAAAGAACCGCTAACGGCGAATTAAATGACTTTCAAAGATTCGCAAAGCAAACGTAGAAGATCCTAACAAACTGTTCCAACAAGTTCAACAACGCATCGAGACTCTTGGAGGTTTTCATCTTTTCTGCTGTGAATGGCCCAGGAGTTTCCACCAAGTCATTGTGGATATCGCCCAAGTGAATATTTGTCCAGGTAGTTGGCGATTCCGACCAGAAATTTGGTTTGGTCCACCTTTTGTCGGGGTTGAAAAGGGTGATTTGGCGTCCATCGATGCTTATGACCAATTTCTGGTCAAATGGTCTTGGGTCCTCTGCCGTTAGAGTGGATAAATAACCGGGATCAATACCCTTTACGTGCTTTCTCGCTCCGTCCGTCATGTTGAATTAGTGTTTCTTACCACTGACCAAAATAATTCCCAGCATGCAACGCGCGCTTTTGTCAACAATGAAACTCGCCTATTTTGAATTACCTTTTATATTTTTGTTATTATATTATATTGTGATGTGTGAGCTACTGTGTCCAAATAATTCCCCTTGTGGATCAATAAAGTTTGTCTAAGTCTAAGTCTGCCAACACCCGTGCCAGTCTGAGGAGGCATCGTGTGGATAAAACAATGGCCGTGACCTGCTGGCCTTTTTATGCCAAGATTGTTCCACTTAAACTGATTAATGAAGTCATTAATCAGTTTAAGTGGAAGTGGAGGTTTAAGTTACACAAATCTCTCTTCTGTGTTAACTGGTGTTGACATTCTGAGTTGAACGGCTTCCGAGTGGAGATGCACAATTAATCGTTATTTAATCCAAATCGCAATTTGAGTTTGTGCAATTACTAAAGGTGCATTGTGTAACTTTTCTGGTGGAGGGTCTGTTAAATGTTTTTTCTCCATGGAGATGTTATTGCTGTGTATGGAATGTTTCACAGTATGGCATTAAACCTTTCTGTCTGCATGGAGACCAAACCAGACCAAGTTACAGGTCAGATCTGTGGAGAGGCGACCCTGCTCACAGTCAGAATGATGTTTTTCTAGGTGTTTTTGAGCTATAAAACCACCTGTAATTGAATAAATGTGAAATAGAGCTGTTTAATGTCACACTGTGGAACATTCCAAGCAGAGATACACACATACATACATGTGCATAGAAACAAGCAGCAGGTGACGGGCTCTCCACCAGAAAAGTTACAAAATGTGCTTTTAAATACAAAGGCAGAATATTTTTGGAGAGTATCCTCTACAAAGAACAAAATGTCCTGTCTTTATTTAAAACACTTGTACCTGTAGTTTAAACCTCTACAAACATGTGAAAGGCAGAAGAATGCTATTTTTAAACATTTATCACGAATCACTAGGAATGTAACAATAACCGAAATATTGTAGTATCGTAACATCAAAAGTCTCACAATAATATCATAGGGTGTCACAATATGTTGAATTACAAGTTCCTTTGCTTAAATACATGGTTTTATAGTAGCAACAGCTTATAAACATCGGGAACTACATATCCCATGATTCATTTCAGCGCAAATAACATGAAATATGTTTTTTACTTGAATTCTTGAGATTGTGACAGTAATAATTCATGTCTAAATCTTGTGAAGGTATTTTACAAAGAAAAAAAGTGTTCCATCTACAATTATTTCAGCCTCTCCAAAATATCACAATAAATATCGTACCGTGAGATGCATATCGTGTTAATATCGTATCAAGAGATTTTGATTTCATTACAGCCCTACAAATCACAATCACAATACTTAGCCAGAGTGTTAACAGCTTTCATCTTCTGGTTTTCACTGATTTGCTTAAGGTATTTACAGATTAATGCGTGACACTGGTATAAGAACAGTTCTGCTAAATTATTGTTAATATTATTTTCTTGAGTCAATAAAAAATGAAAATGACACAATGTAAATGGGAATTCAGAAAACATTTATTGCTAAAGGAAAGGGAATCTACAGTACCAGGTTTTATTTTTACTACTTTGTACATTTTAGGTACATATGGAAGACATCAAATATATGAAGCAAAATATACAGAATTATAAATTAAAGACAAATGCAACTAAATCTTTTTCGACAAAGGAAAGGGTGGTTACTTTGAGGATTCAAATATAAAAAAAAATGTTGTAGTTATTTCCATATATCTTGCTTCATGTATTTGATGTCTTCCATATGTATCTAAAAGTGGTAAAAGTAAAGAAAAAAAACATGACTGATCGCGTCCATACCCATACAGAGGGAATTTTCCACCTGCTCTAATCACACAAATCTGTATTCCTTCCACAGCGCGCGTCAGACGACTCTCTCAGTCAGGAGGAGGACATAGCGCCCCCTGTGGTCGGTAAAGTGGGCGAGCTGCAGCAGGTGGTGGACAGGCAGACCGCCGACCTGGGGCAGATGAAGGAGCGGATGGCTGCGATGGCGTCTCGGATCAATGAGCTGGAAGAGGATCTGGACACGGCCAGAAAAGACCTCATCAAGTCTGAGGACATGAACACGAGACTCCAGAGGGACCTGAGAGAGGTGGGTCAAAGGTCGAAGGTCAAAGGGCCCAAATTACGCCATTACTGATCGATGTCATAATGTTGTTTCGTCGTCAAAAACATATCGCAGTTGTGTTTTATTTCATTCATACATGTTTAACACACAAACCCTTCTTCTCTCAAACGGAAAACACTCTGTTCCACCTTGTGATGTCATGTGGTATTACAAGAAGTGCTCCACTGTGTTTTTAAACTCCATACACCTTCACTAGTAACATTTGGATCATTTCAGCCTAGAAATTTCCAATCTCTACAAAATAAAAGGTAAAAGGCTACTTTGAAAACTACTATTACACTATCACAAGATGGAACAGAGCATTTTGAGATATGGAGATGTAGAGAGACTAATAATAAAAGCTGACTTAGACATGTGTGAATAAAAAAAAACAACAACACACAACACCAGGTTTGTTTTTGAGGAGGTAACAACATTATAACATGGCTTAAAGCTCACAGGAATCAATTTATCGTACCATATTTTCCACACTTTACAGCGCTCTGGATTATAAGGCGCACTGTTATTGAATGGTCTATTTTCAAACTTTTTTCACATATAAACCACACCAGACTATAAGGCGCATTAAATGAAACACAACAGTTAGATAAGTCAGTCAAACTTTATTTAATGTGTTCACAATAACTCTCAACTTTGTTCAGTAACGCGTAAAAAAAATACTGTCTGAGACCGCTAAAGCATATTCACAGTAACTCATAATTGTTCAAACAGTTGGGCGATTACGGCGTCCAGCACGCCCGCATCCCTCTCGCATTCCGGTCTTGGTGAAAGCTCGGACCACAGTTGATACTGATCATTAGCCCAGGCGTCCACGATCCGTTGGCAGATCGTGTCGTAATTCGCTCGGCGCTGTCTCACTGTCTTGGTGAATGTGTGTTCGTCTTCTCTCATCCACTGCTCCCACACAGCTTAACTTTAACTTTATAACAGCCTTAAAGTGGGCGTTGTAAGTGTGTCTCTTGACAGGTGCATTTTGATATTAAAAGGAATCGCAGTATGTATTACTCCTGATGCTCCTGACTCCTGTTGCAAGTGGAGCGACTTTGTAGTTTACTAAAGTCGTACTAAGACACCCCAATAAATTCATATATAAGGCGCTCTGGATTATAAGGCGTGCAGTCGTTTTTTGAATAAAGGCTTTTAAGTGCACCCTATAGTGCAGAAAATACAGTAATATAGGATCTTTTAAAACAAACATTAGTGCAAGGAAGGGTGGGCAAACTGGCTAAAACTAAACAGATGATTTGAATTTGTGATGTTTTTTCATACTTATACTACTGTTACTTAGAGTTTACACCAAGTAAAGGCAATAATCCAAGTTTCATCTCCATTTCCAGTCGATGGCGCAGAAGGACGACATGGAGGAGAGGATCACGACTCTGGAGAAGCGATACCTGGCGGCTCAGAGAGAGGCCACATCAGTCCACGACCTCAACGACAAACTGGAGAACGAAGTGGCCAACAAGGATTCCCTCTTCAGACAGGTGAAGTTCAATATTATACAATTCCTTCTATTGACTTTTAAAACCTTTTAAGCATACATAAACATTGCACTAAAAAACAAAAGGACAGCAGGGTCTATCAAATGTAAAAATGGTGCCAAAGAATATACAATTAAATTAAAATAATGGACATACTTATCAATTTCAATGAGAGATCAGAAATCAGATACAATAGGATAGATAAAATGGTCAGAGAAATTAGCAAAAAAGATATGTGAAGGTCATAATAACAGTAATATTTTGGTAGAGTGCTCAAATTGATCATTTCTGCATGTTAATTACACCATCAGTCAAACTGTAATGAATGTAATAAAAACTTTAAGTTGACTACTTTCTACATTTAAGATGCAAATGGGAGACATCATATTAAAAGCAAGATGCTGATGAAAAGTAAAGTAAAATGAATATTTATTTTTTATATTTTATATTCAAATCTTCCAAGTATGCATCCTTTGCAAATCTTTGGCCTTCTCTCATTAAGGTTCCTGTCTCCTGAAATGGTTTTCACTTCACAGCTGTGCCACGTCAGGCTCAAGAAATGCCAAAAGTGCAAAGCAGTGACCAAAGTAAAGGGTGGATATTTAAAATAAAAATAAAATAAAAATCTAATCAAATATTATTATTCCATGTCCATGTGTCTATTCATAGTTTTTATGCCTTCAGTGATCATCTACAATGGAAATAATCATGGAAGTAAAGAAAGGAAAAAAATGAACAGGTGTATCCAGACTTTTGACTCACAGTGTGTATATTTAGTCTTATCCGATTCTCTGACCTCTGGCTCTGCGTGGGCGTAAAAGTGAAAATTTCCACGATTACGCCTTTGTTTTGTTTACCCTGGGATCAGATCAGACGCACTTCCGTATTTACACAGGGAAAAGATTACATCACGTCCTCCTGCACTGAAATACACACATGCGTCACAAGATTAGGCTGTGTTTTTAAGGCTCTAACTGACAATATACAATTAATTCATGCAGAAAATGCCCCATTTGCATTGGATGAAACAATAGGTCATATTTATCTTGTGTATCTCAGTGTGTCTCACCCAAACTGCACCCATAAGATTACACCTGCAGAGGAGCTCATGCAAAAATGACTATTCTGTTCAAACTAAACTAAAATAAGACAAAACTGACCCAAATGTAGCTGTTATTTGTCTTTCAAGTAACTATAGAGTGACTTTGTAGAAATAAAAGTTCAAACATTATGAGGCCAACACGTAAATAGTTGTATAACATCAGTTTAAAAGTCCAATCAGGATATCGGCTGTACCAATTTTTGGATCAGGGCATCTGTCCAAGTTATAACATCTCCATGTAAACAAGGACATGGACCGTCTTTTAAAATGTTTCACTATATCTCACATATTTCTATCTTTTCAGACTGAGGATAGAAATCGTCAGCTTCAGGAGAAACTAGAGTTGGCTGAACAGAAGCTGCAGCAGACGATCCGAAAAGCAGAGACTCTCCCAGAGGTGGAGGCGGAGCTCGCTCAGAGAGTGGCGGCTCTTACCAAGGTACTGCACCAACCCGACACAGGCCGTTAAAGAAGAGATGTTATGATTATTTATTACAAACGTACTCAGAGTTGTTTTGTTTCATTCACACATGTTTAACGCTGCAGTTCTCTTAAACAGAAAACACCTTCACTAGAATAATTTGGGTAATTTCATACCTGGAATTGACAATCTCTACTGAACTAAAGGTTAAAGTTGCTGTTAATTACCACTACATGACATCAAAAGGTGGCACAGAGCATTTTGAGCTATAGAGATGTAGACAAACTAATAATAAATGATTACTCAAACGTGTGTGAATGAAACAAAACACAACTCTAAGTCTGTTTTTGATGAGGTCACAACATTATAGCGTGTCTTAAAGCTCACAAGATCAAATGAAACAGAAAACCACACCAAAGTTCTTGTAGAAGTGCAAATGCAAGGAACAGCAAAATAAAAGTGAAAAAATGCACAGCACACTCAGATGGCCGATGTCCAAAAGATTTTTTTTATTATTAAATAACGTTTTGGCAAAAAAGCCTTCCTCAGAAGCAAGGAAAATGTTCTGTGAAAGACTTTTTGGCCGAAACGTTGTTACATTGTGTTCATTGAAATCAAAATTTGGGAGCTTCAAAGAACGGCAGTACAGACCTTTCTTTTTTGGGACTATTTTTGCCTTTGGACCCAGCACGCAGTTGCATTTTTTGTTGGATGTGCATGTCTCTTAGCATGATCTATCAGCTGGTTTCACTTCGTGGAAACTAACTGACCTCGCAGCATTAGGATTCATTCACTTGACGGTAGACGGGTACTTTTTTCATTTAACCAATCGCTGCCAGTTGGTCGTGACGTATGTAATGCGCTGCTAACAGGGCTAACTGCTATATTAAGCTTATCCCTAATCCCATAGGAAGAAGGACAATAACGTCTTTCCCCCTGATAAAATTCACCAAACATTCTCTTTGTTCCGGCTTTAAATCCTCGATTTCAGGAATCGTTGCCAACACAGAAAGTATGGCTCTTCGCTGATTGGCCGGTGCCCGAACTCGCACTTCTGGTGTTTTTGCGAACCGTCTAGTGTATTCCGATTCCTGACCTAGTCGCTGTAAAGAAATTAAATTGAGCGGAGGCACTAGGTGGCTCCAACCTGGCTACATGTCTCTGTCTAGCAGTACAAAATGTTATTTAAAAATAAAAAGAGCTTTTGGACATCAGCCATCTGAGTGTTCTATGCATTTCTTCACTTTTATTAAAGCTCACAAGAGTCAATTTTGTGTAATTCGGGAACTTTAAAGAAGCCTCCAACCCCCTCCAATCATTCACACACAGACACCACTTTCATGCTAAGGCAATGCAGGTGAAGTGTCTTGCTTAAGGACACAACAACAGAGCAGGAATGAACTGCGCAGGAATCGATCATCCAACCCTCTGGTCCACGGCTCTAACCACTGTCGCTCAGCAGCAATTCTCAGTCGTAGCTGCCGTTTCACATGTAGAGTAAACAGTCAGAGTACTTTTGAGAGAACCAGTCTATTTCCAACTGCAGGATCTCCCCCGAGAGGAAGTACTTGGGCATTGTGTGTATAGTTAGAACAGCGTTAGCTCAGCACTACCTCAGCCCCTGTCCCTTTATAGTGATACCTATTACAGTAAATTCAGAAGGGGAAGCTGCTGAGGAAGCCTTTGTTTATGTGACTAATGTAATACTCACTGGAGTCTATTTTTAGCGTGGCCTTGTGTCTTTTACCCATTTATAGTTTGAGTTTTGTCTTGGAATTGCAGCCGTGAGTTCAGACCTTATTTGTATTTGCGCTCCACACGCCGCAGCGACTTGGACGTCATTCGGGCTCTGGGCCTCGTCTGGTTTGATTTAAACACTTAATATTCCAGGTCATGTTATTGGGGCAGTCGGGCAGTTTTAAAATATGTCACATGATTAAAGTAAGTCCATGAAACATTACAGACTGATAAAATTCCTGTTAATTGAAAAGTAAAGGTTCTACCTACTTATTATTATTGTTCATATTAATTACAAACACACAATACACAGTGACAGCTCTTTATGCACAATTTAAAGTCATGAAATCGCACTTGAAACTGTTCATATAAAGTCTTCTGCATTAAATAAAGATAAAACTTTGCCATTAGGTCTTAAATCTAAACTACAAGGTCAGTAGGTTATAAAAATTAAAGGGATTCTGCTTAAACATGAGCGACCAACAATTGAGAACTGGATTGACACTGTGCAAGAGATCTACACGATGAAAAAGGTTTCATCTTTATTGAAAGTGCAGCTGGACTTATTTTACAAGATGTGATCTAAATGGACAGAGTATGTAAAGCTGGTGAGATCAGACTTCATATAAAACTACTTCACAGTTGCAATATTCTGTTAATTTCTGGAAGACGTTCCCTGGCTTCCCAACCTGTTCTGAGTTTGTATACGTTTTAAAAATGTAAACACAGGAACATGTGATTTCAATTTACACATTGCAAGGTGTAATCTGCTTTACAGTTTAGCAGATCCCAAATATTCAGGATGTTTTTGAAATGCAGACTCTGAAATTAATTTTGATGTAAAAAAAATTATTACAAATATTTCAGTGAACATTTTTGCAGCTTCTGATGTGCTAAAAATAAATACTTGTTCATTGTTCATTCTTTATTTATACTTGTTGTTTTGTGTCAAGATGTGTGTCTCAAGTTCAACCCACAATTCCTGGTAAAACGTAAACAGGAAGTGCCAACAGTTTAATCACTTAAGGCCCCACCCATAGTGCCCAGCGACATCAAGACATGAAAATTATAAAATGTTTTTTATGAATTTACGAATTACTTAAGGATGCACTGCTCAGCTTTTTCCATGTATTTATTTATTTATTCCATTTATTCATTTTATATTGGTCAGAAATACAGTAATTCATTATAGATAAATTTAATCTTTACTGTGGAACATTTTAGACAAAGCAATAAGATTTCCATGGAGAGAAATGTTACACAGTGCATCTTTAATTACCCAACTGTGCAATCTTTAAGTCCTGAATACAAGATTTACTCAGTCTGAAATCTAAAAGGAAATATAACTGTTACCTGAAGATTTTTAATGAAAGCACTGAAGTGTTTGAAGATATGTTTTTTTATTTTCTGGAACATAAACAAAAGTCATCAATGATTATTTTATTGTTGTTTACAGGCGGAGGAGCGTCACGGGAACGTGGAGGAGCGGTTACGACAACTTGAGGCTCAACTGGAAGAGAAGAACCAGGAACTGCTCCGGGTAAGAGAGAGCGAAAAGACTGAAAATATGACTAAATCTTCCTTTTATTGTATTTATCAAGGGAGTGAAGTTTTGGTTTATCACAATAATCAGAATATAACAAAACAAAAAAAAACTGTGACAGCTTTAGAAGCAAAAGTACATTATTTCAATTTGATCTATACTCCTCAATCATTCAGAAAGTTAGATTTTTCATAAACCTGGTCAGGAATCGTAGTGTGTGCATGGATTTCAGCTTCCTGTTGTATTATGCAACATTTTCAGGACTTTTTTTCCATTGTAAAGATAAAAGATTATTTTTAGATTCTTAATCACTATGGCAGGGGTGTCCAACCTGTAGCTCAGGAGCTATCAGTAGCTCTTCACTCCCTTCCAAGTAGCTCGCCAAAGGATTTCTGAATTATGTGCGTTGTAAATATGTCATTTTGATGCCGCACTAATAAATGAATAATGGTTTACTTTTTAATAGGCATCTTAACTGTACAAAGTCTAAAGCTTGCCATCGCACTTCTACTTTCTTAATTTCTTGCAACCACTAAAATGTGTAGCTCTCTGGCATTTTCGTTTTTATGAAGATAGCTCAACAGAGGAAAAAAGCTGGAGACCCCTGCACTGTGGCAACAATCTTAATTTGTCATCATTCTAAAACCCATTGCCTGGACTTCGTAATACACACTTCGTCAATACATAGATGAGAGTCTGGTCTTCAGTGAATCTCCCTGAGTTCAAAAGAGAGTGATTGCCAGGTCGATTAGCCAATCAGGGAGAAGCATGAGCCATCTGTATCAGGAAAAATAAAGGAAAAAGTGTCACAGGGGGCTGAAAAACATTGCAGATTTCTGAGCAAAGGGCTAAAGTTTGCTAATCTGAGGTGAGAGAAATGTAATTTTGTTTATAAATGAAATGTGACCAATGAGCTCATTTCGTTTCACGTAAGTCACTGAAATAAACAAATCTGATTGGACGATTATGCTTGGTTCTGGCTCGAGACACGACTGAGGGTGTGAGCACCAGACTGCTGTAAGTCTGTATAAAAAAATACAGAGAGAGATCAGTCTGGATTTATCAGGCAGTGAAATGATGTGAATAATGATGTACTAGACAGTGTGTATGAAAGAAAATCAAAGACTTGCTTTTTGGTCGTACTGTACTGTGAATTGTGAGGTTTCTTTTTGGAATAACAGTAACTAAAAATTCTATGTATGCATATTTTAGGCGCGACAGAGAGAAAAGATGAACGAGGAACACAACAAGCGCCTCTCTGAAACTGTGGACAAACTTTTATCTGAGTCTAACGAGAGGCTACAGCTCCACCTAAAGGAGAGGATGTCTGCACTGGAGGAGAAGGTACATGAGCAAATGCATCAATGTTTGTTTCTTTGTGTAAAAATGTTAAGAAACTGAAAGTGAATTGTTAACTTGTTGTATTTTTTTTGCCTAATATAGGACTTTTAACTCTTGTTTTGTCTTTGCCCAGAACTCCCTCATTAGAGAACTAGATCACACTAAGAAGTTGATTGAGGAGTCGCACCATGAAAAGGTAAAGAAACATGAATTTACAGTACAGATATTTCACTTTATACAGTTTTAAAGATGCACTGTGTAATCTGTAATTTAATACATGTAAGATAGATCTGTTTAATGTCATACTGTGGAACATTCTAAGCAGATTAGTGACATATCCATAGAAAAAAGCAGGTGACCCCCAAACAAAAAGTTACACAATGCACCTTTACAGTGTCTAAATATAATGCCATGATATTTTGTTTTTCAGGAACAGCTGCTGATCCAGATTGAAACCATGAGAGCAGAAAGTGAACAGGACAGGAGCCGGAGCAACTCACTACTGCACGGGTCAGTCTAGTCCACTTAAATGAAAACAATAAAACATAGATCATGCTGCCACTTTTGCGGATGTCATAAACTAAATATTATCGGAAAGCACTCGCACATTCCTACATCATGGGGAGGGTTCCAGGTCACTGACAGTATGCCCCGCCCTGCCCCTTTTTGGTAATAACTGTTCGCTTTTTGCATTAGATATTTTTATGCATGTAACACTGCAGTATAAACTCGAGATGTGTGAAGAATCCCTCAGTCGTCCAGGTAGAATCCATGTGCAGTATAAAGCAGTTTGTCTTAAGACCCGCTTTTACTCTCTGGCTTTTATGACCACGTGAGTTGTGTGGTCCTCTGTGTCTTTTATTTAGTTTTATTTAATTTTTTATTTGATTTTATTCAAATCTCCTATGGCCATGAGCGTTTGATAATGACCGAAAGGACAAGATCGCAGAAACAGGCGGTCAAAATGAGTTTCCTCTGCAGGGTGGCTGGGTGCTATTTTAAAGATAGGGTGAGGAGCTCACTTCCACGGGAGGAGCTCGGAGTAGAGCCGCTGCTCCTCCACGTTGAGAGGAGGAGGAGTGGAGGAAGTGTGTTTTGAGAAGGAAGTTTGGGACTCCTTGTTCTTGCTACTGCCTCCACGACCCGTCCTGGATAAAGCGGAAAACAATGGATGGATTTTATTCATTTTAAAAATCATTTTTAGTAGCTTCATGCATTTTAACACTTTTTATTTATTGATTTTATTTATGATTTACTGTCTTTTTATTTGTCTATTAATTTGTCTGTGGGGCACTTTGGAAACTGTCATGTTTATAAAATGTGCTATATAAAGTACAGTCAGTGCTCAGCATCCTCCTATGAAGTCTTCTTATGCTTTGCTCAGCCTTACAATTAGGGATAGGAAGATGTGTGTTTTTTTTTAGCCGATATCAATATCCTACTGTATATTTTGCCCATACCTATATTCCACGTTTAAAATTTCTAGAGAGGCCCACTAATGAGTCTTAAATTAAAGTAACGATCACAAATAAACTAAATTAAAATAACAAATAACAAAATGTAAAGGATGTAGAAGGATATAAAATAATTTGTTACATATTTGTGTAAACGTACAGCCATATAATTTGGTCTGTTCAAAAAGAGCACTCAGAAACAATGGCAGAACACACACACACAAAAAAAAATCTCTTGAATCAGTATCATGGCAAATTTGTGTTGATATTGGTTGGTACTGGAGCTGATAATATTGCCCATCCCTTTTTATAATACTAATAAGCTTTTCAACAGCTTATGGCGCTCTGGTACAATTAAAATACATACATAACTACAGTTTATTCTTACAGGGATCAGTCATAGTTTGTTAAATGGATTAACTCAATATAACAAATAATCTCAACTAAATATTGAAACTCCTATAGTACAGAGTGTGTGGGATCTTATATTTGTGTCCTGTATTTTCCAGGCGTCCCCAGTTGAGCTCCACTCCAGACTTCAGGTATCCGGTGTCCGCGTCCTCGATGGTGGACAGCGGCTCGGAGCTGTACAGCGGCGCTCTGGTGCTACGGCGACCGCAGAAAGGGAGAGCGGCCGCGCTACTAGAAGAGCCCTCCAAAGTAAGAAAATACAACCTCCTAAAGCGTCTGGGGTCTGTTTAAAACTACAGGGGAATAGTGCGCTGTCTTTTCTGTCTTCCTTGTTGCCATGTTCATTTCAAACTACCTTTCTACCTTCATGGAGACCAAACCAGAGGCAGTTACAGGTCAGATCTGTGAAGAGGCGATCCCACTTACAGTCAGAATGCCTGTTTTCTCAGTATTTTTGAGCAATAAAACCACCTGTAATTGAATAATTGTAAGGTAGAGCTGTTTAATGTCATACAATGGAACCCTCAGTTGTTACTTTATTTTCACTTTTTTTTTGTCTGTTGAAGCCAGATTCAGGAGTAATGTGCCTCACAAAAACTGTAGTTATTTCCTCTCAAAAGCCTAGGGCTGTAGTCGATTTAGATTTTAAGGATTTATGTGGGACAACACCAGAAAGGAGAAATGTTAGAAGATTTTGTATTTTTTTGGTATTTATATGCAAAAAGATTTAAACTCATGATTAACAATTTTAATGTGTCTTATAAAAATACAGTCAGACACATAATACTTTTGAGAACTTTTACCTCTTTTTAGTCAACCAATCGGTCGGCAGGACATGTCTATATTCCGGCAAGAATTAATTTTGTCAAATACTCCCCTACAAATATCTGTGTATCATGTAGAAATCAGGTCAGCCGTGTTTATTGCTCCGTCTGTTTATTTATCGTCAAACGTCACACCCACGGAAATGCAAAAAAGATGAAACAAGATCCTAGAGTGTACGTGTTTGTATTGAGTAGGAAAGGTGCATCTTGGCTTGGCAGATTTTGAATAATTCTTGATGTATTTTTGCTTCTTCAAGTCTTGTTTCTGGTAATTATTGTGATGCTGAAATAAATATTGTCTGCACTCTTTCTCCCTCTCTCTCTGCTTCCTCTGTGGACTTCAGCGGCATGTAAGTTAACACAAAACTCTGGCTTGCTTCATCTCACGCTCTTCTAATCCACCATAGCAGACTTTTTTTTCTTTAACGACGCCATAAATTTCTCTTTTTTTTTTGTTAAATCTGACTTTTCTTCTTGTTTTGACAGGTGCAGACCCTGAACGAGCAGGAGTGGGAGCGCATGCAGCAGGCGAACGTGCTGGCGAACGTAGCGCAGGCGTTTGAGAGCGACATGGACGCGTCGGATCTGGAGGAGGACAGGGACGCGCTCTTCAGCTCCGTGGACCTGCTCTCTCCGGCGGGACAGGCAGACGCTCAGACACTCGCGCTCATGCTACAGGAGCAGCTCGACGCCATCAACAACGAGATCAGGTGAGAAGAACGCGACGTCAGGGTGTTCGCTCTCGTTTTTTATCTTACAGGTCCCTGAGCTAGGGGGCGCTACTGCTCCTTTTACACGTGTTTGGGTCAAGCTCAGAACAACTATCAACATCTGCTCCCTACCTCCTCATCTCCTAGCCCCTTGTCGCCTCACTCCTCTTCTCCTATTCCCTTGTCGCCTCACTCCATGTCTCCTCGTCTCCTTTCTCCTTGTCCTCTAGCTCCTCGTCTCCTAGCTGCTCGTCTCCTAGCCCCTAGCTCCTCCTCTCCTAGCTCCTTGTCGCTTCACTCCTTGAATTCTTGCTCCTCGTCTCCTCTCTCCGCGTCTCCTAGCTCCCCCTCTCCTAGCGCCTTGTCGCCTCTCTCCTCATCTCCTCGTCTCATAGCTCCTAGCTCCCCATCTTCTAGCTCCTCGTCTCCTCGCTCCTTGTCGCCACTCTCCTCGTCTCCTAGCTCCTTGTCGTCTCACTCCTTGTCTCCTCTCACCTCGTCTCCCCTCTCGTTGTCTCTTCTCTCCTCGTTTCCTACCTCTTCATCTCCTAGCCCCTTGTCTCCTAGCTCCTCATCTCCTTGCCCGTCGCCTCAGTCCTTGTTTCCTCTCTCGTCGTCTCCTCTCTCCTTGCCTCCTAGCCCCTTGCCACCTCACTCCTTGTCTCCTTTCCCCTCGTCTCCTCTCTCCTTTTTTTCCTGACCCCTTGTCGTTTCTCTCCTCGTCTCCTAGCTTCTCGTCTCCCCGCTCCTTGTTTCCTAGCTTCCCGTCTCCTTGATCCTCATCTTCTCTCTCCTCTCCTCGCAGCTCCTTGTCACCTCACTCCTCGTCTCCTAGCTCCTCATCTCTTAGCTCCTTGTTGCCTCAATCCTTCTCTCCTCTCTCCTCGTCTCTACTGCTCCTTTTACACATGTTTGGGTCAAAAGCTCAGAACAACCATCAACATCTGCTCCCTACCTCCTCATCTCCTAACCTCTTGTCGCCTCACTCCTCGTTTCCTGACTCCTAGACAGATTTGTTTAACAGCACAGATCATCTCACCTGTTGTGGTTCCAACTAAGTCACGTCTTTGTGGTCAGGTTGTGTTAAAATAAAGCTCAGATTAAAGTCAAACTTGAGTAACAGAGCTTCAGACAGAGCAGAATATAAACACTTAAATCTATCAGAAAATTACTTATAAGTAGTGAAATTATCTGTCCAAACAGCAAGATAATTTTACATGACAAATTATCTTAAAATAAACAACCTCTAGACTAGAATGAAGCAGTCTGAGAACTAGTAGAACAAAATAAATAACCTGATATAAGTTTTAAAATCTTGTCCAGGTCAGAGAAATTTGCAGACTCAAGAAGTCACTGTATAACAGAAATCATAATTTTATTGCTCAAAAAATTCCTCTGAAAAACATGCAATTTTGTCCTGCATGTTTGCATAGAGGTAAATTTACTGCCGTACTGCGGAACATCCATACACAACAATAAACCCTCAATGGAGAGGGGCAGAAAATAAATACTAATTATTGCATTGTAATTGCCCTATAATTTTCTGCAGAAGCCAGGGAATTTGTTTTTAATGCATGTAGACACGTTAAAGGAATGTGTGCAACCGGATACAGCTGCTCCTAATAAACACTGGTCCTGGATTTACTATGTTTATGTTTAGCTGGTGCTGGCAGAACAGGCAGGGTGTGTGCAAAACTACACATTTGTACAAGTGTAAATAAAACAACAATTAAAATAGGACTGAAGTATTTGTGAAAAGTTGAATTTGAACACTGCGATTGCGATTTATGTTTTATTTATAGTTCTATGTTCAAAGTTTACATTATAAACACGTCCAGAAGGATTGACGAAAAGACTAAAACAATATGAACTGACAAAATAATACAAGAATCACATTTCAGAGCATGTTTGTACAGATCTAAACTACAGGGTGAGCAGTTTTCATGCAGAATAAGACAGGAGATTTTCTTGTTTGTGGAGGAAATTATGGTAGCCAACTACAAAAATTGCAGCCTTTGCGATTTGCCAATTGCATCCTTTCAACATGAGATTTTGCAGCTACAATTTGAAACATGATTGGGGACAAAGTGGTGATTTTGTAGAGTGTGTTTTAACTGAACTGAAGGACATTAGAGTTGCAATATGAAAATATAGCTGCGAGCGGCAATGATTGGCCCTTGCGTGCGCCTACGCAGCACCCTACAGACGCAGCACCCTACAAACTCAGCATCCTACAAACGCAGCAGCCTACAAACGCAGCATCCTGCAAACGCTGCGGCCCACAAAAGCCGCACCCTGCAAACGCCGCACCCCGCACTAACCCTAATAACCCTAAGCTTAAACCTAATCCTAGTTGTAATCCTACCCATAGCCCCAACCCTAACTCTTAACCTAACCCTGCCATTTCTCAAAATTCTTGCATGTGTTTATTTAAAAAAAATATCCAAGATGGCAGGCATACGGTTTGTAAAGGGAAAGAATAATGTTCCGCTTTTTTTTTTAGGCCAACAAACTATACATACATACATACATTTTCAGAAACCTCTGGCGCATTGCTACGTCTTAGGCCGGGCGTACACTGTGCGATTTTTGACCCTTTTTGAGCCGATTTTTCGCTTGTGCGACTGTTTTGGGGATCGGTCAGAGTTTTGGCTTCATCGTGTGTCGTGCTTCGTGTAGTTTACATGGGGTAAAGAGAACCGATTATTGACTCACGACCAGCTCCCGATCGACATTCGTAGGTCGTAAGAAAATCAAACTTGTTTGAAATCGCCTCTCGTGAGGATTTCGCTCTGTTGAAGTTGTTCCACGAGCCGATTTGCCAGAATCTGGCAGACTGCGCATGCGCGGACGCAGAAGTGGCTCAGCATTGTGTCTCCGCACATCTGTGGTTTTCTAATTCCGTGGTTTTGTTCTTCGTGGTTTTCTACTTCCGGAGCAACAACTTTGACAACTCCGGTCGTTATGTGAACGTACAGTGTGAGCAGGCAAGTCGCATCCAAGCATCGGTTCGTTCAGTGTGAGAACATGATTCGTGAGCTGTGAACTTTTAAACCCTGTGATTTGGTCGTACAGTTTAAGCTGGGGCTGAGTGACACGACCGAAAATATCGCACAGTGTACGCCCGGCATTAGCAAGGGTCCCTGGTCACTACGGGCGAGTCACAGCCTTGGGCTTGGGTTACTGGGAAACTGCTGTTTATGCCAGGGGCGACCAAGAGGATGAAGCTGCATGATGTCCTCTCGTATTCGCCTATGTGTTCATTGTTTTCCATGCACTCGTCCGAGCGAACGCAGTAGGCCTTACACCCTGTCAGGGTTGGGCCTAATCAGTATGATATTCTGTGATAAGATGATTCTAGGGTTGTCACAAGTATCAAAAATCAGATACTATCGATACTAAAACTAGTACTGAAACTGTGTACTTATTTGAGCCGGTATCGATACCAAAAAAAAGTCACATTCATAGGACAGAAATGAACCTTTCCTGAATAGCTTTAGAATGATCTTGTGATGTATCAGAACAAGTATAAGAGCACATAGATGTAATATAAAAGACAGTATGATTTAACATTGAAAGTCACATTCTACTATGTAAAGAAAAGGTGTTTTTATTATCATAATGGTATCAGAATAAGTACTGAGTATTGAGTCTATTCCTTAGTACCAAAATTGAGTTTTAAATGTTGTTCTTCTGTTTTAGGATGATCCAGGAGGAGAAGGAGAGCACAGCGATCCGTGCAGAGGAGATCGAGTGCAGGGTGGGCAGTGGGGACAGTCTCGGGGGCAGGTTTAGGTCCATGAGCTCCCTGCCTCCGTCTCTCTGTCCCGGCTCGTCTCTGGGCGGATCTCCCCCGGGCTCTGGCAGCTCCACCCCTAGAATGGTGTCCCGAAGCCCCCACCGCGAGATGGACCGCATGGGGGTCATGACATTGGTGAGACTTACGGCTTTTCATGTTGTTAAAGTGTGACTAAACTAAATCAACTTTTGTTTTTGTGACTAAAATGTGTATATGGTGTTTTAATAGCATTGTCTACTGTTCCTAGTAATTTTTGGTGGCAATTTTTGGGCAAACTAAGTACATTTGCAGCTTTGTGTACAAAAACAAGACAAAAATTGCAGCGATTTCAAGCACTAGATGACATTACACATGACTTCCCTGATTAAAAATAAGAGAATGCCATATGAGAGCCTTTATTTGTTCCACAATTAGGAAATTTTAGCATTGCAAGGCACAGTTTAAGAACAGAAAGAGAATAGAAACAGACACTCAAAATAATAAAATACTTCAGCCCTCGAATATATATTTTTATCTTTTACTCTAACTAAATCTAGAATAGTTTGTTCTTGTCTGATCAGTCGACTGAAAATGCCAGTTTTTTTTGGAATTAACTGTTTTTCTGAAGCCAACTGACTTAATGTTTGAACAGTTTTATTTAATACAAGTGTCTATTTTTAATCTGTAACGAGTTGGAATAGTTATTTTGAAAATTTATCATAGCACAAAAGCATTAAATATAAAATGTTAGGATAAGGTTTGACAATAGAAACACCACTTTAGTCTGTTATTAATTCAGAAACACAGAATTGTACTAATATTTTTGTGCATATCCTGGTTCGTCTTTATTAATGTGAAGCCCTGATTTACTAACATAACACTAATAATGATATTTTGTGTTTGATCCTTTAACACTTTGACTTGTGTTTAACCCGGCTCCCTGTAGCACTATTGTTATGACCCGTACATCATCCAGAGCTCCCTGTCCCAGCAGACGGTCACTGTTCTGCCCTATGCCCCCCCTGGGTTCAGCCCCCAGCCCTACTCTTATCCCCCTTCGTACTTTCAGGTATCATCTAAAGGAGAGAATAATGCTTCTAGTTTTGACTTTTTACTCTTTTTTTTTTTGGTGGGTGCAGTCTGATTCATTTCAATTTTAAACTCAGCTTTGCTCAAGTGTAATTTAGTGAAGTTTAGTTGTTCGGGATGGGACGAGACACAATTTCCACAAGACGAGACATGAGATTTGGTCCACGAGAATGAGACAAGACGGGATTTTAATTCCTAATATAGAAATGTCATGATTCAGTTTCCAGTTTTGGCCTCATTTTTTTTTTTTTTATCTATCTATATCTGTTATGTTTTTGTTTACATTCTAGTACTGCTTTTTGGAACTGTAAGTCACCAACGTGTAAATATTTTTTTTGTCCAATCCAAATGTAAACACACAAGATCATTTTTCTCACGTTTGCATGATTTTGTGGCAGTTTTGTCTCACGAGATCTTGTGGCGCGAGATTTGTTCCACCCCTAATAGTCGTATTTATTCTTTATTTGTGAGGAACCACATACAAATTCTGTGGTGTGATTGTACCAGATTTTACTACTGCTGCTTTCCATCTGCAGTGCCTTGGCAGGTGAAACCCATTAAGGTCTTTGGTTTTTCCCTTAGGCAAGGCGCTTAACTTAATAAATAAAAATATACTTCATATCAGTTTCAACAACACAGTGAGGATAACTACAGACGTCCATTTCAACTCAAAATAATTATGATTTCTTAGTGTTGACATGTGATCTTATATTAATTTTGAATAGATCGAAAGTCCAATTTTGTCCTATTTATGTATTTGTAAAGATGCACTGTGTAACTTTTCAGTCCGTCACCTGCTTGTTTCTATAGATATGTCACTATTCTGCCTGGAATGTTCCACAGTATGACTTTAAACAGCTCTATGGCACATTTATTCAGTTGCAAGTGGTGTTCCAGCTCAAAAATACCTAGAAAAACAGACATTCTGACTGTAAACGGGGTTGCCTGTCCACAGATCTGACCTGTAACTTGGTCTGGTTTGGGCTCCATGGAGATAGAAAGGTTTAATGCCATACTGTAAAACATTCCAGACAAAGCAATAACACAAAGCAAGTTACACAAGGCACCTTTTAAGTGAGTAAAAAAATAGTCTTTAAATGCGTTAGTTGAGGTTTAAGTATCAGAAAATGTGAAATTACTGTGAAATTAATGATCATAATTTCCTGAAAACGTCACATTCTACTCATTATGTCCCATTTTCATTTTTTAATAATTTCTTTTTGCAGCATTTTTAAATAATTTATTCACAAAATACATATAAAACTTTAAAACCGTTCATATTTTCAGCTCATTTACAGTATCATTCATCCATAATCTGATCACCTTTAAGCCTACTTATTGTTTTGGCTCGTAATTACTCTGTCTTATCGCCATAGTAACGGCAGCAATTTAAAAAAAAGCAAACATTTGAAGGTCTAAGATGTCAAATTATCAGATCCATTTCCTCTCACCCTCCTCATCTTTACTCGTCCCGATCCGAACGTTACAAAAACAAAACGGAAATGAGCGATTAAAGCTTTTCCTCCCCGGGGCGAAAATCTAACTGAAACTATGTCAGGTTTATTTGCTTTGGTAATGCCAGGGCCGTGAGGAATGCAAGAGGAAAACCACTCCCACAACTGAGATGGAAATTATTATGCTGGTTTTATATAGGTTTAATGCTGCTGGGTTCAGTGTGTTCAATTATAAATGAATGGAAAAGCACCCTGTAAAATGTAGGGTGGCAGAGCTCTGACTTTGGAAACTTGTATTTTTTAAAGATCAGCTGCACCCACTTCACTTTTTCCAATTCCCAGTTAATGCGTGTGATTCTTGTGGTGTTTTTACTGTTTTAACTGGGTTTAGTTTTTGAGCTGCAGTGATGTGTGGTCAACTTTTTACGCTTTAAAAACATCTCCTATCTTCTAAATTTCACTACAACTTTTAAAAATGATTAAATCTGTGTAAATGTTGCCAGGAAATACCACAACGTTAAGTTAGTTTGACCGGGACAATGTTAAAGCTGCACTGTGTAAATTCTCTACTATCTTGCCATCTTGTCTCCATGGAGATACTATTGCTTTGCCTGGAATGTTCCACAGTATTGCATTAAACATATCTAATAGTAGTGTTGTAGTCAAGACCGCACTAAATGAGACCAAGACCAGTCCAAGACCACAGGGTCCCAAGACCGAGACAAGACCGAGACAAGACCGAGACAAGACCGAGACAAGACCGAGACAAGACCGAGACAAGACCGAGACAAGACCGAGACAAGACCGAGACAAGACCGAGACTTTTAAAGGCCAAGGCCAAGGCCAGGAAAAGACTGAGACCAAATCAAGACCATCTTTGTCATTTTTGACATTTGTATTTTACAGTTATTTTGGCACATTTGTAGCAATGTTTTTATAAATCTATCTTCATTTTATCACTTGACTGAGACAAGACTGAGTCCGAGACCGAGACCAAATTAAGACTATCTTTGTCATTTTTGACATTTATTTGTATTTTACAGTTGTTTTGGCACATATATATCAACCTTTTTAGAAATCTATCTTCATTTTGTCACTCGTCAAGTGTCAAACCTCAAAACCGATTCCAAGCGTCTTTAAGGCCAAGACAAGACCGAGACAAGACCGAGACAAGACCGAGACAAGACCGAGACAAGACCGAGACAAGACCGAGACAAGACTGAGACAAGACCAAGTTAAGCGCCTTCAAGACCGAGACAAGACCGAGACAAGACCAAGTCCAAGCGCCATTAAGACCAAGACAAGACCGAGACAAGACCAAGTCCAAGCGCCATTAAGACCAAGACAAGACCGAGACAAGACCAAGTTCAAGCACCTTCAAGACCGAGACAAGACCGAGTCAAGACTAAGACGAGACCAAGTCCAAGCTCCTACAAGACTGAGACAAGACCGTGTTTAAGCGCCGACAAGACCGAGACAAGACCGAGACAAGACCGAGACAAGACCAAGTCCAAGCTCCTACAAGACTGAGACAAGACCGAGTTTAAGCGCCTTCAAGACCGAGACAAGACCGAGACAAGACCGAGTCCAAACACCGTGACAAGACCGTGACAAGACCTTGACAAGGCCAAGTCCAAACACAGTCAAGTCCGAGACAAGACCAAGATCGTAAAAAAACTGTCTTGAGGCCAGTCTCGAGTACTACAACACTATCTAATTGTATATTGCATGAATTAAATTACAGATGTTTTTATTGTCTTTAAAATACCCTGGAAAACACATTCTTAAAGTGAGCAGACTCGCCTTTCAGTAGATCTGACCTGACCTGATCTGCTGACGTTTGTCTCCAAGGGAAAAGATAAGTTTAATGCCATACTGTGGAACATTCCGAGCAAGACAATAAGATCTTCATGGGCACAAGCAGCTAAGAAGACCCCTCACCAGAAAAGTTCCTTGAAAAAACCTTGAAAATATTTTATAAGAATTCTCTCAGATAAATATATTCAAATCAGATTTTATATTTACTGTTTTTTTTTTAGTAATTATAATGTTAGTTTGTCTGTGATTTGAATACTTTACACCAAAAACCAAACACATGCCCGCAAACGTCAAAATGTTGCTGTAATTATCCTTAATAAATAAAAATATGAGGTTTAGAAACTGAAAATGGGATAACATAACATGACATTTGGCATTTAAAATTCTCTGAAATCCAAGCTTCACTGAATCCACTTTCCTTTTCTGGGTAAACAGAGTGTAGCTGTGTGTTTTTGTGTTTTTGTGTGTTTGTGTGATCTTAACTGTGTAATTGCAGAGTTGTCAGATGTAGGAGGTTTTATTGTCACTTGTGAGGTCTCTGGTTTCTTTTAACTGAATCTTCCCTTTTATCTTCTATCAAATTTAATGTGAAAATAACTCCCTTCTATCTTAACGTTCCTCTCTCACTTTCTTCCTCTCCCTCTGTCTGTCTCTGCCTCTTTGTCTCTTTCTCTCTCGCTTCTCTTTCAATTTCTTTCTTTTATATCTTCCTCTCTCTCCATTCCCCCGAACCATTTTCTCTTTCTTCCCGTCTTTCTCCCCTCTCCTCACTCTTTTTCTCTTTCTTGTTTTCTGTTTTTCCCTCTCTCACTCTCCCCCTCTCCCGTAACCTTGCACAGCACGATGAATTCTTGTGATTTTTCTGAGTTCACACAAATTCTTGAGGATCCATCTTTAGGCTCCGTCTGAAGCGTTCACTCGCGATTGGTCCGAGCCCGACCAATCGCAGCGCAGCACCGAACAAACCAAAACAAACACGGCGATGCAGACAAGCGTTTTTCCTCTCATTTTAGCAGAAATACAGATTATTTGGTTATTTAAAGAGAGAAGCGCTTTGATCGCCATCTGCTTCTTTTTATGAATATGACAAATGTTACGTCTCTCGTGCTTCTCTGTGATATGTCTCCTCTTTTCCTCTTTCCCCCCTCTATTGCCACGTTTATATGAGAGCTTTAATTCCAAACACAAATGAAGACTTGTCTCTTTCCAAACGCTCTTAAAGGACGATCGTTTTGACTGTTGACCGTGACACCCTCATCAGAAAAATGTCCAACATGAGAAAAATGGAGCCGAGTGCAGGATTTTCCAAGGAAAATGAACTTATTCCTATTTGCATACAAGTTAATGTTAAAACATTGTGTTAAAATGGCATTTTTCTTAAAGTGTCAGCTTGTTCATAATTACTATATAATATTTTGTAAAAGAAAGAGTTCATCAATTAAAAAAGATTTCTGTAATAGATTTGTGTTTCTTTGCACAAATATGTGAGCTTATTGTTATTTTTGGGGTTTTTATGAGTTTTCTGATCCGGCCCCTTTGGGATCAAAGTAGGTTGGATACGACACCTGAACCAAAATGAGTTTGACACCCCTGATGTAAACACTTAATTCCTAATGAAAATGTTATTCAAAATTAAACTTAATTCTGAAGTAAGTGGGTGGTTTATTCCGATTTTAAAGTCATATTAATTTAGTCCTCGATCATTTAACGTTTATTCTTCTTAAAAATAATTCCGGTCGTTCAGACTTTGATCCACGTCTCTCTGGATTTGTGAGCGGGATGCAGGAGTGGGCTGAGGTAGAGCAGCCATTGACTCAGTTTGTCTTCTTCCTCCTTCTCCAACACTGGTCCCTTCTCCTCCTCAGCCGACAGACGTAAAGCGTGATGAGAGAATTCTCCAGCTGCTGCTTCGCAATCATCATCGGAACCTCTGTGCAAAAAGTTTGGATCATGTTTGTGTCCGTGGCGTAACAACAAACCGAGATGACAAAAAAAACGGTAGCAGCTGGAGTGTGTGTTTTCTTCCAGTCGACGTAAATACGTTTCGTGTCTCTGTCCAATCAGAACCCTTCTTCACCCCCAGACGTTGAGCGGAATTAAAAACCTCAACCTTAAAAACCTGTAAACCTGAATGCGTAATTATTATTTCCGTGTAAACTTGAAGGAGAATATTTTAATTCTGAACTCTTTAATTCAGAATTTTAAAAATACATCATGTAAACGTGGCCTATTCCTCTCCTCCTCTTTCTTCTTCTCCTCCCTCTGCCTCTCTCATTTGCGGTGGCTCTAACCTTTTGAAATCTTTGTTGTTGAATTAAACCACATGTGTGCATCTCTGTATGTTGGTGCATGACTTTGGTTTCACTGTGTTTTTTTTCTGGTCTAACTCACAAACACTTTTCTATCTCTCCTTTTGCGCTTCAGCCTAGTGACCTGCGCAAGCATCGCAGGAAGGTAATCTAACAGCTCTCTGCCCTTTCCTTCTAATACAAAACAACAAAGAAAGAGAATTTCTGGTTTTCCAATTTTCCAATAATCTGATTCAAAATTCTGCGGACAATTTTGAACCATGTGTGAAAAACATGTATGAATGAACTGTTAGCTTATTCCCTTTTCTCACTCTGCACTGTGAAAAAGCTTGGCCAAAATTCAAGATATAAACACTTAAATTGATCAGAAAATGACTTAAAAGTAATGAAATTATCTGTTCATGCGGCAAGATAAATTTACTTGACAAATTATCTTAAAATAAACGACCTCTAGACTAGAATTAAGCAGTTTCAGAACTAGTAAGTGGATAATAAATCAAGAAAACAAGATGATTAACCCGATATAAGTTTTAAAATCTTGGCCAGATCAGAGAAATTTGCTGAACCATAACTGAAAAACAATGATCAGGTTTAGTGGTAAGATTATGGCACACAAAAATCTTTATTATTGTCTAATTTTGGGACGTTTAAAAATATTAAAAAAGCATATTACACTATTTTCTGGTCTGTTATAATGTTGTTTCCTCATCCAAAACATACCCGGAGTTTTGTTTCTGTTTCGTTCACACACGTGTCCTGCATATTTAGCTCGAGTTCTTCTTTCAAACTGACAAACAGGATGTGCTCCACTGTGTTTTTAAACTCCATACACCTTCCCTAGAATAATATGGCGGTAAAAGAAAGTAAATCGCAGCTATTAACTTGAAACGTTTTGGCATTTTGAGCTTTGGAGATGTAGTAATAATAATAAAGGATTATCCAAACATGTGTGAATGAAACAAAACACAGCTCCAGGTCAATTTTTGAGGAAATAACAGCGTAATAACATGGCTAAAAGCTCTCAAGAGTCAATTTTGCGCAATATAATACCTTTAAATGACATGAAAACCACAAAAATATGAGTAATCAGAGGGATCCTGATCAGAAAGAAATGTCACTTTAAGTCTTCATAACACCAAAAATGTAATAAGGATCAGATTTGGAGTGCATTTGTAACCACAGCCAGTTCTGATGTAAGAGTAAGCTGATTTCCTTCTGATTGTTCACATCTGTGCAGATTTGACAAAGAAAATTATCCAAAAAGGGCAAAATCAATGTGTCAGAAACTAGAGATTTAAATAATTTTGAGATTAAATTGTACTTTGTTACTCTAAAAATCCACATCTGTCTCTTTTGGGAATATTTATGTCTTTAGGTTCAGGCCCTTCAACCAGAAATTCTCTATATTTTATAATTATTAACAGTTTTACTTTACTTTTACTTTATGCTTTTGTGTTTTCATTAGTTACCAGTTCACCCCTTAGTGTTTTTCTAGTGTGTTTTAAAATCAGTTTAGTTTTAGTTTTGTGTGTTTATAAATGTGCATCTTAATAACTAATATATTTCTCATTAACACAAATTTAAATGTAAAATGTTTTATATTATTTTTACATATTTTACATCAGACTCCCTTTGAGTCAGTGTATGAATTGTACATTGGCTGCTGACCCCTTGTGGCCAGAATCTGTACTGCATTATTCTGTACATTAATGAATAGAAATTGCAGAATATTAATGTTTGAATATTATGTGGTATTCTTACTTAAAGGCGCACTGTGTAACATTTCTGCCACCTGCTTGTCTACATAGAGTTGTTATTGGTTTGCTGAAATGTTCCAGAGTATGGCTTTAGACTTGTATATACAGTATTTACTTAAAAATGTCTTTAAAAAAAGCAGTGAGTTGCATTGCTTCTTCACAGATCTGACTTGTAACTCGACCTGATGGTGTCACTGTTTGTCTCCATGGATACAGAAAAGTTTAATGCCATACTGTGAAACATTACAGACAAAACAATAACATTTCCGTGGACAGGCAGGCATCAGAAAAAAGTCAGAATGAGGCATGAACTACTGAAAAAAAATCACATATTTCACAGTGATCAAAGTTATTAAGATGCTCATATGTTTTAAGTTTGCAATAATTATTTAGTATGATTTATTTTTGGTTAATTGTGTGTATTTTTATCCAGTCTGCTCAGGATGATAAAGCCACTATCCGCTGCGAGAGCTCTCCTCCTTCCACTCCTCGCTCCATTCGTTTAAACAGAGAAACAGGACACGCCACCAGCCACGAAGACATCAGGGACTTCAGAGGGTGAGAAGTTTCAAAAAATGTTTTAGCTTCAGTATGTAACTTTTTTTTGCCCAAAATAGACTAAAATAAAAGCATGTTTATTCATTATGGACAGTGTTGGGAAGGTTATTTTTAAAATGTATTCCCCTACAGATTACAGATTACATACTCCAAAATGTAGTTTGTAACATAATCCATTAAATTACTTAAAGTGAGAAATGTAATCTGAATACTTTAGATTACTTGATATTGTCATGCTTTTAAACTATATGAATGTAGCAACCACATCCTGAAAATTCATGTTTGTTCTTTTCAAATTGTCTGTTGAGCCCAAGTCTCCATGAACAGACTTTTGTTTACTGTAGAGCAGCAAAGACGAGGAAATCTTAACATGAGATGTTTTATCTGCTAAAAGAAAAAAAAAAAATGCCTAGTTTAGTCCTGGTTTAGTAATGCTTTAGTCCTGCTTTTAGACCTGGTTTAGTCCTGGTTTAGTCCTGGTTTAGACCTGGTTTAGTGCTGGTTTAGTCTGGCTTTAGTCCTGCTTTTAGATCTGTTTTAGTCCTGGTTTAGTCCTGCTTTTAGACCTGGTTTAGTCCTGGTTTTAGACCTGCTTTTAGACCTGCTTTAGACCTGGTTTAGTCCTGGTTTAGTCCTGGTTTTAGACCTGGTTTAGTCCTGGTTTAGTCCTGGTTTAGTCCTGGTTTTAGTCCTAGTTTAGTCCTGGTTTACTCCTGATTTTAGTTCTGGTTTTAGTCCTGATTTAGCCCAAAAACTGTGAAAACAAAAACGCCTCCATGTAATCCATTTATTTCAACAAAGTAACTGTAATCCAATTACCACTCACTGAAACAGTAACTGTAACTGAATACAGTTACTCATAATTTGTACTCTGATTACGTAACTCCGGTACATGTAATCTGTTACTCCCCAACACTGATTATGGATGTGTTTATTCCACTGAAAAACATAGAAAAACATGCATCCTTACTCTGAGAGGGCTTTTATCTCCACAAAATTGACCCTTGACTAGAGAAGGGCCTGCTTGGTTCCCTGGAAATCTTGTTCCTTTGGCTTTGATATTCCACAGTAGGACATAAAAATGATCTATCTGTGTGGAGAAATTTCCCAAGTATGCTTTAAACTATCTACTTCCATGGAATTATGCAGTTGACTACAGTAAGGCAAGTTTATTTGTAGAGCACAATTCGTACACAAAGTAATTCAAAGTGCTCGTACTGAGAGATCACGCAGCAAGATCATTTTACTTGACAAGTTATCTTAAAATAAACAACCTCTAGACGAGAATTAAGCATCTCAGAACTAGTAAGTAGATAATAAATCAAGAAAACAAGATTAATAACCTGATAAAAGTTTTAAAATCTTGGCCAGATCTGAGAAATTTGCTGAACCATAACTGAAAAACAATGGTCAGGTTTAGTGGTAAGATTATGGCACACCAAAATCTTTATTATTATTATCTAATTTTGGGACGTTTAAGAATATTTAAAGAGTATATTACACTATTTTCTGGTCTGTTATAATGTTGTTTTCTCATCAAAAACATAATAATATTAAAGTGTTACTCAAACATGTGTGAATGAAACAAAACACAAAACTAATTTCTTTTTATTGTCATTAAAAAAATGACAATAAATACAAATCAAAACATAAATAATCATCATAACATTAAAACTTACGTACTTACCGTATCACTTTACAAATACTAACCCCAACAGAGGATTAGCTGTAAACCTCTCAATTAAAAAGACCAAAGCCGATCATTGATGTTTGGAAATGATTGAATCTTGATTTAAATCTGATTTATTGCACAGCCCTAGTTCTAATTTTGAACCATTTTTACCTCATCTGGAGTTTCTCAGCCCTTTATACTGACTACAGATAAGAATTTTTATAGATATAGTTTTTGTTTTCTGTTTTTTTGAATAGGGACGAGTACAAAAAACAAGAGATGACACTGGCCCTCCAAATGTTTCCACTTTTTAACAGATCAACTATCGGTCTTAAATCTCTCTCTTGTGTTTCCAGCCTGTCAAACCTCCAGGACGGTCAGGGCAGTAACCCCAGTAGCAGTAACAGCAGCCAGGACTCTCTGAACAAAGCCGCCAAAAAGAAAAGCATCAAGTCTTCCATCGGACGCCTGTTTGGGAAGAAGGAGAAGGGCCGACCCAGTGTCCCCGGGCGGGACTCCACCAGCCAGGGTAAGGCCAAGAGGAGGAGGGTATGATGGAGTTTAAGTATGTAGGTCTTTGAAAAACATCTCAGCAGTGATCTAATAAGCAGTAGTGTTTTTCTTCTTCACTCAGACATGTCCAGTGTTTTAGATGTATTATTGTAAAGCATTTGATCCCTTCTCGTTGTTTATCATTCTTCATTCATCTTTTCTGCTGTAGCCGGGACTCCAGAAGCAGAGAGCTCTCCAAAGGACGGTTTAGGGATGGGAACGTTGTCGGGAACCGCAGAGAAAACCAGAAAACTCCAGAAAAAGTGGGTCTCAAGATTTGTCAATGTCACAATCAGGCCTGTCACGATAAAATTAAATATTCCAGTTTTCCGCAAAGGTGCTTAAAGTGCATATGACAGGTTTTTGTTTTTATCGTTATTACTTTCTTTGGTTGATTAATACATGTTGTAAATATTTTTCATGGTTTTATGTCAGAGGCGGTTTGTGCAGAAAAGTTAAAAGCAGCAAATTTTCTGACAGTTATATATATCTCATATCAATCATTAGGGATGTAACTATATCCAAATCTCTCAGTACGATCACAATACGCATTTCACGGTACGATATTTACTGCGGTATTGTGGAGAGGCCAATATAATTTTTTGCGTCTTTGCGTAGCCTGTCAAGAATTTGGCGTGAATTATTACTGTCATAATCCCAAGAATTCAAGTAAAAACATATTTCTTCATGTTGTCTGTGCTCCAGTGAATCATGGGATATGTAGTTCCTGATGTTTCTTAGCTATTCCATCTGTAAAACAATGCATTTAAGCAAAGGATCTTGTGATTCAATATATTGTGACGCTCCACAGTACTATTGTGAGCCGTTTGACGATACAGTATCACAGTATTTTGGTTACTCTTACATCCCTATCATTCATATATTTTTGGTAGTTGTTAGTTAGTCGATTAATCGATAATTGATCATTAAGAATTTCATCGATTACGTTAATTTTAATCGACAAACCGAATGTAGGTTGCTGTGCGTAGCGTAGCATGACCAAACAGGGGTCCGTACATGTGTCTCTCTGCACTCAGAAGGAGCGAGACACAAACAGTCGGTCAGCCTGCAACGTACCGAAGCACAAATGCGTATTTAACGATGACTTGTACAAGAAATTCCACGCTTTCCATTTCGTTCGGGACAAGTGTGAGTCCATGTGCTCAGTGTACAAAGCAGCACATATGTTTCGATGTCCAGTGGGAAAAAGCTTTTCCAGGTGAGAGTCGCGCAATGTCGATGACGAGTCCCCACCTCCCTCCCCCAGTACGGTGTCCTGGTTTTGACAAATGCAAATCTGGTCACACTAACCTGTATTCCACTGAATCATGTCTTTTAATCCGACAGAAGTTGACCGCATCAGTGACACAAGAGCTGTAGTTTTATCTTCTCTTAGTTTATGCAAATTAGCGATGTGGTTTTAAGTTTCGTTTCTGTGAGAGTTGCTCAAAACTGAATTAAACACATTATAATGTCAAACGGGCTGATGTGGCTCTAGAGTGGTTACGGTTTATATGTCATAAAGTTGAATTTACTTATGCAGATTAGTAGTGCAGATAGTTATAATAATGATGATCATTTTAATATAAAAACGTTAATGATTAATCGATAATCGATCGTTAATTCTTCCGACGATCGATTAAGAAAATTTCATCGAATGCCCATCCCTAGTTGTTAGTTTATTGTGTGCAATAGGTGAGTTTCATTGTTGACAAAAGCGCGCGTTGCATGCTGGGAATTATTTTGGTCAGCGGCAGTAAACACTAATTCAACATGACGGACGGAGCGAGAAAGCACGTAAAGGGTATTGATCCCGGTTATTTATCCACTCTAACGGCAGAGGACCCAAGACCATTTGACCAGAAATTGGTCATAAGCATCGACGGACGCCAAATCACCCTTTTCAACCCCGACAAAAGGTGGACCAAACCAAATTTCTGGTCAGAATCACCAACTACCTGGACAAATATTCACTTTGGGCGATATCCACAATGACTTGGTGGAAACTCCTGGGCCATTCACAGCAGAAAAGATGAAAACCTCCAAGAGTCTCGATGTGTCGTTGAACTTGTTGGAGTCCACGGTTTGTTAGGATCTTCTACGTTTGCTCTGCGAATGTTTGAAAGCCATTTAATTTGCCATTGGTGGTTCTTTTCACTCAGAATTTGAAAAAGACATTTTCCTTCTTCCGTGTTTCTATTTGTGCATCCGATAATGCAGCAGGAATTTACCATTATCGGGGATAAATACGCGAGTTTACGCACTGTGTTTGACCGCTATTCTGTTTCTTGCCTCCGACCAAAATATTTCCCAGCATGCAACGTGGGCTTTTAATAACAATGACGTCAGCTGAAACTCGCCTATAGATGAGGCCTTTTTGGCATTATGGTTACTAGGTGACATTTAATGCCTTACACTTGTAATGCTCCCAAAGCCCTATACTCTACTCATTATTCATTCACTCCACACTCTGTGCTGGTAAGCGTATTGTAGCCACAGCTGCCCTGGGGCAGACTGACGTCAACTGGCACAATCAGCCCCTCCAACCACCACCGACGCTCACACAGACACCACATGTTTACTAGGCAATGTTGGTCTTGCCTAAGGACACAATGACAGAACTTGGTCTGCTTGGGAGCGTGTTTTTGTAACCTGTCTAACCTGTCATATGCAATTTAAGACAATTATTTAACCACTTTAACTTTTAGAACAATTAGCCAAATATAGCAATTATCTTGACAGGCCCAGCAATTAACCATTTTACTACTCAGTACACCACAGTAATTCCACAGTGGCTTTTGCTCACCTGTTCACACTGATAATTTGATTTAATTTACATTTCTGTCAACTCCATCTCCACCATTGTGCCTCATTGAACCTGTTGCTCTGTTCACCATGATCCGCTGTAATAATTTGCTGTTTTGCCGACTCCCTCTTTTCCATTTCGTCATCTCGATCATCTCATGTGTAGCCCAAAGACCGGGTAAGTTGGTTCACGTTGATTCGGTTTTTTGGTTTTGGCCTCCTTCGCTTCTGTCTTTCCTCACTCACCATTTTAACCCAGGACCCGAGCCTGTCCCTGCAAAAACGGCGCTTTCCCATGATGCAACTGCAACCGCTTTTCTCACAAACGTTTGACTAACTTTGAATGTGTGTGTGCATGGATTTAAATCAAGAAAATAAAGGATTGTGTAGCCTAGACGTATCCCATGGTAGGTTTTTTTTTTTTTTTTTTAGTCTGATCCTACGGCTTCTAAAATTGCTTGCTCCAGAATGTTTCTAATGCATTTTTGAATTTATGCCTAATTAAAGGTGCACTATGTAACTTTTCTCATGGAGGGTTCGCTACATGCTTGTCTCCAAGGAGATTTAATTGTTATACCTGGAATGCTCCACAGTATAGCATTAAAATCTGTCTTTTAGGGCTGTAATCGTAGTCAAAATTCTTGGTTGATTGAAAAAAGGAGCGTGGCAAAAGCTCTCAAAACTATTACGTATCTCTGTGTGTCTGACCCAAACTGCGTCTACAAGACTACACCTGTAGGGGGAGTTCATGCAGAAACAACTATTTGTATTATATTTGACAGAAAAGAACTAGGAAGCTATGTATTTTTGTATTAAAAATGCAGAAGGATCAGATTTTATTTCCAAATCTTCAGCTAACTCACTCCATACGAGGCTGTTTCTGTTGTTGTCCCATATAAATCTCCAAAATCTAAAGAATCCATTGAGTAATTAATCTATGTAACGACTAGTAGGGCTGAACGATCTGTCATTTTGGACCAAAAATCGCGATCTCAGACAACATGATTTTGGGAGTGTGTTTTTTGCATGGCTCCTAAAACCCTAAAAAATTTAATGACAAAGTTTAGTTCTACTAGTGTCGACTCAACACACACTGTCGCTGTCGCCTTGTCGCCGTTGTTTTTGATTTATGGATCTGTTTCGAGGTCTATGCGCTGCAAAATAATTCACCACCACAACACTAGGAGGTGAGGATTTAAACCTGGCGTTCGTGTAAAGTTTAACATGAACCATAGAAGCACAGAACAGACTCACCATCATCAGCACATCCTCTGTCACAGAAAGAACACTCATATTCCACTGAGTCGTGTTCTTTATTTTGACAGAAGCTGAACCGCATCAGGGCACAAGGAAAGAGCGTTTTTTGTTGTTGTTTTTTTTCAGAACTTAGAGTTTGTGCAAATGAGCCATGAGGTTTTAAGTTTTGTTTCTGTAAAATGTAAACAAATGTGCGCAAGGCTGCATTAAACACATTATTGGTCAATGCATATTTAAAGACAGAAAAGCGGAGTACAGGAAATGTATGTAGAGCGGTGGTAGAGACGACCAATCACAGCTCTTATTGTCAACGTAAATTGAGTTTTAGGGTCAAGCATCGAATCATTGGTGCAGGATGTAATGTAAGTGTGATGTAAGTTTCTGTGATGTTTGCAAATGTCCATGTGCACTGAAACTTGATTTGAAAAGAATCGTGGATGAAATCGAAATCTCAATACCTGCCAGAAAAATCACTATTAACATTTTTTCTTAAAATCGTTCAGCCCTAAGTCAAACTATCTTTCATTTATTTAATTGTGTGTGTGTTTTATTGCTGGAAGATATATTGAAAATCACGCATTTTTACTCAGATCTGACCTTTAACTTGGCCTGTGTGGCAATAGTTCAGGATTAAATCAATAACTTTACCGTGGTGACAAGCAAGTGGCAAGCGATGTTACATAGCGCATCTTTAAAATGATTTCCAAATTGTATGTGAATATTTCAACTTGCTATGTGTTCTTATTAAAAAAACAAAAAACTAAAAAAACACAAATTTGTACTTCAAAAGTTTGGGGAAATAGATTTTTTTTTTTTTACCTATGACCTCATCTACAAGTTCGTTTTGCAGATTAATTAAATATTGTAAAAATAAGAAACCAATTAACTTTAAATTATCAGCTATTGTTGTACATTAACTGTATTTTAAAGCTCTCTTCTGGGACCTCTTTCATTCATATTTTTTTTTCTCTTGGAAAAACTGCATGTGTGAAGTGTGTTTTGGGGGTTGACTCTTAACACTTGGTTTTAAATATGTAATAAGTTAATTTTTTTTTACTCATGTTCTAATTGTGTAAGTTTCAACGTTGTTTTTAGACATGAACTTCTGGAGGAGGCTCGCCGACAGGGACTGCCGTTCGCTCAGTGGGACGGACCGACTGTTGTGGTTTGGCTCGAGGTACGATGCTCTCTAGTTTATCTCATCACATTTAAAGCGGGTTTTTAAATTTGGTGTGTTCATAAAAGTAATTTCCATCGGCATAATGAATAGAAAGGTCAGTGATGATGTTGCACAGTAATATAAGTATTATAAGATGATTTGGTAACACTTTATAATAAGTACACCTTATTTAGCCTTAATAAAGCATGAATAAAGACTTAATTAATAATGAACAAAGACTTAATTAATAAGGATCAATGCTTAGTAAATGTATAATAAAGGATAATTAGCCTTCACGTTAGAAAAGCTCTCCAAAAGTCTTAACTAACAGATAACAGCTGCCTGAATTATCATTGCATTGCATTATTAATAAATCATTCTCTCATAGTTTACTAATCATTAATAAATGTTCAAATGGTTAGTCCATGAGTAATTAAGTATGAAATAATTATGAGTAACTATTTACAGCACAGGCAAATTAAGTGCAAGTGCTAATTAAGGTAGTAATTATGTAGTTACTAAGCGTGAATCATTATTAATTAAGTCTTTGTTCATTATTAAGCCTTTGTTCATGCTTTATTAAGGCTAAATAAGGTGTAGTTATTATAAAGTGTTACCGATGATTTGTATTTGTCCCTCAAGAAAATGAATAGAATTGATGTCTTTTGTTATAAGACGTTTAAATCTCTATAAAAACAATACGACTCTCATTAAATTTGCCACAATACTGAAATTCTAAACTATATGCATTTCTTTCATTTTTTATACAATATAATTAATGTAATTTCTAACACATAATATTAGTTACTGGTAGTTACTTTCATATCACAGTGTGGTCTTTTATTTGATATTTAATTTGATATTAGAGAGAGATTAAGAGATGATTAGAGATTAAGACCAGAAGAAGTCAAATTTATCTTTATGTGATGTGTTTTTATTTTTATTTTTTTCCGTCAAATGAATGATGAAATCTAGTTTCTGTACTAGTTTTTAGTATTGGTTTGCTTTTTTTTTTTTTTTTTTTTTTTTTTTTTTTACATTAACCAACAAACTTTTGTCCTTGTTTTCTTAAATTGTGGATGGGCGATGTCTGCTTGTTTTTTGGGAGATTTGTTTTTTATTTTTCTACCATGTTATAATGTTGTTCCCTCATTAAAAACATGAAGAGGTTTTAGATGCCTTTTGTTTTGTTTCTCACATGTTTGAGTCTGTCCACATCTACAAAACTCACAATGCTCTGTTCCACCTTGTGACGTCATGTGGGGGTAGTTTTCAAGTTAACAGCTACTTTTTACCTTTTGCTCAGTAGAGATTGGCAATTCCAGAGCTGAAATTATCCAAATGATGCTAGTGAAGGTGTGTGGAGTTTAAAAACACAACAGAGCACTTCCTGTATTACCACATGACATCACAAGGAGTGTTTTCATGTTGAGACAAGAACTCAGACTAAACATGCAGGTTTTGTGTGTTAGACATGTGTGAATGAAACAAAACACAACTCCAGGTCTGTTTGTGATGAGGAAACAACATTAGAAAATAGTTATAGTTAAATAGTTAGTAAATAAAATACTTTTTTCACAAACTTTATTTAACGCGATCACAATAACTCTCAACTTTGTTCAATTGTAACGCGTAAAAAAAATACTGTCTGAGACGCTAAATTGTTAGAGTATTCACAATAAGTCATGATTGTTCAAACAGTTGGGCGATTACGGCATCCAGCACGTCCACATCCCTCTCGTCATTATCTGAGTCAGTGTGGTTACTGTTCCCTGACAGTTCAGTGATGATTCTGGTCTTGGTGAAAGCTCAGACCACAGTTGATACTGATCCTTAGCCCAGGCGTCCACGATCCGTTGGCAGATCGTGGCGTAAGTCGCTCGGCGCTGTCTTCCTGTCTTGGTGAATGTGTGTTCATCTTCTCTCATCCACTGCTCCCACGCAGCTCGCACTTTCACTTTATAATAGTCTTGAGTTTAAAGTAGGGGCGGCCGTAGCTCAGCTGGTAGAGCATTCTCCCACTGATCTAATTCAAATCCAGCTCTCGACATAAACATCACAGGTTGAGCGGTCAGATTCACTGACCCACAGGTTGGCTGGTGTGATTCCAGCTCCCACAGATGAATGCTGTCGTTGTGTCCTTGGGCAAGACACTTAACCCACCTTGCCCACAGTGTCTGTGTGCACTGGTGTGTGAATGTGTGAGTGGTTCCTTGTTGTAAAGCGCTTTGAGTGCCTTGAAGGTGGAAAAGCGCTGTAGAAAAATGTGACCATTTTTGAGTGTTGTCAGCGTGTCTCTTGACAGGTGCATTTTGATATTAAAAGGAATCGCAGTATGTATTACTCCTGATGCTCCTGACTACGGGAGCCGTAATGCTGCAAGTGGTGCGGCTTTGTAGTTTACTAAAGTCGTACTAAGACACCCCAATAAATTCATATATAAGGTGCTCTGGATTATAAGGCGCGCAGTCCTTTTTTGATGAAATTAAAGGCTTTTAAGTGCGCTCTATAGTGCGAAAAATACGGTTATCCCCCATAGTAGTGTAATACCCCCTCTTTTCAACCGCCATTACAAAGTTAATCTCTATTTCAAGCACAAAACATGTACAAACAAACATGACATTTCCATAAAATGACAAGTTCAGATAAACAGTATAATGTGTTGTTTTCTTTAGCTGTGGGTGGGGATGCCCGCCTGGTACGTTGCCGCCTGCAGAGCCAACGTGAAGAGCGGCGCTATAATGTCCGCGCTATCGGACACAGAAATACAAAGAGAGATCGGAATCAGCAACCCACTGCATCGCCTCAAACTACGACTCGCCATTCAGGAAATCATGTCCCTGACCAGCCCCTCGGCCCCGCCCACCTCCAGAACGGTAATGAACGCATGCTGTTGGGTGTTTTTTTAAGATTTTAAAATGTGATAACGTCGTACTCTCAGATGGGGGCAGGTTTTTTTCCTCTTGATTACATGAAAGAGGCTTAGATTTAGACTTTTTAGCTGCCCTCATCTGTTTTAAACATTACTGATCTGTAGAATGGAGTCTTATATTTCAAATGTTTTGGGTTTTTTGACAAATTGCAGTCAGATCACAACGAGGTAAGTTTTATTCTCCCAAATGTCTTCATCCCTTTTCAATCAGTTACAAGAATCAATCGTAAAGTATGCTTAAAAATGTGTGTCGTCTGCAGCTTTCTCAAATTATGTTTAAAATATCATGAATTCAAGCTCTGTAAATCTACATATTATTAGCTGTACATGAACATTTTATCTTTTTCCATCAAATTATCAAGTTGTTGTGTTTAAAAATAAGAAAAATGGGAATATTTGAGAGGGTTTGATAAATTGCAATGGGCAAGTAATTCACTAAAAGTCTGGTTTAGTCCTGCCTAGTCCTACTTCACACCTGGGTTAGATTTAGTTTAGGCCTGCTTTAGTCCTGGTTTAGTCCTGGTTTCATCCTGCTTTAGTCCTAGATTAGTCCTAAATTAGTCCTGGGTAAGAGCTAGATTAGTGTAAGATTAGTCCTGGGTTGGACCTCGGTTAGACATGTTTTAGTTCTGGTTTAGTCCAACTTTTGTGGGGTATTCTGAATCTGCAGTGGCCAGTATTTACCCGAGTTACTTTAGTCCTAGGTTAGTCCTGGTTTAGACTTGGTTTAGTCCAAGGTTAGTCCTGGTTTAGTTCTGGTTTAGACCTGGTTTAGACCTGTCTTAGTCCTGGTTTAGTCCAAGATTAGTCCTGGGTTATACCTTAGTTTGACATGATTTAGTTCTAGTTTAGTCTAGCTCTTGTGAGGTGTTCTAAATCTGCAGTGGTCAATATTTACCAGAGTTACTTATAAATCCTGGTTTAGTCCTTGGTTAGTCCTGGTTTATACCTGGTTTATTTCTAGGTTAGTCCTAGTTTAGTTCTGGTTTAGTGCTAGTTTAGTCCAAGATTAGTCCTGGGTTAGACCTTGGTTAGACATGTTTTAGTTCTGGTTTAGTCCAGCTCTTGTGGATTGTTCTGAGTCTGCAGTGGTCCTGGTTTAGTCCTAGGATTGTCCTGGTTTAGACATGGTTTATTTTTAGGTTAGTCCTAGTTTAGTTCTGGTTTAGACCTGGTTTAGTCCTGCTTTAGTCCAAGATTAGTCCTGGGCTAGACCTCTGTTAGACATGTTTTAGTTCTGGTTTAGTCCAGTTCTTGTGGGGTGTTCTGAGTCTGCAGTGGTCAGTATCTGCCAGAGTTACTTAAATCCTGGTTTAGTCCCAGGATAGTCCTCGTTTACACCTGGTTTAGTTCTAGGTTAGTCCTAGTTTAGTGCTGGTTTAGTGCTGGTTTGTCAAAGATTAGTCCTGGGTTAGACCTTGGTTTTACATGTTTTAGTTCTGGTTTAGTCCAGCTCTTGTGGATTGTTCTTAGTCTGCAGTGGTCCTGGTTTAGTCCTAGGATTGTCCTAGTTTAGACCTGGTTTATTCCAAGGTTAGTTCTGGTTTAGAGCTGGTTTAGTCCTGGGTTAGACCAAAAATATAAAAAAATATATATATTTAAAAATCTTTGAATAGACCTGGACCATGTTTAACTCCTAAAGTGTTAATTTTGTATTGAAATAGGCAGGTGGTTATAACACACAAAATTCAAACATAAATCCAATAATAGCTGTAATATTCTGCCCGATTCGTATATTGTTTTACCTGCATGCTAAGTTGCTAACACTAATAAATGACAAATATTGTTCTAAAACCTCTTATCCTAACGATATCTGACGCGTAATACCTTTTAAATTGACTTTCATGATTTTTTTCCTGTTTTGCTTTTAATTTTTTTACTAACAAAAATAACACTAAACCGACTCTTCTTTGCTCTTTTCGTTCCTCTTCCTTGTTGTTTTTCCACCCACTTCCTGTCCGCACCCCTTTCCTGCACTCTGATTGGCTCTCGCATGTTTTTGGTGGGTCACGTGATCAGAGCACGGGCAACATTTGGGTCACTCACGAAGAAATGGAAACTCTGGCAGCGACTCCTCCCACGGTTAGTCTGCGATAGTGGTTTGTAGTAGAATAGTGATTTGATTCATTTCTTAATCGTTTTTTTGTAGATTTTTTTCATCATTGTCAATCAATCACATAGAATTTAAATCAAAACTTGTAAAATCTTGATGTTAGTTTGAAAATTTACCACCACTTGAGGGTCCTATATTACTCTAGTGAGCTTTAAGTCATGTTATAATGTTGTTACCTCATCGAAAACAGACCAGAAGTTGTGTTTTTGTTTCATTCACACATGTTTTTATTTATTATTAGTCTGTCTGCATTTCCAAAGCTCAAAATGCGAAGCGGTAGTTATCAAATTAACACCTCCTTTTACCTTTTGTCATGTAGAAATTGGCAATTCCAGGGCTGAAATTATCCGACTGATTCTATTAAAGATTTATGGAGTTTAAAAACACACACGGGAGCACTTTATTTATTATCACATGACATCTTAAGTTGCGTTTTCAGCCTAAGTATGCTGGATTTGTGTGTTAAAAATGCGTGAATGAAACAAAACACAACTACAGGTTTGTTTGCGATGAGAAAACATTATAACATAGATCAGAAAATAGCGTAAAATAGTGTAATATGGACCCTTTAAACTTAAATACTTCCCTTATTTTAGAGAAGCAGATGAGAGCAAAGACAAACTTTGTGTCTGAAATGAAATTATATCAAATAACAAGCCACAAAATACTAATATATTTATAGATTTGTGAAAAACATTACACCGAAATATTTACTTTTACTGTAAATTTCAATAGGAATGATTATAATATGATTTTCACATGATAAAGTCTTTGTGTCACTGCTCCTTTCTGCTTTTCTGTTGTTTATCCGAGGGTTTCAGAGTGATGAAAAATAAGGACAGTTTCTATAACGATTAATAATTTAAAACAAACTTATAGCTTTTGAATAGGGAAGAAGTTTTCAAAATGTCACGTATTACAAGAAGCTGAAACCCATGAATAGTGTCTATGGTGTTACCTTCTAGTTTAGTAAAAAAAAAAAAAAATCCTATATATGACAAAATTTATGGAGTTTTATGACTATAAGCCACAAATGTGTCCAGTATTATTATCAGTAGTCTTCTGTCTGTAGTTACAAATATGGATGTAGCAATTAAAGCCATACATTTTCTATTTTTTATTCTTTTATTTTGGGTAAGTAAACATTTTCAGTGCAATTGTACCAACGAAATTAAAAACAACAATAACAACACTTAACATAAAACTACAAAAAATGCCCAAAAATGAGTGGGAAGAAGAAAAACTTAAATTTAATTACACACGTAAATATATTTGACAAGAACACAATTAATTTCATACCAGGAAAAATTCTAAGACTATACTAAAATAATTTGAAAAAAGGTTGTTAATTTTTTCAGTGCTTATACTTGTTCAGATTGGTATTTAGTTTTAGTATCAATTAATATCTGGACAGATATTTGTGGCAACTTTAAAGGTGCATTGTGTAACTTTGCTTGTGGGTGGAGCATCCGTTAGATGCTTTTCTCCATGGAGATGTTATTTTTTTGTCTGGAATGTTTCACAGTATGGTATTAAATATTTCTACCTTCATGGAGACCAAACCAAACCAAGTTACAGGTCCAATCTGTGGAGAGGCGACACCGTCCACAGTCAGAATGCCTGTTTTTCTTGGTATTTTTGTGAAATAAAACCACCTTTAATTAAATAAATGTAAGGTAGAGTGGTTTAATGTGTTTAATACTGTGAAACATTCCAGACAAAACAATGACATTTCCATGGAAAAAAGCATCTGACAGACGCTCCACCAGAAAAGCTACACAATGCACCTTTAAAGTTGTCACAAAAATCTGTCCAGATATTAATTGATACTAAAACTAAATACCAATCTGAACAAGTATAAGTACTGAAAAAAACTACTTTTTAAAAATGATTCTAGTATAGTCTTACAATTTTTCCTGGTATAAAATGAATGACGTGCTTGTCAAATATATTTACGTGTGTGATTAAATAAGTTTTTCTTTTTCCTATTCATTTTTGGGCATTTTTTGTAGATGTTGTTATTGTTGTTTAATTCCGTTGGTACAATTGCACTTAATGACTGAATAAAAAATAGAAAATGTGTGACTTTAATTGTTGACACTCCACCAGAAAAGATGTTTATTTTACTATTTAGTGTTTAGACTTAGACAAACTTTTGCTCCACAAGGGAAATTATTCTGGACACAGTAGCTCACACATCACAATATAATATAATAACAAAGTAATAAAAATATAAATGATAATAAGAAATTCTAAATTAATAGCAAAAAAATAGCAAGAGAGAGGTTAGAAATAAGACATAATAATATAAATGTGTCAACAAGTCCAAATAAAATAGAAAAATTTGTAATAAAATATAAAATCTCAACAAGTGCAACAATGATATGGTTCCTAGTCTTCTTAGTTTCTTCATATTTTTCTTTGCATGTGTCTGTATCATATTTTGAGATTTTGGCTGCTCTAACCCTCTGCCTCACTAACCCTCTGTGTTTTCTTCTCACTTTTGTAACCACGCTAACCCAGGAGGATGACGATGGTAGCTGGGCTCAGGTTTGAAAACTGTTCCTCAAAATCCCAACAATCATCTCCTCCCTGAATCTGATCGACTCTGCGTTTAAAACAGGGCTGCACAATTAGCCAGAAAATAAATATAAGAAAATACGACCTCATAAGCACCTCAGTGTATTTCATTTCTTGATCTGCTTGTCTTCATGGAGATGTTATTTCTTGGCCTATAATGTTTCACATTATGGCATTAAGCATATTTATCTCCATGGAGACAAGCAGGAAGCACCAGCAGGCAAAGTTACAGGTCTGATATAAATGCAGATAATTTATTTATACTGTAGTTTATTTTTTGTAATTGTACACTGGCAAAAGCACTATTGACTGAGCCTTTAGTCGTAGCAGTAGCAACAGCAGCAGCAGCAGCAGTTGTAGTATTAGTAGTAGTATTATCAGTAGTAGTAGTAGTAGTAGTAGTAGTAGTAGTAGTAGTAGTAGTAGTAGTAGTAGTAGTAGTAGTAGTAGTAGTAGTAGTAGTAGTAGTAGTAGTATAGCAGTAGTAGTAGTAGTTATAGCAGTAGTAGTAGTAGTTATAGCAGTAGTAGTAGTAGTAGTAGTTATAGCAGTAGTAGTAGTAGTAGTAGTTATAGCAGTAGTAGTAGTAGTAATAGCAGTAGTAGTAGTAGCAGTTGTAGTAGTAGTAGCAGCAGTAGTAGTACTTGTAGTGGTAGTTGTAGTAGTAGTAGCAGCAGCAGTAGCAGCAGTACTTGTATTAATAGTAGTAGCAGTAGTAGTACTTGCAGTAGTAGTAGCAGCAGTAGTAGTAACAGTGGTAGTAGTTGTTGTGGTAGCAGTAGTTGTTGTAGTCGCAGTAGTATTAGTAGCAGCAGCAGCAGTAGAAGTAGAAGTAGTAGTAGTAGTAGTACTTGTAGTAATAGCAGCAGCAGTGATAGTAGTTGTAGTAGCAGTTGTTGTTGTAGTAGCAGTAGCAGTAGCAGTTGTAGTAGTAGTACTTGTAGTAGCAGCAGCAGTAGTAGTAGTATTAGCAGTAGTAGTTGTAGGAGTAGTGGCAGCAGTAGTAGTAGTAGTAGTAGTAGTAGTAATAATAATAGTAGTAATAGTAGTTGTAGTAGTTGTAGCAGTAGTAGCAGCAGTAGTAGTGGTAGTAATAGAAAACATTGTTTAGTTCTTGTTTTGAAGAACTAAGTCTTGGTTCAAGTTTTCTAGTAGTTTGGCCCAGTCTTTAGTATTTTTATATTCAATCAAAATTTATCAGTCAACTTCATGGTATAGACCTGTTATTATTGATCTTGTTCATATCTCCATACTATTTTCCCCTATTAAAGATTCAGTCCTGAGATTCACCCAACAATTATTTTTATATACAAATGATGATTATACAAGATTTGATTTGAGTTTACAATGCAAAAAAAACACATCTAATAATACCAGTCAATGTATTGGTTCATTCATTCTTATGCAGCCCTAATTTAAACGCATTATCTAACCAAATTACTACTGACTAAATGATAAACCAACTACCCCTTAAATCATAACCATAGCTTCACCAGTCCGTAGACATCCAACCTCTCCACCGTTTGTTTTTAATCTTGCTTTTAAACATGATTTTGAGTCCTCTTTCCTGGTCTCAGACTTTGGCGTACGGAGACATGAACCACGAGTGGATCGGTAACGAGTGGCTGCCCAGTCTGGGTCTGCCTCAGTATCGCTCGTACTTCATGGAGTCTCTGGTGGACGCCCGGATGCTCGACCATTTAACCAAAAAGGACCTGAGGGGACAGCTCAAGATGGTCGACAGCTTCCACAGGTACCGCACCGGAGCTTTACTTTTACTACTGGACCACTAACGACGTGTGAATGTGTTTATTTATTTACTTAATATTATACAAATTGCAACTTTTACTACTATTTCCTTCCAGTTTAAACCCATTGTTTTTCTGGTGACGGTAACTTCATTGCCAATAAATCAAATTGGGTTAGGTTGCTTTATTCATACCCATAGGTAAATTTGTTTTGCAGATTTGAGAGGCAGGTCCCACATTTCACGTTTTATTAATTCATCCACATTATATCCAATAAACACGTCTAAAACAAAATTACAAAATAAAGTGTTACAGTGCTCCAGTGCAGAATGGTTTGTTCCATACACAATTAGTTAAATTCATCCGTCATGCTTGTCTAAAATCACAATAAATATTAAATATATATAAAAACACATGATTTTTCCAAGACAGACGTACTAAAATCGATAGATGAATAGATGACAGTTAATTTATTTACTATTTTAGAATGATAAATCTGTGTTCGTTTATTCGTTTTTCAATATAAAACCAAAAATAAGAAAACAAAAAAGCAACTGTTTTGTTCATTATTTGTCTCCAAATCCAAAATGAAAAAATGGATAACGATTAGTTTTTTTTTCAGTTTTCGACGGATAAGGGCCGCAAAGCTCCTTTTAAAAATCACGTAGAAAACAAAACAAAAACTGGTCATAAATTTCCAAAGATGTAAATAATTTAAACTGTTTCTCTTGTACGTAAAAGAAAAAAAGAAAAACGATGAAAAAAATAAAAATGAAGAAAATGCCTCCCTTGTTTATAGCAGCAGATCGGAGTTTCTGATAGCAGAAGCTCATTAATAAAAGTATTTTCTCAGCAGCCCAAAGGTCTGTGGCTTGATCCCAGTTTCAACTTGTGTATACTGCCTTTGTCTTCTTACTCTTGCATCTATGGAGCTCTTGATTCTTTCTCTTGGGAATCTAGTTTCCCTGCAGCCCTCCGTGGGTCTTTTTTTGTGTGGAAATGGTAGTTATCACATCAACATGTGGCTTTGCGAGTGCAGTTTTCAAGTCTGTGACCACAACAACACAGCGGAGTTCTGATCTTCATGTGAGTGGTAATCCGCAAGAATTCAGCTCCAACACAAGTCACAGTGGCAATCTGAGCGAGGCATTAAACAAGACTCTTCACCCAGGTTTATTTATGAATGTGGTGCGTTAGTGAGTCTTTGTGGTGGTTGCAGAGACTAATTCGCAGATCAGCAGCCGCACTGTCTGTCTGGTCTATTACGTACAGTTGAGTGTGGAGTGAATGAACAGTCCACAAAAGTGTGAAGCAATAATCAGGAAAATCACTATGTAAGGCCAATGCATTATTGTAACAGGGCAGCCGCGGGGTCTTAAAAGTCTTAAATGTCTTAAATTTCATGTTCCTAAATTAAGTCCTTAAAAAGTCTTAAATGATGTTGTCCAAGTCTTATTTTTTTCACAAAGGTCTTAAATTTCATTAGCCTGTTTTTTGTTTATTCAACCGGGCTGCAGTGCAATGAAATCACATAACATGAATGAATGTCTAATTTGGAGTATGCACAAACAATACTTTGATTCTGACGCAAGCGGTAATGAGTAAAAAAATCAGTAGAGTGGAGGAAGACGTTGGATGGATCATGGGGAAGTGTAGGTTTAATCCACAGGGACTCTTAGATTCTAGATATAGTAGTTGGTCATTTCTAGAATTGGATCTGGTGTTTTTCGTTCGCATAATGGGTGTGATGTTGGTCTTAATTTTCATTTAAGTGGTCTTAAAAAGGTTTTTAAAAAGCCTTAAATTTGGGGAAGTCAAGATACCCTGTATAATAGTACAGTAAATAATTAATCTTTATTTAAAAAAAAAAAAACAAGGTTTACTAAGTGCTATACAAGCAACAATGAACATAACAAAAAGCATAAAGGCAAATCAAGTTTATTTGTGTAGCACAATTTGTACACAAAGTAATTCAAAATGCATTACAGAATAAGAAATACATTAAAATCACAAAGAAAACAAATCAACACCTAAATAATATCATAAAATTAAAAAGAGACAGAAACGTTAATTACATAAATTAGAGAGAAGAGTGCAGAATGAAAACTTTTCACTCATATGCACAGCTAAACACAACCGTTTTGAGCCTGGATATAAACAGAGTCAAAGTAAAAATGCATAGAAGTAGCATACAGAAAGCATAAAAAAAAACAGACATTGATGCAAACAATCTGATTAATTATAATAAATTAACAAAAAGAAATAGAATAAAAATAAATAAGGAATAAAATCAAGCTAAAACCAGTTAAAGGAAGACTAACCGATAAAAATGAGTTTTAAGAAGTGATTTCAAAGATGATCCTAATGGTGTGAGCTCCTCAGGCAGGTCGTTCCAAAGTCGAGGCGCCCGGACTGAAAAGGCTCCATCACCTTTCGATGGGAGCCTGGACTTTGGAACAGCCACAGGGACCAAGGATTAAAAGTTCTGAAATGTAACTTGGCGCAAGACCTAAACGAGCTTTAAAAGTGATCAGTAAAATCTTAAAATCGATTCTAAAACACTCAGGAGCCAGTGAAGGGAAGATAAAACAGGGGAAATGTGTTTAGCTGCTGCGTTCTGAACCAGTTGGAGGCTGGAGATGGATTTGGAGTAGAGACCGGAGAGGAGGGAGTTGGAATATTTATCATTTGCCCATTATTTTCTCTTCACAGGAACAGTTTTCAGTGTGGGGTCATGTGTTTGCGGAGGCTAAACTACGACAGGAAGGAGCTGGAGCGACGGAGAGAAGAGTGTCAGTTTGATATCAAAGGTAAACACATATTTTCTCAGGCAGGTTATATTTAAGTTTTATTGCGACATTCCCTGATTTCCGGTTTGTGCGTGTGTTTCCTCAGACGTGCTGGTTTGGAGTAACGAGCGCGTCGTCAGCTGGGTGCAGGCCATCGGTTTAAAGGAGTACAGTTCAAACTTGTGCGAGAGCGGAGTCCACGGAGCACTCATGGCTCTAGACGAAACATTTGACCACAACGCACTGGCACTACTGCTGCAGATCCCCACACAGAACACACAGGTACTACTACTACTACTACTACTACTACTACTACTACTACTACTACTACTACTGCTACTACTACTACTACTACTACTGCTGCTGCAGATCCCCACACAGAACACACAGGTACTACTACTACTACTACTACTGCTACTACTACTACTACTGCTACTACTGCTACTACTACTACTACTACTACTACTACTACTACTACTGCTGCAGATCCCCACACAGAACACACAGGTACTACTACTACTACTACTACTACTACTACTACTACTACTACTACTACTACTACTACTACTACTACTACTACTACTACTACTACTACTACTACTACTGCTACTACTGCTACTACTACTACTACTACTACTACTGTACTACTACTACTACTACTACTACTACTACTACTACTACTACTACTACTACTACTACTACTACTACTACTACTACTACTACTACTACTACTACTACTACTACTACTACTACTACTGCTACTACTACTACTACTACTACTACTACTACTACTACTACTACTACTACTACTACTGCTACTACTACTACTACTACTGTACTACTACTACTACTACTACTACTACTACTACTACTGCTACTACTACTACTACTACTACTACTACTACTACTACTACTACTACTACTACTACTACTACTACTGCTGCAGATCCCCACACAGAACACACAGGTACTACTACTACTACTACTACTACTGACTACTACTACTACTACTACTACTACTACTACTGCTACTATACTGCTACTACTACTACTACTACTACTACTACTACTACTGCTACTACTACTGCTACTACTACTACTACTACTACTACTACTACTACTACTACTACTACTACTACTACTACTACTACTACTACTACTACTACTACTACTACTACTACTACTACTACTACTACTACTACTACTACTACTACTGCTGCAGATCCCCACACAGACTACTAACACACTACTACTACTACTACTACTACTACTACTACTACTACTACTACTACTACTACTACTACTACTACTGCTACTGCTGCAGATCCCCACACAGAACACACAGGTACTACTACTACTACTACTACTACTACTACTACTACTACTACTACTACTACTACTACTGCTACTGCTGCAGATCCCCACACAGAACACACAGGTACTACTACTACTACTACTACTACTACTACTACTACTACTACTACTACTACTACTACTACTGCTGCAGATCCCCACACAGAACACACAGGTACTACTACTACTACTACTACTACTACTACTACTACTACTACTACTACTACTACTACTACTACTACTACTACTACTACTGCTGCAGATCCCCACACAGAACACACAGGTACTACTACTACTACTACTACTACTACTACTACTACTACTACTACTACTACTACTACTACTACTACTACTACTACTACTACTGCTGCAGATCCCCACACAGAACACACAGGTACTACTACTACTACTACTACTACTACTACTACTACTACTACTACTACTACTACTACTACTACTACTACTACTACTACTACTACTGCTACTGCTGCTGCAGATCCCCACACAGAACACACAGGTACTACTACTACTACTACTACTACTACTACTACTACTACTACTACTACTACTACTACTACTACCACTACTACTTCTACTATTACTACTACTTCTACCCCATAAATACTACTGCAGATACCCACAAAGAACACACAGGTAATTCTGCTAAAACTACTAATACTTGGCAGCACGGTGACTACTCATCACACTTCACTCCCCCATCCACCCAAAACACACACCACAGTTCAAATCCTCCAGCAAAAATAGTCCTGAAGATCTGAAGAATGAAAAATGGGTCAGATTGAAAAATGGATCCTACTGAATTTCCCTCATACTTGACTTTGACCTCGACTTTAACTACAACTGCTGCTTGATGAATGTTGTTTGTTTTCAGGCCAGAGCGACTTTGGAGCGTGAATTCAACAGTCTCTTAGCGATTGGCACGGAAAGGAGGATGGAAGAGGTAACGCACGAATCAATACTAACGCTGTAATTATTGAAGAACGCTGTCGAATAATTAAATCCCGTTACTAGGACGACGATAAGAACTTCCGGCGCGCTCCGTCGTGGAGGAAAAAGTTCCGGCCCAAAGACGTGAGGGGACTGGGGGCGTCGGACACTTTACCGGCCAACTTCAGAGTGACAGGTGCTGGGTCCCCCGCCCCTCAGCCAAAGAGAAGCCCTGTAGACGGTAAGATCCAGGCTCTAACAGAAAGAGGAACTCAATAACTCAGGCACGTTTGGTCCTGGTTTTAGCCCCATTTAATCCTGATATAGACTTTCATTTGGTCCTGATCTAGTCCTAATATAGTTCTGATCTAGTCCAGGTTTAGTTTTGGCTTTAGTCCCAGTTTAGTCCTAATATAGACTTGTATTTGGTCCTGTTCTAGTTCTGATCTAGTCCAGGTTTAGTTTTGGCTTTTGTCCCAGTTTAGTCCTGATATAGACTTTGATTAGGCCCTGTTCTAGTCCTGATTTAGTCCTGATTTAGTCCTGATCTAGTTCTGATCTAGTCCAGGTTTAGTTTTGGCTTTAACCACAGTTTAGTCCTGTTATAGACTTTGATTTGGTCCTGTTCTAGTCCTAATTTAGTCTTGATTTAGTCCTGATCTAGTCCAGCTTTAGTTTTGGCTTTAGTCACAGCTTAGTCTTGATGTAGACTTTGATTTGGTCCTTTTCTAGTCCTGGTTTGGTCCTGTTCTAGTCCTAATTTAGTCTTGATTTAATCCTGATTTAGTCCTGATCTAGTCCAAGTTTAGTTTTGGCTTTAATCACAGTTTAGTCCTGATGTAGACTTTGATTTGGTCCTTTTCTAGTCCTGGTTTAGTCCTGATCTAGTCCAGGTTTAGTTGTGATCTAGTTCAGGTTTAGTTTTGACTTTTGTCACAATTTAGTCCTGATGTAGACTTTGATTTCGTCCTTTTCTAGTCCTGGTTTAGTCCTGATCTAGTCCAAGTTTAGTTCTGGCTTTAGTCACAGTTGAGACCTGATCTAGTCCATGTTTAGTTTTGACAGTAAGCCCAGTTCTGCCCAGAGGTAGACTTTGATCTGGTTCTGATCTAGTTCTGATCTAGTCCTGGTCTAATCCTGATCTAGTCCAGGTTTAGTTTTGGCTTTAGTCACAGTTTAGTCCTGATGTAGACTTTGATTTGGTCCTTTTCTAGTCCTGGTTTAGTCCTGATCTAGTCCAGGTTTAGTTTGGGCTTTAGTCACAATTTAGTCTTGATATAGGCTTTGATTTGGTCCTTTTCTAGTCCTAGTTTAGTCCTGTTCTAGTCCAGGTTTAGTTTTGGCTTTAGTCACAGTTCAGTCCTGATGTAGACTTTGATTTGGTCCTCATCTAGTCTTGATCTAGTCTTAATCTAGTCCTGATTTAGTCCCGATTTAGTCCTGATCTAGTCTAGGTTTAATTTTGGCTTTTAGTCCCAGTTTAGTCCTGATGTAGAGTTTGTTTTGGTCCTGTTCTAGTCCAGAGTTAGTCTTTATTTAGTCCTGGTTTAGTCCTGATCTAGTCCAGGTTGAATTTTGGCTTTAGTCCCAGTTTAGTCCTTATTTTAGTGACGTATTTGTGCAAATGTGAATGCACTCTTATTCAGTCTTTGTGAACGTGATGAAAAAATAGGTTGTTGTGGAAAAATGTCTCCCTCTACTGTCTCAAACTACAATTACAAGTATGAGCACCGCAAAACCTGTGTCAGTGAAATCTTAAACACACTGTACCAGATTTTTACGGTCTTAAAAACACGATTCACAACTCTGAGAGACCAGAGCTGTAGACAAATCTGTAGACAAATTGCGCTTCAAGTCCAGGACGTTTAATAAAAATGTGACAAAAACAATTTCAAGAAGTTACTGAGTTCCACTTTGAACCAGATGATGATTATATAATGTGCATGTATGTTTCTTGCTCTTCTCAATGCTGTTAATAATATGTCTATAATATTTCTGAATGTTTTCTTCTCTAATTCCTCTGAAATGCCTGAGCTGCTCTGTCTAATGTTGTGATGCTGTGACTAACGGCATGTTTTTGCATGTGACCCCAACACAGGGAGTCAGTCTATACAGAGGCTGGACACTGCCACAGTCAGGACCTACTCTTGTTAACACAACGGTGAGTTTCACGTAGACACAAAAGGACCAGATACAGTGTGGTTCAGTTTAGTATGGGAACATCTGCGTTTGATTTTACTCTAAATATTGGCGCCTCTGATCAAGTTTTTAGTAACGTAGTACGGTTGTCAAAAATATTGAAAAATCAGATACAAATAGGAATGTTTGCAAATAGGAATAAGTCAGTTTTTCTTGGAAAATCCTGCACTCGGCTCCACTTTTCTCATGTTGGACATTTTGTTGATGAGGGTGTCACGGTCAACAGTCAAAACGATCGTCCTTTTAAGAGCGTTTGGAAAGAGATAAGTCTTCATTTGTGCTGCTCTGGTGGGAGGGGCCACGTGCTATGATAAACACCGCAGAAAATTACCAATATTTTAATAGAAAATATAATTAAAATATTTAAGTAGAAAATCAGCCGAGGGCCAGATTAAAGGTCTTGGAGGGCCGGATGTTTGACACCTGTGCACTAGACAGTTTAAAAGAACCCCAGAAGTTGTAAACCGCGCACTGGCCAATCAGTGAAGAGCTGTGAAGCCGTGACGTCAAACTCAAGCGTCTGTCTGGGTCCAACAGTAAACAAAGCGGTGAGATGGATGTAGACGAAGACAGACATTCTGTGTTGGCAACGATTCAGGAGATCGATGGTTTAAAGCCGGAACAAAGAGAATGTTTGGTGAATTTTATCAAGTGGAAAGACATTATTGTCCTCCTTCCTACGGGATTTGGCGCCATACGAACGTCACAACCACATAGCAGCGATTGGTTAAATTTAAAAACAGAACCCGCCTACCGTCAAGCGAACAAATCCTAATGCTGCGAGGTCAGACGGTTTCCACGAAGTGAAACCGGCTGATGAATCAAGCTACTAATTGACAGGACAGAATTTAAAACAATGGCCAAAAACACAGAGTTCCCTCTACATAGACCATGATCCTTTGCTTTATATCAGTGCAGACTACAAGAAGAACTATCGGCTCCATTCACGCTTACGTCAGAAACCTATAATTAAGCACTTTTAATCTTAATTGTTTGGATTATTACAGAACCAAAGTCTTGTCAAGGCATATTCACACGTTTGTTATGCCTCTACAAAATATCGCTATAAATATCCATGAGATGCACACATGAAAATGATTAGAAAGATTATACTGACGGATTTGGATAATGTTACATCCCTCGGGCCGAACTGTGGAACATTCCAGGCAAATTCCAGCATCCATCACAACAGTTGCAGAGTGCATCTTTTCAGAAAATTGTTTTATTATCAAACACATTTTTGATACATTTTTCAGCTTAAACAGTGTTACTAATGCGAACCAGGTCTATATTTAAAGGTGCATTGTGTAGCTTTTCTGTTGGGCGTCCATCACCTGCTTGTTTTTATGGATGTCATTGCTTTGTCTGGAATGTTCCACAGAATGGCATTAAACTTGCTTATTATTTAATTGTAGGTGTTTTTTTACAATAAAAACACCGGTATGGTTTGTGGCCATACTGAATTGTCAAAGCCTGATTTTGTTAGCTCTCAGAAGCTCAGCAGGGCCTGGTCTGGTCAGTTCCGTATTTTTCAGTCTATTAGATGCGCTCTTAAGCCTCTAAGCCAGGGGTGTCAAACTCATATTGGTCCGGGGGCCGTATCCAACCTACTTTGATCCCAAAGGGGCCGGATCAAAAAACTCATGGCATATAAACCCAAAAAATAAAAATAAATTCAAATATTTGTGCAGAGAAACACAAATCTATTACAGAAAACTTTTTTAATTGATGAACTCTTTCTTTTGCAAAATATTCTAATATTATGAACAACCTGAAACTTTAAGAAAAATGCTATTTCAACACAAAGTTTTAACATGAACTTGTATGTAAACGGGAATAAGTCAATTTTTCTTGGAAAATCCTGCACACGGCTCCACTTTTCTCATGTTGGACATTTTACTGATGAGGGTGTCACGGTCAACTGTCAAAACGATCGTCCTTTAAGAGCGTTTGGAAAGAGACAAGTCTTCATTTGTGCTGCTCTGGTGGGAGGGGCCACGTACAGAGACGCTGCTGTGATAAACACCGCAGAAAATTAACAAGATTTTAATAGAAAATATAATTAAAATATTTTAGTAGAAAATCAGCCGAGGGCCAGATTAAAGGTCTTGGAGGGCCGGATCTGGCCCCCGGGCCGCATGTTTGACACCTGTGCTCTAAGCCATCAAAAAACGACTGTGCACGCCACAATCCAGAGCGCCCTATACACGAATCCACTCGGGTGTCCCAGCACAACTTCAGTAAACTACAAAGCCGCACCACTCGCTGTGCACACAAACACACACAGAGCAGACAGCGACCGCACAGCGAAAACACACCCACAGACACACTCATCACTCCACGCCGACGAGGAACGGAACAGAGGAACGGAACGAAAAAGCGAGCGCAATGTGCCACTTCTAGACACGACTGAACAACTGAGTCACTGCGAACACGCCCACAATCCGTTGGTCCCAGACAGCACCCTCCCTACACGCCACAACTGAACAAAGCCCAGAGTCACCGTGAACGCCACAAACAAACAAAACCACTCACCCATCACACTGTTGTGTTTCCTTTAAAGTCCGGTGCGGTTTATTTGTGAAAAAAGTTTGAAAAATAGACCATTTAATGACAGTGCGTCTTATAATCCAGAGCGCCTAATAGCCTGGAAAATACGGTACTTGGATGGGAGACCACTGGGAATTCCAGGTGCCACAGGGGGCGCCAGTCACAGAAATTGCCGTTGTGTCCTTAGGCAAGACACTTCACCCAGATTGCCTAGAATGAAAGTGGTGTGTGCGTGAGTGATGACGGTGTTTGGAGGGGCTGATGACGCAGATTGATAGTCAGTCTGCTCCAGGGAATGAATAATGAACTGTAAAGCGCTTTGGGTGTCTTAAAAGGCACTATATAAATTCAATGATAAATTAATAATAAATTTAAAAATACCGTAAAAAAAAATCTGCATTCTATTGTAAGTGGGCCCACCTCTCCACAAATTGGACCTTTTAAATTCGCTTGGTGCTTGTTGGAAATAATAAACAAAAAAAAAAAAAAAGGAAGTTACACAATGCACCTTTAAGTGTATATTTAATTAAATTTAACTAAAAAAAACGTACACACTTAACTGAACCACACTGTCTTTGTGCGATTGCCTTTATAAATGCACTTGTATGTAGCTGTTGACTGTCTGTTATTGCAGCTTTATTTGTCATGTTTCTTCTGCTTTAATAACGCATGTCCACGCCTCTCTCTTCTCTCTTCTCTCTTTTTTCTCTCCTCTCTCCTCTCCTCTTTCGCTCCTGTCTGCTTACTCTGTCCACCTCTCCTCCTCCTCCTCCTCTTCCTCCTCTCAGTTTATCCTCATTATTTCTATAGGTAACCGCTGGTCTGAAGATGAAGGAGATTTCCCTGCATTTAAAACCAGAATGATGAACTGAAATTATTTTTTACACTAAATTTAAATCAGAAAAAAGACTGTATTTCTCACCTCAAGCTTCCCTATAGGAACCTTTATAGTGTTGGTTATAATATTTATGTAAACCAATGGGACGTTTTAACAGATTTTTAGACCTATGTATAATCTTTTTTACCTCGTTTTTTTTTTTTTTCTTAATCAAAAAGAAACATTTCCCTTCTGTGCCCTAATATTAAGCTTAATATAAATATATATATAACTGAATGTGTTAACCAAGTTTGTACATTTCTACCAGATCTGTCTAATAATCTTTTTATAATCCTGATTCTATGGAAAGAGAGGTTTATTTTTCGCTATAATGGCAAATTTAATCATGAATTTAAAGTGACTTGTTCAAATCTCTGTATCTTTTAACCCTTTTTATTTGTAAGTACTTTTTTTGTAATTTCTCTAAAATAATATACGGACATTTCTAGGTCAAAAAACTGTGTTAGTATCGAGCAGAATTATCACTGTGAGACTTTATCGAGCTCTTGGGTCACTACGTTTACATGCAAAAATAAGACGATAGAGATTCAAACCACTGCTTAACTACTTTTTAACTTTACTTTTTTGTGATCATACCATTTAATTTATCAGATTTTTATCATGTATCGCATTAGAAACACAGCGACTTGAAATTTCCACTGCCGCTTTCACATATAAAACTTTAACAGCATCGTAATAAGATGGTAAAAGTGTATTATAATACACGCATCACGAATTTCAGACTTCCGGTCATTGCGCAATTCATACTGGGAAGGATTTTCCGGAAAACTGAGCATCAAACCGCCATGTTTGTTTTCCCAGTGGGATGCGTCTATTGACAAAGTCGATCTTTTCAAGTCTTTTGAACCATATCCCTTTTGTTTCTGGTTCTGATATTGTCATATTTTAGTTTTGGGATTCGGACATTGTAATTGTGTGGTTGTTGGATCCTAACAGCGGAAAACGACTCAAGAAATGTGCTTCGGAAAGATTGCAAACGCCATAAATGCAAAAGGGAATTTGCTTTGTTAGCGTTCCACATACAAAATGTTCGCTGCAAACTCAGGATGATTTCTTACGGTTTCCTTTTTCGTCCTTCCTGTGAATCAATCCTGCCCATCGTCTTCACCTTTCACTGTTTTTCAGTTCCGTTGAGAAGAGAAACAGTTTGAATGGAGGTTTGCAGTCACACACATCTGATTCCCTTTTGCATTTATGGAGTTCGCAAACTTCTGAAACTAATTTCTCGAGCCGTTTTCCGCTGTTAGGATCCAACAACCACACAATTAATGATGTCCGAATCCCAAAACTAAAATTTGAAAATATCAGAACCAGAAACAAAAGTGATATGGTTCAAAAAACTTGAAAAGATCGACTTTGACAATAGATACATCCCACTGGGAAAACAAACACGGCGGTTTGATGCTCACTTTTTCGGAAAATCCTTCCCAGTATGCATTGCGCAATGACCGGAAGTCCGAAATTCATGATGCATCTGTTTTGGAAGAATTAGATTTTTAATATTGTATTTTTGCTGCTTTTTTCAATATAATGTTCTAATTTCATATCATCAAAGCTACAACTGTTTTATTATCCATTTTCCAGCCACTGTTATGGCGTTCATGGCAATAAAACTAACCCTAAACCTAAGGCACTTTTAAATTACCAAGAATCATTGTTTGTGTTTTCATGGTAATTTTATGCAAACAAGACTGTATAATGTTAATTTTTTCAGTTATCATGATATTACTGAGTTTCAGACATTATTAGGGCTGCTTGATTATGGAAAAATCATTATCACGATTATTCAAACTATTATTTTTTAGTTACACGATGCATTTATACAGCATTTAAAAACACACTTTGTTATTCATAATTTACGCAAAAACTTTCAAATTGAAAATAAATATGGGCTACAAATATGAACCTTAGAGCAGTTTTGAAATGTATAAAACATAAAATGAATCAAAAATACACTTTGAACTTGAAATAAGGCATAGAAAAACAAAAATGCATCCAGAATAAACTATATATCCAGCTGTTCTACAATCTCTACATTTAACAAATCTAATAAATATAAATCAAAATATCCCAAAATAAACAAACTAAAATTAAGCTTTATCGTTTCAACTCGATTATATGAGTTTGGAGATCGTTTGACACACAAATTTAAATCACGACCAAAATTTGATTAATTGCACAGATTTACTTTGTATAAGCCAATAATATGTAATACAGATGGGGTTAACTAAAATGAATATTGTACAAATGCAGATTTTTGTTGTAATACAGTGAGTTTTTAGGTCTAGTCACTAATCCACCTTATTCCGGAAGTTGTCGAGTGCGTCACCATCATGATTCGGGTCGTGTTATTTTGTTTTGGGGCTTCGGATCTTTACAAGAAATAAGTTCGGTCTGGAAGATTAAGCCGTTTTAAAGCCTCCTCAGATAATCAGTGCAGTGTAACTTGTCGGTGCACAAATGAAATTCCAAATTCTCCATTGACGTGAATGGGATTCCCGTTTAACTGGAAGTTCCACTACAAAAAAAGTTCAGTTTAGGAGCGTTTAGAGACAAAAGTAGGCAGGACGGAATAAGGTGAATAGAAATAATCATCTTAAAGGGACAGTTCTGAATAGAGCCTCATTTTCCTAGATACTTCATTTCCCAAAGCAAATCTATTATTACACCAGACTGTCGATGTGAATGTCTGTGTTGATTGAATAATGTCTGAAATAAAACTAACCTTACATTGTATGAATCGTCACATGTTGAGGGACTATTTTCTCTTATATCAGTCCGCCGCTGCCGAGCTTTCTATGAAGAAGTACAACTCGATGCTGCTGCTCAGACATAAATCCTTCAAATGTAAGGTTGGTTTTACTTCTTAAGTTATTCTATCAACACAGACATTCACATGGACAGTCTGGTGTAATAACAGATTTGTTTCGAGTGTTTTGTGGAGTGGGTAAGACTGTTTTTAGTGGCAGGATAACTCTGCAATCCTCTGCAAATACAAGGACTGGATGGAATATTGAAATTGTCTCCAACACTCTGGCTCACTAGGAAATAAGGTCCTATGTCCAAAATTCCGAACTGTCCCTTTAAGATTTTTCAAAGCAAAATCCAACGTTGTCAATCAATCTCTTGCGCCCTCATCTGGTAGAATGTCATCCTTACATTTTTATAATCTGAAAACCACTAATTACCATCTCATTATTATGCAAATACGATGCCTTGAAGTAAAATCCTGCCAAACATATCAGCTGCCATGACATATTTACTTGCGCTGTCCCTTAAAATACTTGAAGCTCAGTTTTTGAGAGCAATTTTGAGTTATAAATTCACATAATGGACACACACTTAATTGTAATATTCAAGGCAAGTTAGAGTTATGTTTTGTTTTCAGTTTACTTTTTGGTTTAAGCCAGGGGTGGGCAAACTACGGCCCGTCGAACTTGAAGAATAATAATCATTTTCAGTGTTTTAAAAGTCAATAAATTCAGTAAATAGTAAATTGCTTTGGACTTGAAAGACAGATATTTTGTTATAATAATACTTTGTAATGATTTTCAATTATGGGATGAGCTGGATTACCAAAAAAACTCCATCCGTCTGCTCCTGGTCCGGCCTTTCCGTCAAATTTTAGAACCATTTTGTGGCATACGAGTCAAAAAGTTTGCCCACTCCTGGTTTAAGCTGTAAGATAATCACAGTCAAATTGAAATTCACAATTTGCAAATATCGAAATTTATATTCAAAAGTACTTAAATGTCCTTTTCTTGATGTCCTTTTTGAGATTCTTGTGTTAGTTTACTAGTTTATTTCTCAGTTTTCTCTTAAATTTTAATGACCACTTTGATCGCAAGTGATAATAATCGTGATACAAAGAAATTTCCGTTAACTTTAATAATTATTTTCCTGCATGTAAACGTAGTGACTGATTTAGAAAGGCTTAAACCCCCTTTCGTTTTTATATCCATATCTTAAACCAAAATGAAATCGCGCTAAGCCATATCTTTATAAAACTGATGCAAACAGATTTCAAACTGTAATTTCCAGGTTAGTATTTGAAGTTGCACGGATGACTCCTCAACTTTACCGACCGCACCGAATCCCTTTAAAAAATAATCTTTAAAATGTCCTTATTACGCTGTTTTCTGATCCGTTTTAATGTCGTTTCCTCGTCACGAAAAGACCTGGAGTTGCCTGAATTGCGTTTGAGCTTTGTGAATGAAACAAAACACAGCTCCAGATCTGTTTTTGAGGACTTAACAACATTAAAACGCGACTTAAAGCTCACAAGAGTCAGTTCTGCGTAATACTGGACCTTTTTTAAGAACTTTTCGCCACAATCTCAGTGGAAAAAATGCATGTGAAAGAAGGGACTGTTCACTGTTGCACCTACTTTTAATAATGGACCAACTTCACCGAGGCCTGAGATCGATCGACCGCTTTGACTGCAAAAAAATAATATCATCGAAGCGGAAAGATCCAACTTTTGATTTTGTAAACACTTATTGTCAATGCTACGGTGCTGTGGGAAAGTCTCAAGCAGATTTTCAAGACGGATGACGCAGAAATGGGTGAATGGATGTGCAAAAACGGGAAATTAATGATAGATTTTTAAATTTTAATCAAGATTTTGTCATTTCAAATTATCAGTGAAGGGTTTTTTTAGTGGAGAGGTCTTCAATCAATCAGTAAAAACGTGCAGAGTTCAAGAAATGTGACTTTTTTTCGTCGGTCAAATAACAATAATTGAAAGTCTCTTGTTTATTTTCAAGGACTTATTTTTTTTTTATAAAACTAAATAAATCAAAGTGAAAATTGGGATTTATCTACTATTTTTGTGATATTTTTAAACCCTTAAAATTAACGCAAGAAAATTTTTACTAACAATACAGGACGTTTGCTGCGTTTAATCACAAAATCCTGCTTTTAGTGAGATTTTTTTTCTTTTAAATGTATAGTTTAAGGGCAAAAATCTTTCTTAATCTTACCTTCCCTGTGATGAGAAAAAAACCCTTTAAACTACAAGCAATATAAGATTAAAGACCCTCGCCAAGGCACTAGTCCTATCTCGCAATCACGTTAGTTTAGTTCTGTGATATTTTTAAACCCTTAAAATTAACGCAAGAAAATGTTTTACTAACAACACAGGAAGTTTGCTGCGTTTAATCACAAAATCCTGCTTTCAGTTTGATTTATTTTCTTTTAAATATATAGTTTAAGTGCAAAAATCCTTCTTAATCTTACCACAAGATCCCCGTGATGAGGAAAAAACCCTTAAAATTACAAGCAATATAATATTAAAGACCCTTGCCAAGGCACTATCTCGCAATCGTGTTTAGTTTAGTTCTGGCTGACTATAAAAACAATAGCCTGTTTTTAGGTGTGTTTTTTTTTTTTTTTAAATAGTGACCATACAAATGAACTAAAACAAACAATTTACTTTTATATTCTTGAATTAAAACTGATTTATTTTGCCCTTATTCAAAAATGACGTGTAATACTTTTTAAACACAAGCGCAAAAGTCATTTTTACATCACCCATTACCAAAAATTTCCAATCAAAAACGTTAAAAAATGTCTTTAAAACCTGCCTGACGCTTTTGCACAGTGTGGTACTTTAAGCCTTATTGTTTATTAATTCCTGTACTGTCTTTCTTCTATTTATTCATTCACTATTTACTGAACTTTTAGCTTATAAAATGTTATTGTTATCTTGAATATGGTGACGCTTTCCTCTCATGTTTTGTCTCGTCTATGCTTTAACACAGGTTCCACTGGTTTTATATATATATATATATCCAATGATCAGGAACCCTAGAGGACTTTTTTTGTAGATTTTGAAAGTTGTTTTAATGTTTTAATCTAGTCGTTTCTGCACAATTTTGAAATCATGTTGCTGGTATTTTTGCCTTTCCCTTTTTCAGCTGTGATCCTGTAACATCGATGTACAGTCTGAGTACTTATAAACTATTTTTATCACAGTATTATTTATTGCTTACTTTCAATAAAATACTGAACTTGATTCGCCGTGGCTTTTTCAAGTTTGTCACAAAAACGTTTTCTGTGTTTTTCATCGCTGCTTATTTATGCTGGTCTGTTTTAGGTTTGCTTTTTTACACACAAACTATTTAAAAAATCAATTATTAAAATGTGATAATTATTTTCTGTATTATTTTACTATGCAGTTTGTATTTTAAGGAACATGATGTAACTTTTCTGATGTTGTGCCTTCCTTGTTGCTTTGTTTGAATTGTTTTTTCTACAGTGTGTCATTAAAAAAAAAAACTTTTCCGTCACCATGGAGACCAGCAGGCGACGCCACCATGCCGAGTCACGGGTCTGCAGATCTGTGGAGAGGCGAGCCCGCTGATATAAAGAGTGCATGTTTTTCGAGGAAAAAGTCCTGGAATTTTGTAAATTTAATGACTGTTTTGGAAAAGTCATGGGATTTTAGTATCTCTTCTGTTAAGTTCTCATGAGGCTATTATGATTATTTCTGAGCGTATGCACCTTTTGTTTAAAAGAGACGACAATAAATGCACTGACAGGATTTTGAACGTTAAAAAAAACTATAATCCCAAACCATAAGGTGAGTGGAAAGAGTTAACATTTCATATTTAGCCCTAAAAGTCTGATCAATTCTACACAATTCTAGGGTGTTGTAAAGTCATGGAAAATTCACTCAAGGTCATGAAAGTTTTAATTTTGTCAGTGAAAAAGTGGGAACCCTGAAGTGAGTATGGGCGCACTTCCTGCTCCATCAACTCTGGCTTCAATTCTCTTTCTATTGAAAAAAAAAACATCAACATCTCTGTCCGTATCTGCTGCTGTCAGACTCTAATATTCTTCACTGCAAATTTCTCTGATCTGGCCAAGATTTTAAAACTTATGTCACATTATTCATCTTCTTTTCAGATTTATTATTGACTTACTACTTCTGAGATGCTTAATTCTAAAGAATTTTAATTTAGACCTAAAAGTCTGAGCAATTCTAGACTATTCTAGGGTGTTGTAAAGTCATGGAAAATTCACTTAAGGTCATGAAAGTTTTAATTTTGTCAACGAAAAAGTAAGAACCCTGAAGTGAGTATGGGTGCACTTCTGGCTTCATCAACTCTGGCTTCAATTCTCTTTCTATTGAAAAAACACCCAAAAAACACCTGTCCATATCTGCTGCTGTGAGACTCCAATGTTCATCACTGCAAATTTCTCTGATCTGGCCAAGATTTTAAAACTTATGTCAGGTTATTCATCTTGTTTTCAGATTTTTTATTAACTTACTACTTCTGAGATGCTTAATTCTGAAGAATTTTAATTTAGACCTAAAAGTCTGATCAATTCTAGACTATTCTAGGGTGTTGTAAAGTCATGGAAAATTCACTCAAGGTCATGAAAGTTTTAATTTTGTCAACGAAAAAGTGGGAACCCTGAAGTGATTATGGGTACGTTTCCCATCTCCATCGACTCCAGCTTCAATTCACTTTCTATTGAAAAAATGTCACCCCTCTCTCTGTAACTGCTGCTTTCAAGCTTCTCGTTTTGGTCTTAAAATGTTCATCACGGCAAATTTCTCTGATCTGGCCAAGATTTTAAAACTTATATCACGTTATTCATCTTGTTTTTAGATTTATTATCGACTTACTAGTTCTGAGATGCTTCATTCTAGTCTAGAGGCAGTTTATTTTAAGATAAATTCAAGTAAAATTGATCTTCCTGCATGGACAATTTCACTACTTTTAAGTCATTTTCTGATTTATATCTAAAATGTTGGCCAAGCTTTTGTGCAGTGTATTAACCCGCTCTACATGATCTTGGGGTTTATATTTTATTATTTTGTCTGTAAATCATTTCCTAATATAGAATTTGGCTCCAAAATTCGCTTCTATAACTGCAAGAATCATGAGCTTCATTTGACTGGAGCTGAACGATATGGGTGACATCGCTTTTTTAGTCCATTTCAGTAGAATTTAATACATTTAATTTGTGATTTGGCCCTCGGTTACTTTTTACAGAAAATGTCGAACCCCTGAGTTACATAGTGCACCTTTAATTTCTATCATTTATTAAATTATAGACGTCTGTAATGCTCAAAATGTCTCCGAAAAACATGTATTATGACTCCTCTTGTGGTTTTGCCTCTCCACGGATCTGACTTGTAACTTGCATCTTTAATTCAAACTGAAAAATAACATCTGCCTGAGTTTATTCAATTTTGTAGAGGGACGTGGATCCTCTTTCTCTATTACTGTAAATCAATCTAATAACTCACAGCTAGATTGATTTTATGCTTCACCAGAAATGTTCCTCAGTGCATCTTTAATTGCTTTAATCGCTTGAGTTATTAGATTATGAAGAGGGACGTTGATCTGCTTTTTCCATTACTTTAAATCGATCTAGTTGATTTCATGAAGTTTTTATTTGATCCATTAATTTTTGGTTTTGTTTTTACACACATACATATATTTTTATAACTTAAAGCCAAAACAAAAACAAAATTGACAAACATGTAAACTTAAACTGAGGCAGAGAATTATACAAGGGAATCAATACAAGAAACTGAGGAAGTGGTTAAAAATAAAATCCTAATTCTTCTGTAATATTGAGTATTTTGATTGATTTATTGTTAGAAATACTGTTTAGTGTTTGAAGATACTTCTTAATGTCTATGACGTTCATTTTAAATAAGGACCTGGAATTGGAGAATTTTGATTTTTTTTTATAAATAAGTAGCAAAAAAGAGCAAGAGACAGTTTTACAGTTGTAGGGAGTATTATCTGTTACATAAGTTTGAGTTGCTGTACAGTTGTAGGGAGTATTATCTTTTACATAAGGGTGAGTTGTACAGTTGTAGGGAGTATTATCTGTTACATAAGGGTGAGTTGTTGTACAGTTGTAGGGAGTATTATCTGTTACATAAGGGTGAGTTGCTGTACAGTTGTAGGGAGTATTATCTTTTACATAAGGGTGAGTTGTTGTACAGTTGTAGGGAGTATTATCTTTTACATAAGGGTGAGTTGTTGTACAGTTGTAGGGAGTATTATCTGTTACATAAGGGTGAGTTGTTGTACAGTTGTAGGGAGTATTATCTGTTACATAAGGGTGAGTTGTTGCACAGTTGTAGGGAGTATTATCCGTTACATAAGGATGAGTTGTTCTACAGTTGTAGGGAGTATTATCTGTTGTCGTACAGTTGTAGGGACTCTTTTTTTTTTTTTTTTGTTATGTAAGGGTGAGTTGTTGTACAGTTGTAGGGAGTATTATCTTTTTCATAGGGGTGAGGTGTTGTACAGTTGTAGGGAGTATTATCTGCTACATAAGGGTGAGTCGTACAGTTGTAGAAGTATTAGCTGTTGTTGTACAGTTGTAGGGAGTATTATCTGTTGTTGTACAGTTGTAGGGAGTATTATCCGTTATATACGGGTGAGTTGTACAGTTGTAGGGAGTATTATCTGTTCCATAATGGTGAGTTGTACAGCTGTAGGGAGTATTATCTCATACATCAGGGTGAGTTGTACAGTTGTAGGGAGTATTATCTCATACATAAGGGTGAGTTGTACAGTTGTAGGGAGTATTATCTCATACATAAGGGTGAGTTGTACAGTTGTAGGGAGTATTATCTGTTCCATAATGGTGAGTTGTACAGCTGTAGGGAGTATTATCTCATACATAAGGGTGAGTTGTACAGTTGTAGGGAGTATTATCCGCTACATAAAAGTGAGTTGCACATCCGTACGGCATGAATTAGACTACGCAGAGGGATGTTGCTCCGCTTTTTCCCACTACTTTAAATCGATCCAGTAGTTTTCTTGAGGCTTTTATTTGAACCTTTTTTTTTTTTTTCCCCCTTATTAATCCTTACGTCCAGTCCTGTTGCGTCATCACGCCAGATCCGGAAGCAGGGCGAAGGGAGTGAAGCCAGGAACGTCCAGGAACATCTTTAGCGATTTTTTTTGTTTTTTCTGACAGGAGAGAGACATTATCAGAGGACCTACGCTCTCTCACGCAGTCACCACGTTTGGACCAGGCCTGCTCTTTGTACGCGGTATGTATTTTGTCATTTCCCTGCATTAAAATCGCTCCCGAATGCTGATTTTGTCATTCAATTGGCTTTACATTTGGACGCATTAGCTTAGCCGCAGCAGCTAACGCGTTGGAAAACTAGAACAGGAAATGCCATCGCCAGGTAGGGAGCCACATCTACAGCCAATTTCAACACGAATTTGCTTTTAATACACATTTTAGAGATTTAAACGGACAAAACATAAAGTATAGAACATTATTGAGACGTGTTTTTAAGCGTAAAAGACGAACAAAGCGCAGATGGGTCCAATTTGGCACGCTTGGCAAAATTTCATCCTTTGCTTTTCCAGAAATCTAACCATAATTCTTAATAAAAATGTCAAATATCACACGATTTCGATTTAAATTCTTGCTAATGATTCATAAAATAATCTACAATATAATAAAAGATGAAAGAAAATGTGTGTAACAATTACTGGAATAGATCTATCGGTTTTTTTTTTACGCAAAATACGCAATAAAAACGTGAATTGTGCATTAAATTTTTTCCAAATATGCAGTTTTTTGCCAGATTATAAACGTGATATTTTTACTATTTTTTATTATTTTATAACAGTGCCGTTTACAGTGTGTTTTATTGTATTTCTTGATGTAAATAAACGCGTAAAACTGTCAAAATTGCATTGCGTAAAATTGCGTTGGATTTTTAATTGATCATTTCTCGTTATTGGTGTTTATTTCGTAGAATATTCTGCCTTGGATTAGTACAGAAGGGCGTGGTGCTGCCTGGTGCGTGTTGTTAGAAGAACTCCTAATAGTTTTGTAACTTGGGGACGTCGCTTCCTGGTTCTTGGTTTTAAACTCTGGTCCGACCTGAGGTGAATAAAGAGCCACGTACGAGTGTGTGGAGAGACCCGAGGCAGACCCACGGACAGACCCTCCTGATCCTGAGTGAAAAAACCACAGCACAAAGAGGGGAAAAGCTGAGTCAGGGCTTTTGGTTCATTGAAGACATGCCAGATACACAACAGCAGTGTGCCAGTTCTGATGTGAGGGTTTAATGGCTTACGAGATACAAAAGCACGCTGTCAAGTAATGATTTAGGCATTTAAATTATTTAAAAAATCAAAAATATAACCCCGTAGTGTTGTCAGGATGCTAAAATGTCAAATTATTTCGATATAATGGACTAAACTTGACACTCAGTATTGATTCTGATGCCACAATAATCATAAAAAGCACTTTATTTAGACCAGGCATGTCCAAACTATGGCCCGTGGACCAAATGCCACCCTCGGACAAATTTTGTTTGGCCCTCACGCTTCCAGGCGAATTGGCCCAAATTACTTGTCATCAATTAAAAAATATCCTTTTACGGCAAGTTTTTTTTGAAAATCTACCTTGATAAAGCTAGTATTTAATATTTAGGGTGTGGTTTTGAGGATCTTAGCATGATTAAAGGACTGATGGCTCATTCTTACATATTAAACATGCAAATATTAAAATTATTCACTGTATTGATGCCCAGTCTACAGCCCTCGATTGGCCCTCTGCTTCTTCTGTGTTTAGATATGTGTCCCTTGATGAAAAAAGTTTGGGCACCCCTGATTTAGACAACAGAAGGTGATTTTCAGCATTAAATCATAGTATTTTCTTTTATATTTCCACGTTTTCTTGTATCTGTGTAATTCCTCAATGGTCCAGGTAGGTTCCATAGTGGTCCATGGGCATATACTAGTCTTATACTTGTTCTAATACAGCTCAAAATCATTCTAAAGCTTCAGGAGAGGTTTATTTATGTCCTGTGTATGCGACTTTTTTAGTATTAATACCTGCTCAAATGACTGTGTACTTTCTATAGTTTTAGGATTAGGATATTAGCTTTAGGTATCAGATTTTTGATACTTTTGACAACTCTATAAACCAGCTCTTTCCAACCTTTTTCATTTCGAGTATCTCCCTAAACTCTGACATTTCTAGGAACCCCTTGTCAATATCTGCTCATGATTCTTTAGTATAATGAGTTACTTAGACCATAAACCAGACCTGGGCATTGCACAGCTCCATCATTTGGAATTACAAAATAAACATATTTTTTTATCATTTTACCTCATACATGGACTAAAGCTGCATTGTTTTTACTTAGAGGTGTTTTTTTTTTTTTTTAATGACCTTTCTGTAAAGCAACCTCACTTTTTCTTTGCTTAGTCATAATATAAACTCTTACCATCTCGTCAAAACAATGCTATTTACTGCTTTTGATAAAGAAATACAATTAATATTATGCAGAATAATATAAACAACTGCCCACCCTTGCCATAGACCATAAAACAGGGCTTCTCAAAATGAGGGTGCACCAGAAAAAAATGCCATGGATAAAAAAATAAACAATTTGTCAAATATAAATATTATTACATGAATCATCAGTGGCAATACCTTTGTACCATTAATAATAACAATTGCTTAGTTATGTACATATGGAAATGAGAGACCTGACAAGTGTTTAATTGAAGTCAAAACTTTAAGGCCTTAATTTGGGTATATACACCTTTTATTGAACAGTGCTGGATGCTGTTTCGCTTTTATTATTGTACTGAAAGCACGTAAATATCATGTAAATACAATAACAATAATCCCAGTTTTATCCCTTGTCCCAGTGCGTTTGGTGTGAGGAGAGACGATGTGGCGGGCCGCAGTCGGACAAAACGTGAGCGTGAATTTGGACGACGGAGGAGACGACTGGGAGACAGACCCAGACTTTGAGGTTCGGCTTTTGATTTAAGTTAATTCTTACAAGGATAAATAAATAAACACTGGGATCTAGTAACGATGATTGTTGGCTTGATTTATTTTTTATTTTTTTGGAATCAGACTAAATCAAATTAAAATCAAAAAGCCAAAATCTTTGTTGTCTGACTTAACTGACACTTTCATTGTCTCATTATTTCAGAAAAAAGACTTGAGGTTTCATAAATTTGCTTTGGAATTTTCACATATTTTAATATTTAAATTTAAAGCAGCACTCTACAACTTTTTAGAGGTGGCACGTCACATGTATGACTCTGTGGAAATGACATTAAAACCATACTTTAGAACATTTTCCATGGAGATTGAGGAGGTTTTTAGGCTGTGAAATAATAATATAGCCAAAAGTCGACAGGAGGAGGGGCCCCCATGTTGAATTGTATGTGTCTGTGTTTTACCATTATGTTTTAAAGACTGTGTTCCTTCATTGTAGCTATCAGAAATACTAAACTTATTTGCGATTTTCTTCCAGAACGATGTCTCAGAGAAGGAGCAGCGTTGGGGGGCAAAGACAGTGGAAGGTTCAGGACACCAGGAGCACATCAAGTGAGTTAAACTTTCCTCTCATTTTTATACAAACACTCATCCGATTTTCCCTAAACCTTTGTAAAATCCTGAGTCGTGTCTTACGTGTGTTTTTTTTTTTTTTTTTTTGTCTCAGTATTCACCATCTGCGTGAGACGGTCTCCACGGAGCACACCAAACTGAAGGAGCAGGAGCTGGACTCTATGCCCAAAGCCTCACACGGATACGGAGGAAAGTTTGGAGTGCAGCAGGATCGCATGGACAAGGTAAAAACATAAGTGAGATTTAAAAGAGCATTGATTAACTTTTCTGGTAGTGTCCACCACCTGCTTTTCTTCATGGAGATATTATTGCTTTGCCTGGAATGCTTCACAGTATGATATTAAAGCTTACTATTAGGGATCAAATTTCAATGCAATGCAATATTCGATATAATATTGAATCGTTTGATACTGATCTCACGATCCGATACACATGTCGATATGCGCACTGTGTTGTCATTTATTTTGGTCTGAAAGAGAAACGGTTATGGCAGCATCCTCCTCAGATGCATCAGAAAATAGCTTTATAGAGATTTACAGCTGAAATATTTTAACAGAGGTTGATTTTATCTTTCAGTCACTTTTTATTTTACGTCAATAAACCCAGGAATGACAAAAATATTCACTTTTAAATACTTTAGAATCACTTTTGGCTTCACATTGGCTTATCTTCACTGAATAAAAATTCAGAGCTGTAAATCACTAAACCAAACGAACCATCTATCATCATGGAGACCAAACCTGACCAAGTTACAGGTCAGATCTGTGGAGAAGCGACCCTGCTCACAATCAGACTGCCTGTTTTTGTAGGTATTTTTGAGCAATAAAACCATCAGTGATTGGATAAATGTAAAGTAGAGCTGTTTAATGTCATACTGTGGAACATGCCAAGCAGAGCAATGACATTTCCAGAGAAACAAGAAAGCGACGGACCCACTGCCAAAAAGTTACACAATGCAAATGCACTTTAAAGGATTTGAAACAGTTATTTTTGGATTTAAATATTGTGCTTTATAATGTTTTCAATGTATTTAATGTGTAGGAAAAACCAACCAGGGACAGGAGTTTAGACTTAGTACTAGGAATACACTTTACAAGTATCACTATATCAATCCAAAACCAATACCAATGTACTGAAACTTCTCTAGTCTCTATTATAAAGAGCTTTACATTGACATTATTATAAACTGATCCTAAACTGAACTATATGTTTGAAAAATAAACCAAATCAACTAAAAATGTACTAAAATTGCAATTTTTTGAGAGATGTTTTTTTTTAAATTGAGAATTCATACTTATTCTTCCTCAGTCACTATCGATTTATATCAGTATTTTGTATTGATTTGGCCATCACTACAGAGAAACAGTTCTGAAGTTTTTAACAATGGACCCATTATAATTATGATTATCTATTATTAAGTTATTTAAAATCAGTGCGACAGTTAACAACGAACAAAATGTAAAGTAATGATCTTTGTATGTGAAAGGTTTATTATGATGCAACGGAAAAAACTCAAAGTATGACACCTTTATGCATAGTTTTTTATTGTAGGGTTTGTTTGTCTTGAGCACATGTTGTATGGCCTGAGTTGCCCGTAAAGGTTTTATTGTCCTGATAGTGAGTGAGTTTATAACATCGTCGTCTCTGCAGCTCTGTCAAAAGTCCCTCCTCATTTGTGTTTATATAAATAGCCTGAGCCGACTTTTCTTTTCCAGTGTTGGCAGCACATTTCTCTCTCTCCTTTTCTCTTTTTTTTTTCTCTCTGTCTCTGTCTGTCTCCCTAACCCTGCTCTATTTTTCTCTCTCTTTCTTTTTTCCTCTTTTTTAGTCTGTCTCTTTTTCTCTTTCTCCTTCACTCTACCTCTTCTCTCTCTCGCTGTGAATGTGATGACAGGGTTTTATTTCTATCACACTGTGTTAATCTGTGATGAGTCAGAGGCCTGTGTTTCCCCCTACACTTGAGTTTAATCCTCTCGGGTCATTTAACCTGCTCATTTGTTTATATTTGTTTATATAACACGTATAAATACATGTAAGTACCTAAATAAAGACTGACTACTATTTTTTTGGACACTGAAATTGCACTTTTGTTTCTTGATTTTGTAACATCTCGTCTGCAGCTCTGTCAAAAAGTCCCTCTGGTGCTTCAGTTGTGTCGTTCTCTCTGTATCTACCACTCATTTCTCGTTTATTCGTATTTATTAGTGTGTTTATATTGTGTGTTTTCAGTCTGCGGTGGGTCACGAGTACCAGAGCAAACTGTCCAAGCACTGCTCCCAGACAGACACTTCTAAAGGGTTCGGAGGGAAGTACGGAGTGCAGGCGGATCGTGTCGACCAGGTATTTACAGGCTCATTTAGATCACACATTTCTGTATTCTTCTTTAAATGAATTTGATTTTTTAGAGATGGCATATAGTATGTTTTTTCACTATATACACTACTGGTCAAAAGTTTTAGAAAACCCAGATTTTTCCAGTTCAATTCAAGTCGTGTAAGTCCAATGAAGAGCTTGAAATGGTGCAAAGGTAAAAACTGAACAGACAGGTTAAAAAAAAAGAGAAAAGTTAACAAAACACAAGTCCAAGCTCTGACAAAACTACCTCAGGAAAAAAGAACAAGCTGGTAAAACTTGAAAACATGGAGTGTCCAGCAGCAGCACAGTGTCCAGACTTAAACCCCTTCGAGTTGATTTGGGATGAACGGGACAGAAGAGTGAAACAACCTACAAATGCCACACATTTATGGGAACGTCTGCAACAGACTGGGGAAGAACTTTCTGAACAATATTTGATTTCTATTGTAAAAAGAACGAGCTACAAGTGTGTTCAGCTGTTATATCTGCCAAAGGTTGACACTTTCATCAATTAAAAGTTTAGAATAGGTTTTGGTCAACAGGAAACTGTAAAAAACCTGAAAAAGTGTGGTGTTCTAAAACGTTTGACCGGTACTGTCTATTTGTAGCATGTATGGTAACCAGATACTCGAATACTTTTTCCCTGTAGGTCAAATTACACAGGAACTGCTGAGAATCGTGACTTTTATTAATTAGTGGCTCAGAGGAGAGAGCAGAGGTCTCGTAACCTGAAGGTCAGAGGATAGATTCCCGCTCATACCAAGATTGATGGTGGTCGGAGGGGAGAGAGGGAGAAGAGAGGAGATAATGTCCACTGTCCTCCCACATGTAGAAGGATGGAGAGAGAGAGAGTAGAAAAGAGAGAAGGAAATGTACAGAAGGATGGACGGAGAAGAGAAAGAGACTAGAAGAGAGAGGATAAAAAAATCCACTCTCCTCTTACAGATGGAAGGATGGGAAAGTGGGAGAGTAAGAGGTAATGTCCACTCCTACAGAAGAAATGATGGATGGAGAGAGGAGAAAGATAGATGAAGAGAGAGAAAAGAGAGGAGAAATTGTCCTCTGTCTTCTACAGACAGAAGGATGAATGGAGTGAGAAGAGAAAGAGAAGAGAGGAGGAGGTGATGTCCATTCTCCTCCTACAGAAAAAAGGATGGAAGAGAGACTAGAGAGAGAGAATGCATAAAGACGAAGAGAGAGAGAAGAGACTAGAGAGAGAGAGAGAGAGAGAGAGAGAGACTAGTCTCTCTTTCTTGTCTTTATCTAGTCTCTCTCTCTCTAAAGTCAAAAAGAGAGACTAGAGAGAGAGAGTAGATAAAGAAGAGAGCGAGAGACTAGAGAGCGAGAGACTAGAGAGCGAGAGACTAGATAAAGACAAGAAAGAGAGAGAGACTAGAGAGAAGAGAGAGACTAGATAAAGACAAGAAAGAGAGAGACTAGAGAGAAGAGAGAGACTAGATAAAGACAAGAAAGAGAGAGACTAGAGAGAAGAGAGAGACTAGATAAAGACAAGAAAGAGAGAGACTAGAGAGAAGAGAGAGACTAGAGAGAGAATAGAGAGAGACTAGATAAAGACAAGAAAGAGAGAGACTAGAGAGAGAGACTAGAGAGAGAGACTAGAGAGAGAGACTAGAGAAGAGACTAGAGAGACTAGGGAGAGACTAGGGAGAGACTAGAGAGAGACTAGATAAAGACAAGAAAGAGAGAGACTAGAGAGAGAGACTAGAGAGAAGAGAGAGACTAGAGAGAGACTAGAGAGAGACTAGAGAGAGACTAGAGAGAGACTAGAGAGAGAGAGACTAGAGAGAGACTAGAGAGAGAGAGACTAGAGAGAGACTAGAGAGAGACTAGAGAGAGAATAGAGAGAGAATAGAGAGAGAATAGAGAGAGAACAGAGAGAGAATAGAGAGAGACTAGATAAAGACAAGAAAGAGAGAGACTAGAAGAATAGAGAGACTAAAGAAAGAGAGAGACTAGAGAGAGAATAGAGAGAGACTAGATAAAGACAAGAAAGAGAGAGACTAGAGAGAGAATAGAGAGAGACTAGATAAAGACAAGAAAGAGAGAGACTAGAGAGAGAGACTAGAGAGAGACTAGATAAAGACAAGAGAGAGACTAGAGAGAGAATAGAGAGAGACTAGATAAAGACAAGAAAGAGAGAGACTAGAGAGAGAATAGAGAGAGACTAGATAAAGACAAGAAAGAGAGAGACTAGAGAGAGAGACTAGAGAGAGAGACTAGAGAGAGAGACTAGAGAGAGACTAGAGAAGAGACTAGGAGAGACTAGAGAGAGAGACTAGAGAGAGACTAGAGAGAGACTAGATAAAGACAAGAAAGAGAGAGACTAGAGAGAGACTAGAGAGAGAGACTAGAGAGAGACTAGAGAGACTAGAGAGAGACTAAAGACAAGAAAGAGAGAGACTAGAGAGAGACTAGAGAGAGAGAGAGACTAGAGAGAAAGAGAGAGACTAGAGAGAGACTAGAGAGAGAGACTAGAGAGAGACTAGAGAGAGACTAGAGAGAGACTAGAGAGAGACTAGGTAAAGACAAGAAAGAGAGAGAGAGACTGGAGAAGCGAGGAATGTCCCAGACAGAAGGAACCCCTAACCCTAACCTTTGTTAAAATCAGTCTGCCCCAGGACAGCTGTGGCTACATTAGTACTTTACCAGCCCAGAGTGTGAATGAATAATAACAACTCTCTCTCTCAAACCACATTACACAGTCTAAGTCATTATTAAACACATACCTATCTGTTCTACTCAGACTGTGTCAAATGTAAACAAAGGTTGTACCAGGACAAAGTACAACTGCGCCTGAATTTAGACGATTATAACAACAAGATTTAAGACGCAGTTTTTAAGCAGTAAATAAAAATAATTAAAGTAAAGTAAATAAGTGAATTGTTATGTTTTACAAGACAAAGGCAGTTTTTGTTTTCCTGACTGACCCATCCTTCTCTCTCTCTCTCTCTGTGTCTCGTTCCAGTCGGCTGTGGGCTTTGAATACGCTGGAAAAACGGAGAAACACGCTTCACAGAAAGGTACTGTCTCAACACGTCTGACATCCAAAAACACCTGCACACGCTCACACTTACAATTCTCTGAGATCTGTGACATTTCAGCACAAAAGTTTGGATGTTTATCTGTATTTATCTTCTATATTTCCATGATTATTTGCATCGCAGATTAACACTGTAGGTCTGAAAACTATGAATGAACAAACTAACCAGTGTTGGATCACTGCTCCGCACGCTTGGCATTTTTTGACCCTGACGAGGCGCAGCTGTGAAGTGAAAACCATTATAAGATTATCGAGAGAAGGTCAAGGGTCTGGAGCGCTGTCAACAAAGCCAGAGTCCTGCACGGGTCCATGTTTTGGAGACCCGCGCCCGTGCAGTACAACACCACACGCGCCTGTTTACCCGTGGTTATATCAAAAGTTAAATCTGCACCCGCCCGGATACCTGATAAATCGTGGTCAAGCCATTAAACCAGGACTATACCAGGACTATACCAGGACTATACCAGGACTATACCAGGACTATACCAGGACTTTACCAGGACTTTACCAGGACTTTACCAGGACTATACCAGGACTTACCAGGACTTTACCAGGACTTTACCAGGACTTTACCAGGACTATACCAGGACTATACCAGGACTAAACCACGATTGAACGTATGGTGTGTCATTAGCCGATTATAAATATATACATGCCGTAAACTGCAGAGACGATCTCCGGGACTGGACCGGGACTGGACCGGGACTGGACCGGGACTGGACCGGGACTGGACCGGGACTGGACCGATGTTATTAGCATAAATATAATACACGCCGCAACTGCCATGTCGATCGCCAGGTCTAAATCAGGACTAGACCAGGACTGGACCAGGACTGGACCAGGACTGGACCAGGACTAGACCAGGACTGGACCAGGACTGGACCAGGCTGGACCAGGGCTGGACCAGGGCTGGACCAGGGCTTAACCAGGGCTTAACCAGGTCTAAACCAGGTCTAAACCAGAAGTGAACCAGGACTTAACCAGGACTTAACCAGGTCTAAACCAGGTCTAAACCAGGATTTGACCAGAACTGGACCAGGTCTAAACCAGGTCTAAACCAGAAGTGAACCAGGACTTAACCAGGACTTAACCAGGACTTAACCAGGTCTAAACCAGGTCTAAACCAGGTCTAAACCAGGTCTAAACCAGGTCTAAACCAGGTCTAAACCAGGAGCACATTCGCCGGGCCAATCGCCTCCGCTGATGGTTTTATGTAATAAATACACTAAATTCTCTCAGTCTGGTCCATCGTTCCGGGAAAAGACCTGGAATGGCACTTGTTTCCAGGGCCACGTTTTTTTTTTTTTTTTTCTCTTGTTCGTCGTTCATTTGATTCACCTGATTCGCACGTAAAACTCCAGAACGTTAAAACCCCCCCATTTCAGCAACTATTTCTGGGTACCCGACAGGACCCGATGCAGGACTCTGAACAAAGCAAAAGGAGGATACTATGAGGATTTTGATATGACATAGAAATATTTATCTAATTCCACACATCATACTTCTTATATTTGATGTTTTTTTGTTGATATATAAAATTTTGAAAGTGTTAAATGTAAATAAAGGCATAAACTGAAACATAATTTGTCGTGTCTTTGTGTGATTTTCAGACTACGCGACTGGTTTTGGCGGGCGGTACGGCGTTCAGAAGGACAGAGTGGACCAGAGCGCGGTGGGATTCGATTATCAGGGAAAAACTGAGAAACACGAATCTCAGAAAGGTTTGTTCACACTAACTTAGACTTAGATTTAGACAAACTTTATTGATCCACAAGGGAAATTATTTGGACACATCTTTATCCTCTGATACTGTCTGAAAACTGCTCTAAAAGGTGCAGGGAGAGAGGGACCTGCTTGTTTCTATGGACATGTCATTGCTCTGCCTGGAATATTCCACAATATGACATTAAACAGCTCCACCTCACATTTATTCAATTACAAGTGGTTTTATAACTCAGATATCTAGAAAAACAGGAAAAACAGATCTGACCTGTAACTTGGTCTGGTTTGGTCTCCATGATGACAGAAAGGTTTAAAGCCATACTGTGAAACATTCCAGACTAAGCAATAACATCTCCATGGAGAAAAGCATTTGACAGACCCTCCACTAGAAAAGTTACACAATGTAGCATTAATACTAAGTGGAATTAAACACTAAATAATTTTTTTTAGCTATAAATCTCTGCACATGCTGTTTTAATAGCAGTGTAATTCATGTATTATTCGTTTTTCAAAATAAAACAAAAAATAAGAAAACGAAAAAAACAACCATTTTCTTCATTACCGAGATCAGATTTAGTCCTGGTGTAGTCCTGGTCTCAGTCCCAATCCCGGTCTGGTCCCGGTCTTAGTCCTAATCACCCGACAGTCTACATGGGTGCACCTCCGGGCCTGTCCTGACACTTAGTTTACAGTCCGGGTTCAGTCCGGGTTCAGTCCGGGTTCAGTCCGGCATCACAGTTTAAGTCACGTAAACGCGAAACAACCATTATCCGTTTTTTTCCATTATTCATTTAAACACAAAATCGAAAACTGAAAAAACAAATCGTTATCTGTTTTTTTCATTTTGGTTTTGGAGACAAATAATGAGGAAAATAGTTGTTTTTTTCATTTTCTTATTTTTGGTTTTATTTTGAAAAACTAATGATCGAATGATACATGGATTCATTGTCTACACTGATTAGTGTTTTTAGGCCAATTTTAGCGCAAAATAAGTACATTTCCAGCTTTGTCTTCAAAAATTAGGTTCACAAAAGCTGAGAGTGTGCTGCCCCTGGTGGCCACTGCTATTTCAAGTACTACATGACATCCCTCAGGACTGTCCTGATCACAGCCACGTGCTTCTGATACATTTCTGATGCACTTCCGATAAAATATTTTGTCGTTTTTACCCGCAAGTGTTCTCGTGTAAACATGCCCTTAGTCCTCGAGGTACTGCCCAGTTTAGCGACTCTATTTAAAATGTTGTTGTGGGCGGAGTTTATGTGTCTAATTTTAGTCCCACTCTAATTTTTTGTCTTTTTGAAATCCGTTTGATCACTTGAACTCTTAATTTGACATGTTTCTAACCTGAAATAATGCTTACTAGAAATAAATAAATTGCTTTGACACGTTTTCAATCTTGACACAAAAAATATTATTACGTCTAGTAGAGGATGCATGGACTGTAAATAAGCAGTTTAAATAAGGTCGAAAACAATAGCTGCCTGGTGCCAACAGTACTTGCAGTCTTTATTCTCTTAATAGGAAAAACATGTCTTTAGGGGTATGTTCTTGGCTCAGACACTTGGATGATTTAGACAAGAGCCGTCCTGTTCCAGAGGTTTATTTTTGCTTTAAGTTTTGTGAGTACAGCCCCACTCAGTTCTTATACTAAAAACTTGATACTCAATACTGATTCTGTAATAATAGTACTTTCTTTTATATTCCCATGTGCTCTTATCGATTTTGTATCTGATTTTCGATGCTTTTGACAGCCCTAGTTCATTATTGACCTCTTTTATTTCAGATTATTCTAAAGGATTCGGAGGGAAGTTTGGCGTGGAGACGGACAAAGTGGACAAAAGTGCTGTGGGCTTCGAGTATCAGGGAAAAACAGAGCGCCACGAGTCCCAGAAAGGTAAAGTATTTCAAGGTATTTCAAACTGCAGTTCCTCACTACAGGTGTGTGTTTAATGCTGTTGTCGTCCACCCTGCTTCACTTCAGTTCAGTATTTTTCGGTAAAGTATACATCAAAACTGTTAGGGGTGGGATGAGATAAAATTTTCACAAGATGAGACATGAATTTGGGTCCATATTTTGACATTTTTATAGTAAATTGTATGATTCAGTTTACAAATTTGGCTCATTTTTTGTCAGTTTAGTATTGTCTTTTTTTACACAATCTTGTATTAATTTTACATCACAAGATTAGACTATTCTAATACTCTAAATTCTAAAAAGTATAAAGAGAAGGGGTGTGCAAAAATATCGATATATCGTATAGTTTAATGTGATGATACAGTATCGATATCATGGGCGGCTGTATCGATATATCGCCAAGAGTATTTTTTGGTATATTTTACAAAATTATTGTGTTACAGTGCTACAGTTTTGTTGCTTATTTAGAGGAATGAAACTCATTTATGCAGCACATTTGATATTTTCACTGTTTTGATGATTAAAATGTTTGTGTTTCATATGAATTTGGCTCAAGAAGTGGTTTAACAAAGATTTTTTAGTATCGCTGCCATGATTTAGCCTTTATTTTTTATTGAACTGAACCATTTTGAAATATATCAAATCGAAAGTGCACTGTATTGAGTTATGTATCGTATCGTGGCCAATGTATTGAGGTATGTATCGTATTGGCAACTTCTTCGTGGTACCCAGCCCTAATAAAGAATATTCTGATTACAGAATATTTCTGATAACAAAACAAATATGCAGTGATGATATGGTTTGTTTAATGTGGCTATTTCTGTGAATTTCATGGAAACGTATAAAATATTAGAGATTGGGAGACCAAACAATCACATCGCAGCATTGAGGTTTGTGCAGAAGCCAAAAGCCAAAACCAAAACAAACATGACGACACTTGCAGACAAGCTTCAGCCAATTTTAGCATCAATACAGACTATTTTGGTTAACGAAAATGTGCAGAAGGTAAGAGCTTTGTGCGTTTGTGGATGTCTGTGCTTTTCTCTCAACTGGATGTAACTAAAGTTTGATTTTTTTTTGGGCTTGTTTCGCTGTTGTGACGCTTCTGCCATTCAGATTCAAATAGTCGTCATGACGCTGCACGTTTTCTGATCTCCTTCAGCGAGAGCCGTTCCAGACTGAGCATGTGTAGAACTCAATTCAGAATGACACACATATGAATCAGGCCTGAGCCAGGTTAACTTTCCCAGATTAAAGATTAAACATTAATTACCCTTGGCCGTGCTGTTCTTATCACAGTTTTTTTTTTTTTTTTAGTCTTGGTTTAGATCCACGCCCAGACCTGGTTTAAGTCCGGACTTGCTCTGGACCTCGTTGCTGTGTTGCAGAATCCTTTCACTTGTACAGTCCTGTCTCGCATTCCTGTCTTTGTGTCTGTGCCCAAATCTAACCCGAAATACAATACACAACAATACAAAGAGTGAACACTGCGGCAGTCAGCTGGGAACAAGCATAAACAATCAAAATAATATTAGGATATATACAGGAAAACATACTTTAATAGAGGTAAAACTCGTTAATTTGTACACCACAGTCCAAGCAAAAAGTAATTTTAAGTGCTTTCTAGAACAACAATGCTTTACAGTAAGGTGGGGGATATGCCAAAAGTTTTGTATCTCACAGACAAACGTTAATGATCCACAAGGAAAATTATTTGGACTCGCACATCACTAGGGCTGGGTGTCATTAAGAATTTGTCGATACGATATGATATGATCTCGATACAGCGCTCTTTCGATTCAATAAAAAATAATCGCTAAATCATGGATGTGATGCTAAAAGTCTTTGTTAAACCACTTCTTACAAACATTGTAATCATAAAAACAGTGAAAATGTCAAATGTGTCGCATAAACGAGTTTCCTTCCACTAAACAAGCAACAAAACTCAAATAAGGCATAATTATATAAATGTATAAATGTACAAGTAAAACAAAAAATACAGAAATCAAGTAATACAAATTTATCCAAGTTCAATATTTTCTGCAGTTTTGAAGGTGTGTATAAAAGCTTTTAATGAAAGTACACAGAATATTGTTGCATCCCTCGTAACTACAACTGTCTGCTTCTTATGAAAGTTGTTGAACTGATTGAAATTTAGTCCAAATATAAGGTTTTCTCAGTTCTATCTGATCTAAAATTACTTTCTCACTTTTTCATTACTTAATAAGTACCTTTTACTTCAGCCTAAATCCTTTCAGTCATGATCTATGGGATTGTAGTCTATGGTTTGTTTTTTGTTTTGTAGTGCTGCAAAATGACCAAATAAACTATTACTACTACTTTGATTCTAAAATATACTTTTCTATATCTGTGCTAGTTAATATTTTAAAGGCATTGTTTCTGTTTTCCAGATTACGTGAAAGGTTTTGGGGGTAAGTTTGGCGTGCAGGCGGATCGTCAGGATAAGTCTGCTCTGGGCTGGGACCATCAGGAGAAACTACAGCTGCACGAGTCTCAGAAAGGTAACGCGATTTATTTAAGTTTTACACTAAGAAAGGTTTTGCACGTTTGATTATGAATATTTGGAAAATACAGGATTCTTGTAGAACTTGGAAATGTTTTTGGTTGTGACAAATGTATGTTTTAACTACAGATGATATAACGTAAAATATATATAGAGACAAAACTGAATTCATTTGTTTTTATTTGATTAATTTAAGAGGATGGTGTATATACATAGATGGATATAGATGTATATAAATACTGTTTTGTGTATGTTAATAGTTAGTTTAAAGCCTCATTATGTAACTTTTAACTGCCCAAAAATAGACTAAAATAAAAGTTTTTTCGTTATGGATGTGTTTTTTCTACTGAAAAACTTGAAATAAAAACATGTGTACTTACTCTGAGCGGGTTTGCATCTCCACAAACCTGACTCACAATTGGCCTGCTCGTTTCCATGGAAATGTTGTTCCTTTGGCTATAATATTCCGTAGTACATCTTTAAACTATATATATCTCAATTTTTTTAAACTTTAACTACCTCTATGTCAGGAGTGTCAAACTCAAATTCACAAAGGCCAAAATTAAAAACTGGGACCAAGTTCGTGGGCCAAACTAAATATTTAATGAAAATTTTCAAAAGCATTTGGATGTTTTCTCTTCTTTAGTGATATGTAATGTTAAACCTTTTCTTATTAAAATAAATGTTTAATAATAGTTTTGCTTAAACATTGAATCCAGAACAAGCAAAATATAAAATAATAACAAAATTTTAAATGTCTGTATAGTCGATCTGTAGCCGGTGGGCAGCTCTAATACATGTTTGATATGAGCTCACGGGCCAAATATAATTATATCATGGACCAAATTTGGCCCCCGGGCCTGAGTCTGACATGTCTGTTCTTTGGAATCATGCGGCTGACTTTCCACAAGCAGAAAGTTGCGTACTGGGGCTTTAAGTACATATAGGCTTTTCTTTACCTTATGTTTTACTGCTGATAATGTATTTTAATAATTAAATAATGTTATGGTTTGGATTTGTAATGTTTTTTATTTTATTTTATTTTATACAATTTTGAGAAGTCACAGAAGATTTTGATGCTATAACCCTTTGTAAACTCTTGTGTTCTGTTGCCTTGACTCTTCACGTCCTGTTTTTCTGATGTGGTTGAACTGTGGTGTTTTCTGTGGGTTTTTTCAACATTTTCACTTCCTCACATCAAGTGCTATAAAAGTGAGATTGATGAGTTCCTCTGAAAAACCAAAAGCCAATCTGTAGTTTCACTTCCTCCTCTTGTCTTAGTCTGATACTTACACGGGGTTTATAACTTGGGAAGGTTTTGCGATAAATTTAATAATAGAAGAATCTTAAACCATCTGCCAGTCTGGGGGGATTCTGTCTTAATCCATGTTTAATACATATTTATACTGACAAATGCCTTGATACGGGTGGATAAACTGATCACTAAAGTGTGAAATCTCTTAATCGGCCTATAGCTCAGGGTTAAGTCAGAGGAAATGTTATCAAACAGAAGAGCTTTACAACCACAAGTCAGGCTAATATTATGTGTAAGGATCATGTTCTTTAAAGGTCCTATATTATATTATGCAAAATTGACTCCTGTGAGCTTTAAGACATGTTATAATGTTGTTACCTCATCAAAAACGTACCGTATTTTTTGGGCTATAAAGCACACCAGATTATAAGGCACATTAAGCGAAACAAAACAGTCAGATAAGTCAAACTTTTGTCATCTCATTCACAATAACTCGAAGCATTGTTCAGTTGTAACACATAAAATACAAAACAATAGACTTTTTCAGTTCATTCCTCTTCCACAAATCCATCAGATTCTTCATCGTCACTGTCTGAGTTTAACAGTTGGGCGAGTTTGGCATCAAGCCCGGATCCCTCTCGCTGTTATTTAGCTGTTCAGTGAGGATTCTGGCCTTCGTCAAAGTTCGGACGACACTTGAGACTGATCCCTTAGCCCAGGCGTCCACGATCCATTGGCAGATCGTTGTGTACCTCGCCTGGCGTTGCCTCCCTGTCTTGGTGAATGTGTATTACTTCGCGAGGCTCCTGACTTTGGTCGTCGTAATGCTCAGACAATCCATCAAGCGGTGCGGCCTCGTAGCTTACCAAAGTCGTACTAAATCATTTTGACAGATTTTTGAGCGTCGTGTACCACATAAAATCAGGTTGAGGTCAGTCACAACCAGAATTAATACATAAGGCGCACCAGATTATAAGACGCACTGATGATTTTTGAGAAAATTAAAGGATTACAAGTGCGCCATATAGTCCGAAAAATACGGTACTTGAGAGTTGTGTTTTGTTTCATTTCCGTCTACATCTCAAAGCTCAAAATGCTCTGCTCCACCTTGTGATGTCAGGAAGTTAACAGCTCCTTTTACATTTTAGTTCGGTAGAGTTTGGCAATTCCAGGGCTGAAATCATCCAAATGATTTTTTCACAAGGCGGAAGCGAGTGTTTTTTGTTTGAGAGAAGAACTCAGCCTAAATATGCAGAGTGTGAATGAAAGAAAACACAACTCTTTTTATATATATATATATATTAAAGACAATAGAATATAAAACTTAACAAATTACAATAATAAACATAAAAACAAAACACAAAAAATTTAAACAATATTTACAACAAAACTCCCCACCCCTAACCTACCCCTTCCCCCCAACACACACACACAAGTTTAATTAAATAAAACAAAAGTAATGTGGGAGCTTAACCACACTGCCTAATTTATAATAAAAATTAAAAAAATTGTTCCTCATTTTTCCCCCCATTTTTTAAAATAAACACTTTTAGTCACTATACGTAACAAATAGTTTTTTATCACCACCATCTAGTGTTGTAGTCAAGACCGCACTAATCAAGACCAAGACCTGTCTGAGGCCACAGGGTCCTGAGACCAAGACAGGACCAAGACCAAGGCCCATAGAGACCAAATCAGGACCATCTTTGCAATTTTTTACACTTATTTGTATTTTTCTGTTAATTTGGTACACATATATCATTGTTTTTATACATTGATCTCCATTTTATCACTTGTCAAGTGTCAGACCTCGAGACCGAGACCAAGACCGAGTCCAAACGCAGTTGAGTCAGAGATGAGACCAAGGTCACAACAAAGCAGTCTCGAGGCCGGTCTCTCGTACTTCGACACTACCACAATCATTTCCTTTCATCATCTTTTACTGTTTACTACAATCTCAGGAATGTTTTGTGATGAGGAAACAACATTATAACTATAACAGATCAGAAAATAGTGTAATATGGGCCTTTTACACAGATTGTTCACCTTTAAAATCCAGTCTCATCTCATTTAAACATCTGTCCACTAACTTGAGTGTGTTTCCACGTGGCTCCTGTGTCTCTCACCGTCTGTCTCTGTGTATCTGTGTGTTATATGTGTGTGTTCACAGACTATAAGCGTGGTTTTGGAGGGCGTTATGGGGTAGAGACAGAGAGACAGGACCCATCGGCTTTGGGCTTTGAACACAAGGAGAAACTGTCCAAACACGAGTCTCAAACAGGCACTCACCTCCGCTTAGATACTCCCCATGTACACGCCAGGGATGTCAAGATAACGATTTATTTCAATTTACAGGAAAAAGCAGAGTTTACAATTACGCTAGTCTAATTTCTGACTCCCTCAATAAAAAGAAATTGGCAAAATATTATAATAGATTGATAATTTCATTAGCTGATCACATATTGTTATAGATTTTTAGTTTTTATTTACATATGTGATTAGGCTTATGTTATAAAAAAAATTCGTATCAATCTGTGTGTCATTTGTTCATTGTTTTTCAATATAAAACCAAAAATAAGAAAATGAAAAATTAACTATTTTCCTCATTATTTGTCTCCAAAACCAAAATGAAAAAAGAGAGAACGGCTGTTTCCCGTTTAAGTGACTTAAACTGCGATGCAGGACTGAACCAGGACTGAACCAGGACTGAACCAGGACCAGGACTAAGACCAGGATATAGACTGGGACTGAGACCAGGACTGAGACCAGGACCAGACAAGGATTGAGTCCGAGATCATGACCGGAACTGAGACTGGGACCAGGAACATTACCAGGAACGGGTTTGGGAGCAGGTCGGGGAGCAGGTCGGGGAGCAGCACCGAGACTGTGACCGAGACTGTGACCGAGACTGTGACCGAGACTGTGACCGAGACTGTGACCGAGACTGTGACCGAGACTGTGACCGAGACTGTGACCGAGACTGGGAATATTACCGGGAACAGGACCGGGAACAGGACCGGGAACAGGACCGGGACGGAACAGGACCGGGAACAGGACCGGGAACAGGACCGGGAACAGGACCGGGAACAGGGACAGGATTGAGACTGAGACCAGACCAGGACTGAAAATGGTTCGTTATCGTTTTGTTATTTTTGGTTTTATTTTGAAAAACGAATGAATGAATGAATGATACACGGATTCATATCTCAGACACATTTTCATTTAGGTGAATTATTGATTTTTAGTCTCAAAAATTTGGACGCACCCTCTCATTCAATGTTTTGTTTTGGGGTTTTTTTCCTTTTATTTTTACAACTTTTTCCAGTTATTTTTACTCCTTTCTACATTTTCATATACGTCTGTAAGATTTAGCAAAGAAAAAGAGAAATAACTGTCCTAAATGTTTTTTGTTTTGTTGAAATATGTAGAGTAGTAAACATAAAGAAAAAAAAAACATTGAATGAGAGGGTGACTCCAAACTTTTGACTGGCAGTTTATGACAAATATTCGAGGCAAATTATATTAAAAAAAAAACAACTGACTAACATTCATAGTACATTTTCAGTTCTTGTTTCTCAAATGGATTATAATTACTAAAATGGAGTAATCCTGACATCCCTCCCGTTAAAGACAGACCCCGTGACCCTTGACCTCTGACCTCCTCTATCTGAGCGACGCCTCTGGCTGTGCAGCTTGTATTTGAGCTTGTATTGGCCTGTGATCTGTGCTCCACTTTTTTCCTTCTTTTGGCTGAGCTTGAGCAATGAAACCTCCACATTGGCTTTTCCACAGCTCCTGAACGCAAACAGCAAACAGACTCTATAGATGCTTTTGAATTTTGGAGTATTAATGTTTTTATTTTAGTTAATGTTACACAGAGAGTAAAATCTGTAGACTTTATCCATTCTTGTTGAGTTCTGACTAAAAGGTGACCTATGTAACTTTTCTGGTGAGAATTCCACTACTTTATTGTCCCTATGGAGATAATATTTTGTATTGAGAGATCAACGCTATTAAATTAAACTTATATTTTTAATTTTCTTATTTATTTATTAGTAAAGGGACAGCACATATTAATGTAAATATGTAAAGATTATTGCCAGCGTGGCTCATTTCCATCTTCAGTCCCTCGGCAGGTTCATGTAAAATCATCTACAGGCCAGAGAAAAGTACAACAAGAATCACACAAAAGTACATAACACCAGCACACTCACTGTACATACAAAATAATTTCAAACAGTTCATTTGGAGTTCAAAGTCAAGAGTTTAAGAATTAAACCAAGAGTTAAACCAACAACCTCTTAATATAAAATTTTTTTTATCTGGTTAAACGTGGTGATATATTTGGCCATTGAACAACCGCTTTTTTAAAGTTTTAGAAAATGCTGCAGTGTTGAAAGTTACCGTATATATTTTCAAGCATTTATTTAATAACATTAATTATTTAATAACTTGAATAGGGCTGGGTATTATTAAGAAGTTGCAGATACGATACATACCTCTATACATAGGTCACGATACGCTACATATCTCGATACAGCGCACTTTCGATTCGATACGGTTCAATAAAAAATAAAGGCTAAATCGTGGCTGTGGTACTAAAAGTCTTTGTTAAACCACTTCTTGTGCAAAGTGAATATAAAACACTAACATTTTAATCATCAAAACATTGAAAATGTCAAGTGTGTGACATAAACAAGTTTCCTTCCTCTAAACAAGCAACAAAACTGTAGCTCTATAACAAAATAATTTAGTAAAATATACCAAAAAATATTCTTGGCGATACATCAATACAGCAGCCCATGATATCAATACTGTATCCTCACATTAAACGATACAATATGTTGATATTTTGATGTTTTTGCACACCCCTATGTAACAATAACAGAAATATCATGAAATTGTATTGTCAAAAGTCTCACAATAATATCTTGGGCCAACACAATATATCGAGTTGCAAGTCTGTTCTCTTAAATAAATAGTTGTGTTGCAGCAATAGCAAAAAAAAACAGAGTGAACTACATAGACCATGATCCTTTGCTCCATTTAAGTGCAGACTACAAGAAGAAATAACAGTTCTAACACTTTTAAGTCTTAGTTCTTTGGATCAAGTCTTGTCAAAGCATTTTAAGAGGAAAAAGTCGCATATTCACAATTTTATTAGCCTCCACAAAATACAGTATCTCAATAAATATTGTACCAAGACATGCATATCGTGAAAATATACAGAGATAATATTTTGTATCGAGAGATTAGCACTATTAAATTATAACTATATTTTTCAAGCATTTATTTAAGACCTTGAACAACAAGTATTCTGTTAGTGGGGTTGCCTCTCCACAGATCTAACCTGTAACTTGGATTTTTTATTACTTATTTTTCTATTCTATTATCATAACTTATACATATATAGTACATTTATATAATTATGCCTTATTTTACACCAGTTTCTTGCCATTTCTGCTACTTATTTAGAATTTATTATAACCATTTATATTTTTACTCTTTGTTATTATAGTATTTTGTGAGCTACTGTGTTCAGATAATTTCCTTTGTGGATCATTAAAGTTTGTCTAAGGTTTGTCTAAGTCTAAGGATAGATAAGGTTAATGCTTAATTGAGGCAAAGCAATAAAATCTCCATGGAGACAAGCAGGTAGCAGACCTTCTACCAGAAAGTTTACATAGTGCACCTTTTAATCATACAAAGATTTCTATATCATATTGTTGATTTTCTTATATTGTGTTATTGCTGCGTAGATACAGCGCCCCCTGTTGTTCTCTTTTGTTTGTGCATGAAGCTCTATGTTCAGACCAGTGCTTTATCTGTCCAAGTCTCTCCTGCAGCATGATTATTTTGTTAATCAGATAGAAGATGCTCCCAGCCTCAGTGTATCCTAAAATTACTTTGTCTGAACTTAAGACGGCTACAGTCGAGCTCAATATTCCTGTCTATTCAAGTCCTTTCTGGTTCTGGAAGTACATTTTCTATTAATTTTTCCCATAGACTTTTGAAAAAATGTAAGTATAAAAAGTTTGAAGGCATCACAGAGGATAACCAGCTACGTGGTAACTAATATCCATAACGCTGTAAAGTCCAAAAAGCTAATTTAAAACGCAAGATTCTGTTAAATATTTTAATAACTTAGCAGAGGTTTATACTAGTGTTGTAGTCAAGACCGCACTAATCAAGATCAAGACCAGTCCAAGACCACAGGGTCCCGAGACCAGGACAAGACCACAGGGTCCCAGGACAAGACCACAGGGTCCCGAGACCAGGACAAGACCACAGGGTCCCGAGACCAGGACAAGACCACAGGGTCCCGAGACCAGGACAAGACCACAGGGTCCCGAGACCAGGACAAGACCACAGGGTCCCGAGACCAGGACAAGACCACAGGGTCCCGAGACCAGGACAAGACCAAGACCAAGACCTCTGAGGGTTGAGACCAAGACGAGATCAAGATGTTTAAAGGTCGAGACTGAGACAAGACCAAGACCATGACCCATCGAGACCAAATCAAGACCATCTTTGTAATTTTCAACATTTATTTTATGCTTTATGCTGCAGCTCCTGCACACAGATGCAAGTTTATTGCTGACAGCAGCGGCCATAATGAAATATGATCACACTCTTTGAGTCAGACCTCGAGTCCGAGACGAGACCGAGTCCAAGCGCCTTCAAGACCTAGACCAGACCGAGTCCAAGCGCCTTCACGGCCAAGACGAGACCGAGTCCAAGCGCCTTCACGGCCGAGACAAGACCGAGTCCAAGCGCCTTCAGGGCCGAGACGAGACCGAGTCCAAGCGCCTTCACGGCCGAGACGAGACCGAGTCCAAGCGCCTTCACGGCCGAGACGAGACCGAGTCCAACGCCTTCGAGACCGAGCGAGGCGAGTCCAAGCGCCTTCACGGCCGAGACGAGGCCGAGTCCAAGCGCCTTCACGGCCGAGACGAGGCCGAGTCCAAGCGCCTTCACGGCCGAGACGAGGCCGTGTCCAAGCGCCTTCACGGCCGAGACGAGGCCGTGTCCAAGCGCCTTCAGGGCCGAGACGAGACCGAGTCCAAGCGCCTTCAGGGCCGAGACGAGACCGAGTCCAAGCGCCTTCAGGACCGAGATGAGATTGAGTCCAAATGCGATCAAGTTTGAAATGAGACCAAGACCGTAAAAAAACGATCTCGAGTACTATGACACTAGCTTATACAGTTTGAGGAACAGCTTTTAAATAATATTCTAGGTCGTGTGGTCATTAGTTACCACAGAGCTGGTTAACCCTGGTCAAGCTTTCAAACTTTTATAATCATTTTTTGGTTTTCGTGAGTTCTGTGAGGAAAAATTAATGTGAAATGTACTTCTGGAACCAGACGGTGGACGTCACTGTTGAGCTTCGTAGATCAATAGTTCTGCATCCCCCTTTAAGTTCAGACAAAGTGTGGTCCAGATTTTAAAAAGTGAAAATATCTGATTTTTGATTTTCTCTTTGTTTTCAGATTATTCTGTTGGATTTGGGGGGAAATTTGGAGTCCAGAATGATCGCATGGACAAGGTAATGTTTTGTTGTTTTTCCCCATATATTTGAGCAAAATGTGTGTTGTCCCAGGACAGATATATTGTATAAGCAGCTCTTGAGGTCCAAATAAGTCTGCTACGTGCTTTCTGCTTCTAATTTTAAAGCATTTTATTGTCTGGGAATTGAGAAGTGCACGGTTAACATGCTAGTTGTTGCTGTTAACTTAACCATAATGGCAAAACTCCACTATGGTCTATGAAAGTTGTGAAAAATCCAAATTAGGCTGCTCTGAATGCATAAAGTAAGTGAGAAATAACTTTGACCACTATTTAAAATACACTAGTTCTGTTTTTTACATTTTTAAGATGGTAAAAATCAGGTACAGCACCTTTTTAAGTGTATGTATTTTAATTTAAACTTTGTGTTTTGCTTGTTCACAGAGCGCAGGGACATTTGAGGATGTGGAGAAACCTGCTTCCTCCTACCAGAAAACCAAACCTGTGGAGGCTGGTGAGTGTTTGGGCTGAATTATAAGAGAAAGAAGATCGTATTCAGTGAAATATTAGTCGAATAAGCTACATATATAATAATAATGATATATAATTACACAAATTTATGCTTTTTAAGTTGTTTATTTGAGAGAAAGATGCAAATGCCTTAATTTAACTAGGACCAAAATTAAACTAAAATAGGAAAAATACAACAAATTATTATTAAAATCTGCCTTTTTCATACTTTTAAAGGTGCAGTATGTAACTTCTCTGTGTTTAATCTGCCACCTACTTGTTTCCATGGAGATGTTATTGCTTTACCTTGAATGTTCCACAGTGTAGCATTGAAATAATCTTGCTTATGTTTGACTTTCACTCCTTGGAAAAACACGCATTCTTATTGTGAGTGGAGTCCTCTCTTCACAGATCTGACCTGTAACTTGGCCTGGTGGTTGCACCTGCTTGTCTCCATGGATACATGAGTTGAATGCCATACAGTGGAACATTTTAAGCAAATCAATCACATACCGTTAGGGCTGGGTATCATTAAGAATACGATACGTACGTTGATACAGTGCACTTTTGATTTGATACGATTTGATACGATATATTTTAAATCAATTTGATACAAAATAAAGGATAAATCATGGCTGTGATACTAAAAGTCTTAGTTAAACCACTTCTTGTGCAACGTTAATATGAAATGCGCCAATTTTAATCATCAAAACAGTGAAAATAAACAGTTTTTTTTTTTTTCTCTAAACAAGCAACAAAATTGTGCTGTAACAAGATAATTTAGTAAAATATACCAAAAAATATTCTTGCTGATATATCGGCATATATACAGCAGCCCACGATATCGATACTGTATCTTAACATTAAACAATACGATACATCAATATTTCGATAATTCTGCACACCCCTAATACCGTGGATACAAGCAGCCAGAGGTGCGGACTTGCAAGTCGTGACTTGGACTCAAGTCAGACTTGTCACTATTTTTAGGGCTTGAGACTTGACTTGATAAAATGGACTAAGACTTGGGATTTGACTTGGACTTGAGGCCTGTGACTTGAGAAAACACGAGAAGCACTTTTGAATCTGAATTCTGAATATTCTGACTGTAATTATTCACACTAAGATCTTGTCAAACCATTTAAAAAAGGAACAATTTGCATCTCTACAAAATTTAGCATTTTTACAACTGTTATACTCAATATATAATATACTATAATTTTATTTTAGGTATAATTTATCTTAAAAATCATATAAATTGCAAAAATCTAAACTGTATTTGGTACTTTGGTTTAAAGACTTGAAATGACTTGAAGATCAAAGCAGACGATTTGGACTTGACTTGGACTTATGGACCAGTGACTCGAGACTCGACTTGGACTTGCTTTGTCTGTGACTTGGGACTTGACTCGGACTTGAGGTCAAAGACTTGAGACTTAACTTGAGACTTGCAGCGAACACTGACTTGGTCCCACCTCTGCAAGCAGGTGACCGGATATTGATGAGAAAAGTTTCATACTGCACCTTTTTAAATCTCAAAACATTTTCCCAAACTGATGACAGACTGAGGAGCCTTAGTGAGATTCTAATATGTCGATATGATGGTAATGGTGCTTAAAAATCCCATTCGTTTGTCTCCAGCCAGCAGCAGCGCGGGCAACATAAAGGCTCGGTTTGAGAACATCGCCAGACAGAAAGAGGAGGAGGACAGGAAGAGGGCGGACGAGGAGAGGGCCAGACGTCAGGCCCGAGAGAAGATGGAGCAGGAAGAACAGCGCCGCAAAGTCCAACAGGCCCCGAAGACGCCGTCCCCTGTGCCCAGCCCCTCCCCTCAGCCGGAGCCGGAGCCAGAGCCAGAGCCAGAGAACTTGTATCAGGTACACGTCATGATAAGTACTGTAGCTGTAGTGTTGTAACCAGTGGTGTAGTGGGGATTTTTTAAGTGGGTGTATGCGATTCGTGATGTCATCGCTGTGATGAATCCCCCCCAAACAAATATAAAGGCACCCAGTAAAAATCAATAATGTTTGATGTTTTGTTTTTTTTTATTCAAAATGATGCGGAATCATGTTATTAACTTTAACGCCGTTCAGGATCACCTACAGAACATGAATCATAGATGACAACACATGAACCAGGACTGAACCAGGACTGAACCAGGACTGAACCAGGACTTGAGAGCGAGAGAACCCCGAGCCCATGGAGCAGGGTGTCCGCAAAGCGCGATCGGGCGACGTCTGCGCTTAGCCCCATGGGGCACGGAGCTCTGTGACGGTCTTTTCACCTGCAGTCACCCGACGGTCTACATGGGCGCACCTCCGAGCCCGTCTTGACATTCAGTCCTGTTTTAGTCCTGTTTTAGTCCTGTTTTAGTCCTGGGTCAGTCCTGTTTTAGTCCTGGGTCGGTCCTGGGTCGGTCCTGGGTCGGTCCTGGGTCGGTCCTGGGTCGGTCCTGGGTCGGTCCTGGGTCAGTCCTGGGTCAGTCCTGGTCCCTCATGTCTCAGGTCACTATAGGACAGTACTGTAGATATCATGAGTCTATGCAGTTTGTTTTCTGTATTGCCAATAGCTCCGGTTTGACATTTTAAGTTGTAGGCTATTTTATTTCCTGTGGGTGGACGGCGTACCCCCACATACCGCGTGCCACGTCCACTACACCCCTGGTTGTAACGACAGTGATATAAATACCTACTTCCTCCTTTTGCAGTTGAAAATTGGGTAATGCCTTTTGAATAATTATTTTCCACGAAGCTTTTTACTTTTTTTAAGACGAGATGAGAGGGGAGCTTTCATCAACAAAAAAGTTGTGAAATGTGACAAAATAGAGTAGGAATAGGAATATAAACGTTGTGTCTTCTTCAGAACATCCATGAGGTGGAGGAAGCGTCTGGGGAGAACGGACAGGAGCACATTTACGAAGCAGATCCTGAACCGGAGAGGAGCTACCACACAGAGGACAACACAGCTACAGGTGAAGAGAGTTTTATCTTTTATTCCTGCTACGGTTCTGATAAATTGACTTATTATATCTTGTGTATCTGATTGAAAGTTTAATATTTAATATGTTTTTTACAGAGACTCCACAGTACGATTATGGAGAGGACCTGGGGATCACGGCAGTGGCTCTGTACGACTACCAGGCCGGTCAGTTTCTCTTTCTGAATATATATTTCCTATTAGGATTTTCATTTTAGGCAGTATAACCCAATCATGATCATACATAGATGGATATGCTGATGGAAATAAACAGATGGAATTAATACAAATGTGTCTGTAAGGCCTGGTTGAAGTCCAGTTATAGTCAAATGTGAAAAAATTGCAGATAGTTTGCAATATAACACTGAAATTACCCCATCTCATTTGATCTTGGAATCTAATTAAGGCCGGTCTTGGTTTCAGCATTTGGATGGGAGATCTTTATTTCGTCATGGAGATTTTATTACTTAGTTTACTTAGTTTGAAGCATTCTTTAAAAGTTAGAAGGCGAGAGTAGTTCATCACGTGTGTCTGTTTACATCCACACAGCGATCTAGTTCCTGTGGACTTTATCACCAGCCTTCTGTGCATTAACATCATGTATCTGAAACACAGTTTTGACTCTTATGTAAACTAGAAGTGCAGAGCTCTGATCTTTTGAACACTTAAGAGTCAAAGTGAGTGGTTTTACTGTAGACAGGAAACAGCTGATGTGCTCGTGCTCACAACTTTATATCCTGTGGTCTGCAGACATGTCCCACTGCAGTCTTTGTGATCAGAGATTTTAAGTCTCATCAGATTCTGTTGTGTGGACTTTTTGTTGCACGTTTAAAAATCGTTGAAGCCCGAAAGATCTTGTGTGTGACCTCCTTTAGACAAACAGTATTGATCTACAAGGGAAATTATTTGGACACAGGACACAGTAGCTCACAAATACCAGTTATCACAAGATAGAAAAAATGATATGATATACATAAAGTGAGTTGATGTACATCTTTATGGAGTATGACATGAATGTGGTCTTGTATCTCTCAATCACACATCTCCATGGAGACGAGCAGGTGGCAGAAATGTTACGTAAGGCACCTTTTACCTTGTTCCTCTGTTTGCAGCTGGTGATGATGAGATTTCCTTTGACCCTGACGACATCATCACGAACATCGAGATGATCGACGAGGGCTGGTGGAGAGGAGTCTGCCGCGGCGCTTACGGTCTGTTCCCCGCCAACTACGTGGAGCGGCAGTAACGGCGCCCCCTGCAGTCCAGACTCCCCCCCTGCACCCCTGCACCACATCTGTGTGTCTGTCTCCTTCATGTTTGAGTTCTAGCGCTAAGACACTGTGAGACATCCTCAGGTCTCCACATGTTTCCGCAGTAGGTAATTTAAAAACCTGGGCTAAAATCCAGCTTTAATTATGTTTTTAAGCTCAAATAATTTGCAGTTTTTTCTTTGCGTATTAGGGATTTTAATTTTCACCAAAGACCAGAGTGACAAGATAGAGAGACGTATGTTTTCAAATGATCATTTTTGGAGATTTTTCCGATATATAAACCCAATTTCTAAAAAGGTTGGATCAATGTGTAAAATATGTTAAAAACTAAATATTTAAATCATTTCTTGTACATATCAAAGCATTTATTGAAAGGACAAATGCTTACACTAGTATTTTTATAGTAATGGAGACTGTATACAGATCAGGGGTCTCCAATCTGTAGCTCGGGATCTACTGTAGCCCACATAAAATCAATTTGAGGTCAGTAAGCACAATCAGAATTACCGCGTTTTTCGGACTATAAGCACCAGCCAAAAAATATGTAATGAACAACAGACTGTTAACGTCACACATGAACAGTTCTTTAGATAACTATAGCATAAACAACAGAACAGAACAAGTTTACCAAACTCTCCATCTCACTCCAAATCACTAAATCCATTCAATTCTTCATCCTCGGTGTCACTTCTGAGCAACTCCACGACCTCCAGAGGTAAACAGAGCGCCGCTTCCTCTTCTGTGTCGCTGTCGTCAGACTCAGCATCAGTTCCAGTTAGAATTATTCGGGTCTTTCTGAATCCCGACAGGATGGTTTCGGTGTCACTGAAGTCCAGGCTTTGTCCATCCATCCAGTGACTTCCAGGAAAGTTGCCGTGAAGCTGTGTTCTCCATCCCCGCTTTCCGCCAGTCCCTCACAAGTTTCTCGCTCACTCCAGACTTTCTTTCTGCTGCTCGATTACTGTTTTTAGCTGCATATTTCACTACTTGCAGCAGGACAGGAGGCTCTTTCTGCAGGAGACATGCGCAAGTAGACAGTGGAACAGGAGCAGCAGAATACTGACACACAAGACTAGAGCCTCTTGCGGCTGTTAGTGTGAAAATTTTAATGTATAAGTCGCAGGAAACACCCAAACCATGAAAAAAAGTGTGACTTATAGTCCCAAAAATATGGTAATACTTAAAGCGCACTGTTCGATTTTTGAGAAAATTAAAGGATTTTAAGTGCGCCTTTATAGTCCGAAAAAAACAAGTAGTGCGCTGAATGACTCAATTTGATGAACTACCATTGTAAATTTATAATTTTGGACGCCTAAATCAAGAGCACTAATAAATACAGGTAAAGGTTGTGTTTTTATACGTATGTAGCTGTTTCCCATCTAAGGCTTTCCTTATGCTTCAAGTTTCTTATGAGCGCTAAAATGAGTAGCTCTTTGGCATTTTCTTGTTATAACGATGGCTCATTGGAAGAAAAATGTTGGAGACCCCTGATATAGATGGACATAGCTAACCTGCCTGTCGTGACTTTCCAAATACGAAGTGCGCGGGGTGGTTCCTTTGACGTCCGGCTCAACTGACTTCTCTTGAAAAACCGTCACCCCTCTCTCCCTCTCTCTGTAACTGCTGCTATGAGCCTCGTCATTTTGGTCTTAAAATGTTCGTATTAACCCGCTTTACTTCAGTATTTTGTCTGTAAAACCAAGATATGAACATGAATAACAGACCAATCAGGTGCCTTCTTTCCCCCAAAGGTTTGATCGACGACTATCACGGTGCTAAGAACTCGCCAAACTAGTGATGCGTGCGGGAAGGGCGCAACAACCTCGCTCCTGATTGGCTCCTTGGTTGCGCGCTCCGATTTCCAAATATTCGAAGATAAGCTGCTATAACCGTAGCCTCAATGAGCTTCGTTTGACTGGATCCGATCGCCGTGGGTGACGTAAAACTCGCTTAGTCCGCTTCTTTATTCAGTCTACGCTCGCTGCTTTTCTCGTAGAGGGTCAAATCAAGCGCTTTTTTTCCGTGGAGATGTTAGTGCTTTGTCTGGAATGTTTCTATCTTGTCAAAATCGGGCAAAGTTACAGGTCAGATCAGTGGAGAGGCGACGCTCAGAGTCAGAACGCCTGTTTTTCTAGGCATTTTTGAGCTATAAAACCACTTGTAATTGAATTCATGCAAGGTTAAAGCGGTTTAATGCAATATTTTGGAACATTTGAAGCAGAACATAGACATCTCCATAGAAACAAAGAAGCAGACGGACCCCCGATCGAATAAAAGTTACACAATGCACCTTTAATTAATATACATTTTATTATGCAAACTGCTTTTTTTCAGATTTTACACATTGTTCAAACCATTTTTAGAAACTACAGTTGCGCAAAAATATAATATAAACAACTCTACATTTCCCCCGGATGGACCAATGTTTTGCGAAGCTCTTCCTGGTTTTACTTGCGCCAAGTTTGCTATTAAAACTGCTGCACTTAAACTTAAAAAAAGACATGCTTTTTTTATATATTTACCCATTCATGTGCGACTTCAGTATATCATAAGTTAAATCGTGTATGCATAAGGGGCCAATAATGTGGACAAGCTCAAAGTACACTACATTTTATATTTTATCATTGTTATAATCATGTACAGAAAGAAAACGAGTCGATAAAAAGTGGATATAGGCTTCCTCCTCGTATTTTGCTGAATGCGTTTTCGTCTAGTGTGATGATTGTCCCATGTTCAAACTGCAGTGTGTGGTGGGTTACAATGGAAAAAAAAAAACACTATTAATGACTAAAATATTCGGGTGGATAATAAAGAAATGTTGTATTTTGATAATAATTTTAAAGTGTAGCTGCATCCTGTTCTGTGTGAGAGTGAGTTTAATAATAAAGTGTCCTTTTCAAATGATTATTTTTAACCGTACCTTGGTTCGCTCCAGTCACACATTACAGGACATGTTCATCTTTTTTATTTGAATAAAAAATTGGAAAATATAACTGAAGGTGTGTGGTTGTGTATTTTAAGATGGAGGGGATCTGTCAATGATATTATTTTTAAAGGGCCCATATTATGCGATTTTCTGAGCTTTGGTATAATGTTTCTTAATCGTTTTGTTTCGTCCACACAAGTTTAACGCAAAAACCCGTCAGATTTAGGCGGAGTTCTTCTCTCAAACTAAAAACACTGTTCCAACTTGTGATATCATGTTGTAACACAAGAAGTGCTTTACTGTTTTTAAACTCCAAACTTCATTTACTAGAATCATTTTTGAATCATTTCAGCCCTGGAAATAACCATTCCCTATAGACCTTTTTCACAACGGTGAACAAAATGTCCCAATGTCGGGTAAACGTCACTTCCGGTTAAATGTCTTACGTATTTTCCAGCAGCTTCATAAATCTGCTCCATCACCAAATCTTCAACCAACAAGGTCGACAAAGTATAAACATTCTAACGTGAAGAATTTATCCATATAAAGTTAAAGACAAAAACGTAAAGGCGAACAACAATGAGCATTAAAAATCGATTTCATGATGTAAATATTCAGTCCTTCAAAACAGCTGAAAGTGTTGTCACAATACTCATATTTCAATCTCGATTTTGATACTAAGAAAGATTTGATACTCGATACCGATTCTGATACCACTATGATAATTGAAGTGGATCCCTCTGCCACCGCTCCACAGTGTATTATTTCATTTACATTAAGTTAATGACGGCACACATAGTTTTAATTACATTTCTTTATTTAGACTCATATTCTAATTTGGGCACACGCGTTTTAGTTAATATAAGTCTGAATTATCAATTGCACGATTTATTTTGTTTGAGCAAACATGGAGGATCCTTGGCGGAGACCGTCCACGTCACACTTAAGTTTGTTTAAGGTGACTTTATTATCACTTATTATTTTCTGTATTATACGTATTTGCCCTCTTGTTTCTTTGATTAAGTTAGTAGTTTTAGTTAATAATTTAATGTAATTCCTCTATCGGTGTTCAGTTTTAGTTGGCCCACCCCTGTTCTTTGTCTGGTTAGTTTTGTTCTGTTCGGTTTGATTTGATTTACCCCATTTGGGCCCTTTTTTTTTTTTTTTCATGATTTACCTAATTTGAGTTTGTCAAATTACATCTTTTTTTTTTCTTTTTTTTACTTGATTAAATTTAACTTTTTTTACACCCTGCTGTCCATATGGTTGTGAATAAAACATAAGTAACTTGTTCACTCAGACTGATTCTACAATTAAAAATCGATTTCATGATGTCGATATTAATGTAGACGGAGAGATTTGTGCAGTTTAAATGCTAAAGATGAAATCTCAACATCTGTAGTATTTAAACAGCACAAATCTGCATCATGAAATCAATTTAAATTTAATTCTAGACTCAGTCTTGAGTTCTCAAGTTACTTATTAATGAATTACTTATTACTTCTGTTTTATTCGTGACCATAACGTTAGTTTTGATCAGTAGTTCACTAATGCGTCGTCGTTGTTCGCCTTTAAGTTTTCGTCTTTCTTACCTTGATAGTTGTGGATAAATTCTTCATGTTAGAATGTTTATCCTTTGTCGACCTTGTTGGATGAAGATTTGGTGATGGGGCAGATTTATGAAACTGGTGGAAAATACGTGAGGCATTTACACAGATATTTTGCAAACGTGTCAAGGAAACAAAACACAACTCTGGGTATGTTTTTGAGGAGGTAAGAACATTATTCAGGGTTCCCACAGTCATGGAAATCCTGGAAAAGTCATGGAATTTTAGGATCTCTTTCACGCAACTACAACGTTCTGTTAAGTTCTCATGAGGCTGTTAAGATTATTTCGTAACATCTGCGCCTTTTGTTTAAAAGAGACGACAATAAATTCACTGACAGTATTTTGAATGTTAAAAAACTATAATCCCAAACCATAAGGTGAGTGGAAAGGGTTCACATTTCATATTTAGCACTACAACTCTGATCAATTCTACACATGTAGGTGCTGTAAAATCATGGAAAATTCACTTTAGGTTGTGAAAAAGTCATGGAAAAGCATTGAAATTTTGTCAGTGAATAAAAGCTGACTAAAGGCTCACAGGAGTAAATTTTGTGTAATATAGGACCCTTAAAGAAAATATAAAAAGGAACCTGAGTTGCCAGAGTCTTAACCTGCAGATGGACGACACATACATGTTTTTCTTATTCCCAGCACTAGTTCATGGTCAGGCCGCGCCTCATGAGAAAGCTCAAAACTTCAAGAATTCACTGCGAAGGAAAGGCTGGGATTTGGGTAGTGTCCAGAGAGAATCCCGTCTGCTCATCTTCATGTTATTGTGCTGTTTGGAATGTTCCACGAAATGGCATTAAGCGTATTTATCTCTCATTTATTCAAAGACAGCAGGATTTTAACAAAACTTTTAACAATATCATCTCCACGAGGACAAGCAGACAGCAGACTCTTTAAGTTTTCCGATTTTAAGTACAATACCTTTTAACTTAAGCTTTATCTTCCTGTGTCTTAGTGTGAAACGTTGTCTCTTCCGGCTCTATCTTTAGCGGAGCTGGAAATAGCCTGAACAGAAGGTGCCTGGGTTCGACAGCTGTGGTCTTCGTGTGTTTTCACTGAAGGAACTTTCCTGAAGTAACTTTTCTACAGTAACATTTTTAATACATCGTGTAATATAATGATCTGTTCAACCTTTTAGTGATAATTGAGTAAAAAAAAAATATATATATATATTGTTATGTCCATGGGTTTCTGAATGACGAAAATAATGTTTACTTCAATGATCAACAGTCCTCAAAATGGCACCACCGTATGACAGGAAGCTGAAAGAAGTGTTGTCACGATACTAAAATTTCAATCTCGATTTTGATACTGAGGAATGGACTTGATACTCAATACCAATTACAATAAAAAACACTCATTCTTTAGACAATAGAATGTGATTTTCAACATTAAGAAGCACTTTTTTGTACTACCATGTGATTTTATATCAGAAAATTAAATACTAATCGATACTAAAACTCAGAGGTGTACAAAAAATCAATATTTCGTATCATTTAATGTGATGATACAGTATCAATATCATGGGCTGCTGTATCGATATATCTCCAAGAATATTTTTTGGTATACTTTACTAAATTATTTTGTTACAGCTCTACAAGTTTGATGATTAAAATGTTTGTGTTTCATATGAACTTTGCAAAAGAAGTGGTTTAACAAAGACTTTTAGTATTACAGCCATGATTTAGCCTTTATTTTTGACTGAACCGTATTGTTGTCGAAGTTTTCAGCTTGTCCAAGAAAGGGTGGAAGTAAAAGGCTGGAGACCAACTGGAGTCTTAAGCAGGAGAAGTTTATTTACCATCAATAAAACGGGCCTGGGGGGACTTGCTTCCAAAGGAGGAGTTTATAAAGCAAGTGTGGTGAGACTATGAAGACCAGTAGACACCGGTTGGACAACAATATGCCACAATTTAGATAAAGTTATACCAATGATATGCCAAGGTAAGATCATAGTGTAAATATAGCTTTTTTGAGTCAATGTTAAACTGAGGTGTATGTGGAAGATAAATTACTTAAATTCTCTTATAGGTATCGAATCAAAAGCTCACTGTATCGAGATATGTATCGTATCGTGGCCTATGTATCGATATATGTACCGTATCGTGGCCTATGTATCGAGATATGTATCATACTGTGGCCTATGTATCGGGGAGGTACCGTATCGTGGCCTATGTATCGATATATGTACCGTATCGTGGCCTATGTATCGAGATATATGTATCGTATCGTGGCCTATGTATTGATATATGTATCGTATCGTGGCCTATGTATCGAGATATGTATCATACTGTGGCCTATGTATCGGGAGAGGTACCGTATCGTGACCTATGTATCGAGATATGTACCGTATTGAGATATGTATCATACTGTGGCCTATGTATCGGGAGAGGTACCGTATCGTGACCTATGTATCGAGATATGTACCGTATCGAGATATGTATCGTATCGTGGCCTATGTATCGAGATATGTATCGTATCGTGGCCTATGTATCGATATATGTACCGTATCGTGGCCTATGTATCGAGATATGTATAGTATCGTGGCCTATGTATTGATATATGTATTGTATCGTGGCCTATGTATCGAGATATGTATCATACTGTGGCCTATGTATCGGGAGAGGTACCGTATCGTGACCTATGTATCGAGATATGTACCGTATCGAGATATGTATCGTATTGTGGCCTATGTATCGAGATAGGTATCATACTGTGGCCTATGTATCGGGGGAGGTATCGTATCGTGGCCTATGTATCGAGATATGTATCATTCTGTGGCCTATGTATCAGGGGAGGTACCGTATCGTGGCCTATGTATCGATATATGTACCGTATCGTGGCCTATGTATTGATATATGTATCGTATCGTGGCCTATGTATCGAGATATGTATCGTATCGTGGCCTATGTATTGATATATGTATCGTATCGTGGCCTATGTATCGAGGTATGTATCGTATCGTGGCCTATGTATCGAGGTATGTATCGTATCGCGACCTATGTATCAAGATATGTATTGTATTGTAACCTATATATCGAGACATGTATAGTATCTGCAACTTCTTAACGATACCCAGCCCCACTAAAACTTGAATCAAAACTAGACACTCATTTGAGCAGGTATCGATACTAAAAAAGTCACATTCACAGGACGGAAATGAAGCTTTCCTGAAAATCTTTAGAATGATCTTGAGCTGCATCAAAACAAATATAAGAGCACATAGACTAGTACACCCCCCTGGACCACTGAATAAAAAAGAAAGTACCATGATTAAATGTTAAAAATCACATTATAGTGTTTTATTAACATCGTAGTATCAGAATCAGTATCGAGAATCAAGTCTATCCCTTAAATCCAGTTGGAAATTTTAGTATCGTGGAGCACTACTTTGACTCAAACTACCTTTTACTGCCACTACCTGTACTTTTATTTTGAAGTACTCTTACTTGCATAGTATTTTTGGCCTCTCTGCCCCCTCTTCACAGGAGGAGGGGTCACTAAAGTTATTTAAAGCAGAGAGCTCCAGTAAGTTCTCCAGCCTGGACACATGCTGAAGCAGGATATAAATAGGCCTAAAGTCACTCCAGAAGCTACAGAAGATACAAGCCACTATTTACTACTACTACAACTATTACTTCAACTGGCTCCTATACTTCAACCTGTGTACTCGGATTACTACAACTACTACAAGAATTTGAATATTTAGTGTCCAGTTTTGAGTTTAGTTTAGTTACAGTTGGATCATTGAGGTTTTTGAAGTTGTTGAGCGATGGCGAAGTGGGGAGAAGGCGACCCCCGGTGGATCGTGGAGGAACGAGCAGACGCCACGAATGTGAACAACTGGCACTGGTGAGTTTCATAGTTACATTATTGACTATTACGTTTTATAGTGTCTTTGTTTTTTTTTCTTTTATGATCAGTTTACTCTCACTTCACTGTTGTAGTCGCAGGTTCTGTCACACAAAAGCCCGGTGGTCACTAGTTACATAACATGAGGACTTAGTTTTGACAGTGATAGACATTAGGATTCGTTCGCTCGACGGTAGGCGGGTACTTTTTTATTTAACCAATCGCTGCTATTTGGTCGTGACATATGTAAAGCACCAAATCCTGTAGGAAGAAGGACAATAACGTCTTTCCCCTTGATAAAATTCATCAAACATTCTCTTTGTTCCGGCTTTAAATCCTCGATCTCGGGAATCGTTGACAACACAGAATGTCTGTCTTTGTCTACATCAGGGGTGGGCAAACTTTTTGACTCGTCAGCAACAACGGGTTCTAAAATTTGGCGGAAGGGCTGGACCAGGAACAGATGGATGGAGTGTTTTGGTAATCCACCTCATAAGAGAAAAAAATAACATGTGATACGTAGAAATTGAAATATCCCACAACTGAAAGTCATTACAAAGCATTGCAACAAAATATCCGTTTTTCAAGTCCCACGGTATTTACTATTTATTGTAATGCCTTTTAAAACACTGAAAATTATTATTATTATTATTATTCAAGTTTGTAGGGCCATATTAAAAAGATTAAAGGGCCGCATATGGCCCCCGGGCTGTAGTTTGCCCACCCCTGGTCTACATCCATCTCGACACTTTCTTTACTGTTGTGCTGTTTCACAAAAAGGACCCAGACAGGTGTGACGAATTTGACATCACGGCTTCAGAGCTCTTCACTGATTGGCCGGTGTGCAGTCTACAACTTCTGGGGTTCTTGTAAACTGTCCAGTGTATTCTGATTCCTGACCAAGTTGCTGGAGAGAAATGAAATTATGAAATGAATACCTGCTTGTCTTCTATAAGATGTTATTGCTTTGCCTAGAATATTCCACAGTATGGCATTAAGCTATCTATCTCCATGGAGACAAGGAGCAGGTGAAGGCACCAGGCCAAGTTACAGGTCAGATCTGTGAAGACAATGATATTTGATTTATAACAATAATATTGTGTCATACTGTGTATTATACGATGACTCTCCGCAGACAAGCAGGTGGTGGACCCCCTACCAGAAAAGTCACATATTGCACAGGGGTGTAACGATATCTAAATCTCTCGGTACAATATTATCACTATATGCCTCTCACAGTATAATATTTATTGTGATATTTTGGAGAGGCTGATATATAATTGTAGATAGGACACATTTCTGCTTTTAAAATACCTTGAAAAGATTTTGGTGTGAATTATTTCCATCATAATTCCAAGAATTCAAGTCAAAAAAACATGAAAAAAAGCACTGAAATGAATCATGGGATATGTAGTTCCCCATGTTGTTACTATAAAACCATACATTTAAGCAAAGGAACTTGTAATTCGATATATTGTGACAGGCCAATATATTATTGTGAGACTTTTGATGATACAATATCACATTATTTTGGTTATTGTTACATCCCTAATATTGCATCTTTAAAATGAAATACAAATATTATTTTACAATTATTATTTTTTTCATCAAACACTGTGTCAGTTTCTTCCTTTCAACTTGTACTGCATGTTTTCAGGCCAGGATGTCAATACAAGGTGACAAAAAATCCTCTATAAAATGTTTTGAGCAGAACTTTAACTCCACACAAATCATGTTTTATGGTGGTATTAAGTATTGTATTGCTTGTTTTTATTTATTTATTTATTTTTAGTTTTAGTTTTAAATTTACACAATAGAACATAACATTTAACAAAATACAATAATCAACATAACTGAATACACATACCGACACAAATTTAATTAAATAAAACTAAAGTAATGAGGTATTGCAGTATTATAACCACACTGCCAGGACTCTTATATTGATATTTTGGCCAGTTTATTATTTAAATTCCTTCTCTCTCTCTCTCTTCTTTATATCTTTAAATGATTTGACTCGTGTGATTGCAGGACGGAGCGTGACGTGACAGCCTGGTCGGAGGAGCGTCTGAAGTCTCTGCTGCAGGAGGTCAGAGTTGAGGGGTCAGAGGGCGTGTGTCAGGTGACCGACGTGAGCAAACTGGAGGGAGAGGCCTGCATCAACAACCGCAAAGGAAAACTCTTCTACTTCTACGAGTGGGTCATCCGCGCCTACTGGACCGGTCAGAACCCGAGCCTGGACCAAACCAAGGACCTTTACTAAAGCTACACTGTGTAACTTTCATGGAGTTGGGTCTGTTGCCTGCTTGTCTCTATGGACATTTTATTGCCGTCTTAGGAATGTTTTACAACCAAGGTACAAAGGCACCCAGCTCAGTAAGAAAGCAGGTTTTTTCAATTTATTTTCTTAACAATACAAGTAATGACATCAGAATGAGACAAGAAGGTGCCACACCCTCCCACCAGAAAAGTTACACAGTGCACCTTTAAGCTTTATTTATATTTGTTTTAGGGCTGGGCAAAAATTTTAAAAAATTAATTGCGATTAATGAATTAAAAAGTAAAGTATAGTGCACTTTTATTGGAAATGTAAATGAAAGAACCAAACATTTGTTGTGCAAACAGCATTTCTTTCAGAGGGAAACCCTCAGAGCCTTCAAGGTGTTCCAAAGGCTCAAGAAAAAATCTTGAATGGACTTTTGTACTACTAATATATTTTTTCAATAGTTTTTATTCAGTTAGTAATAAACACAACACTAGTAATAATTTCTAGATCATTGTTATAAACTTGGACTGATATTTCTTGGGAAACAAAGGGTTAATATAATGAAATGGAAATGGACCAATCACAGTTTTACTTCCAGTGGCATCTGGGTAAATCAGTGACTCCCTCTGCAGCGCTAAAGAAACAAGCTCAGCTCAGAGCGCGCGGCTGGTCCGGCCGGAGCCCGCGGCTCGCGGAGGCTTGTTGCATCTCACGTGGTCAGAAAAAAGTGAAAAAAGTGTAAAGAAAAGATGTCAAACTTAAAGAAACGCTCGCAGTGGACTTTTTCAAAATAAAAAACAGTGAGAAACAGATGTTTACAATAAAATAAATAAATAAATTATAAAAACTGCGTTAACGGCATTAAAATAATTGTCGGCGTTAATGACTTAATTAATTAATGCAAAATTAATGCGTTAACGTGCCCGGTTTATATATATTTATTTGTTTATATGAATTTATTAAGGATCCATAGTACATATCCAAAGGGAAGGTGAAGAGACTTATGATATTCTTCTTTTTCTTCAGGAACGGCCAAGACTGGAGTGAAGTACAGAGGGACCGTGGACGTGGCCAATCTGTCCGACGAAAACGACGCAGACGACCTGGACGTGAGTTATAATTATAATGATTCCTTACACACTTACTCATGCACTTTGCAGGATCTCTATCACGCACACAGCACATTCACAATTCTAACAGATCTACTTTATTTTGTGCTCAGATTGATTTTATTGAGGCTTAATTGAACAAAACCATGTGTGATGTTCCTCTGTTCCTCAGATCTCTGTGGCGCTGTGTGCAGACCACCCCCCCACTCCTCTGGTGCAGCTCATGAAGACCAAAGGCATCCCTGAAGTCCGCCGTGCCCTGGACAACTACACCAAACAGCTCAAGACTGGTAAAGGACTCTATTACATACTGTACTATCTACTGTTGTAGTACTGGCCTCGAGACTGCTTTTTTACGGCATTTGGTATCGGTCTTGTCTTGGTCTTGATGGTGCTTGGTCTTGGTCTTGTCTGACACTAGACGAGTGTGCTAATATTTCATAACGGCTGGTAAATGTGCAGAGGGTAAATATCAGTGTAAAAACCAGTAAGATCATGTAACTTGAAAAAAAAAACACACAAAAAAACCCCACTTTCTTCACTTTGAAGTAGTTTCCTGTAAAGGGCCACTGGAAGTCGGATTAAAGAAGAGGTTCTCAAACTGTGGGTGAGAGGCGCAGAGTGTTTCAGTGCAGCACAGTTTGCTTGGCCTATTTTAAACCTAAATGAACATTAACCAAATCAAATGGAGATATATTTACAAAAAACATTGATATAAATGTGCCAAAAATAACTGTAAAATACAAATAAATGTAGAAAATTACAAAGATGGTCTAGTTTTGGTCTCGATGGGCCATGGTCTCTGTCTTGTCTCGGTCTCGACTGTCAGAGGTCTTGGTCTAGTCCCGGTTTCTTGGACCATTTGGTCTCGATTAGTGCGGTCTAGACTACAACACTAGTACTACCTCAACACTTCTACTTCTACTCTGTACTATTTACTACCCTGCAAGAGGAATTTTCACAGTGACTATTTCTTAGTTCACAAACTCACAAATCCAAATCTTGAACCCCTCACACACGTTTGAGTCCATCGACCAAAACAAACACAACAGCAGTAAAGGACTAACATTCCCTTTCTCTCTCTTTCCTCCCCCCGTTTTGATCAGAAGATTTTGTTTTTGCCTGCACTATTCACTCAAATAAATTTGGCAAAAACTGGATGCATCAGCTGTTTCGACAATTGAGACACTTTCCCCAGTCTGTTAGTCTGGATATTAAATTATTTCTGCTTTACACTCTGGTCCTGTCAATAATTTAAGTGCTCGTTCCCTGTTACAACTTACTGTATTTCTTCTTCTTTCTTCAGAGTTCAGTCAGGGGATGATTCTGCCCACGGCCAATGGACCAAAAGCCCCGCCCCCTCCAGCTCCGAGCAAACCACAGGTGCAGAGTAAAACACAGGTACGACCTTATAGGATTTCTCTAAACCTTTACTTATTTAATCCTAAACTGTCTTTATCATCTGATCTGACGTCTAAATCTGACTCGTGTTGACAGATCAGCTCCGCTCCGTCCAGTGGCGCCACCTGCAGTGCAGCAAAAACATCGACAGGACACATCCAACTGAAGGAGACGTTCTTCACCACACCAGACGAAGTGTACGCCACCTTCATCAGCCAAGACGTAAGGGACATTTAAGGCTATTTAAGGGCAAGAGCTTCAGAATGATAAAGATTTTTGGACCTTTGCCATAGTGATTTAGCCTGATTCATTCACATCGCAGCATTAGGATTCGTTCGCTCGACAGTAGACAAGTACCTTTTTATTTAACCAATCGCTGCTATTTGCCCGTGATGTCTGTAATGCACCAAATCCCGTAGGAAGAAGGGCAATAACGTCTTTCCCCTTCATAAAATTGAGCAAACATTCTCTTTGTTCCGGCTTTAAATCCTCAATCTTGGGAACTGTTGCCAACACTGAATGTCTGTCTTCATCTACATCCATCTCGACACTTTGTTTACTGTTGTGTTGTTCCACAAAAGGGACACAGACAGACGCTTGAGTTTGACGTCATGGCTTCACAGCTCTTCTCTGATTGGTCGATGCATGGCCTACAACTTCCGGGGTTCTTGCAAACCATCTAGTGCAGGCGTGTGAAACATACGGCCCGGCAATTATATTTTCTATTAAAATCTTGGTAATTTTCTGCAGTGTTTATCACAGCAGCGTCTCCAGCGTCTCTGTACGTGGCCCCTCCCACCAGAGAAGCACAAATGAAGACTTGTCTCTTTCCAAACGCTCTTAAAGGATGATCATTTTGACTGTTGACCGTGACACCCTCATCAAGTTTCAGGTTGTTCATAATATTATAATATTTTGTAAAAGAGTTCATTAGTTAAAAAAGATTTCTGTAATAGATTTGCGTTTCTCTGCACAAATATTTGTACTTATTGTTATTCTTATTGTTTTTGGGGTTTATATGACATGAGTTTTCTGATCCGGCCCCTTTGGGATCAAAGTAGGTTGGATATGGCCCCCGGACCAAAATAAGTTTGACACCCCTGGTCTGGTGTATTCCCATTTCTGACCTAGTCACTGGAGAGAAATTAAATTGAAAAAATGTTACACATAATCCAAGGTGGTCAATAACAAAGTAAATTTACTACAGGTTTTGAAGATCTGTACTCTATATATCATAGTTGAGCACTTTAATTTGACTCCACTAGCCTGATTCATCAGCCAGTTTTACTTTGTTTCACTTCGTAGAAACCGCCTGACCTCGCAGCTTTAGATTTCATTCACTCGACAGTAGGCGGGTACTTTTTTTCATTTAACCAATCGCTGCTATTTGGTCATGATGTATGTAATGTGCCGCTAACGCAACCAACTGGTATATTAAGATTTTCCCAGATCCCATAGGAAGAAGGACAATAACGTCTTTCCCCTTGATAAAATTCAGCAAACATTCTCTTTATTCTGGCCTTAAATCCTTGATCTCATGAATCGTTGACAACACTGAATATATGGCTCTTCGCTGATTGGCTGGTGCCCGAACTTGCACTTGCTGGGTTTTTGTAAACCATCTAGTGTATGTAGATTCCTGACCTAGTTGCTGGACAGAAATGAAACTGAGTGGAGACACTAGGTGGCGCCAGCCTGGCTATGACTTCACAACATTAGAAAGGCAAATATAACACTTTCTACTTCACTACAGCCCTAAAAAAATTGTTTAGAGGTGCAGCATTCTACGTTTTCTGTCTCATTTAAAGCCTCGTGAAGCTCACTCCAGAGACTTGAATTGCGCAGATGTTTACAGACTCACAGTAGAAGGTCTATAAGCTCTATAACAATGCTTGACTCTCTCCTCTTCCTCTTCATCTTCAGTTTGTGCAGATCTTCACTCGTTCACCCGCTCAGGTCGACGCTCGTAACGGAGGAAAGTTCCAGCTCTTGGACGGTTCTGTGAGCGGAGAGTTTGTGCAGCTGGTGAGACACAGACCGTGATAAAAACACACAGATATTTAACTGAACAATCTGACCAAGCAGAAAGGACTGGCTACTCTATATTATGTACTGTTTCTGTGTCATTGGGCAAGACAGTTGATTGTATTTGTCTCTGCAGGTTCCAGACAAAGGCATCGAGATGAAGTGGAGGTTCAGGTCTTGGCCCAAAGGTAAGTGCGTCCAAAGTAGGGCTGGGTATCGTTAAGAAGTTGCCGATACGATACATACGTCGATACTTAGGCCACGATACGATACATATCTCGATACAGTGCGCTTTCGATTCAATATGATATACAGTGGTCCCTCGTTTATCGCCGGGGTTATGTTCGAAAAATAATCCGCCAAGTAGTCAGTTTCATTTTTACAATTATTATACATGTTTTAAGCCCGTAAAACCTTAAAACTTATTGTTATTTTCCTGCTTCTTTATGTAACGAACCGAAGACTAATTTATTATGTAATGCGCTACAGCCGGGTAACTTCTGCCTTCCTTCAGCGTGTTCAGAAGTCCAAATTTTTGTGCGATGGTTTGCATCTTCCTTTGTCTTTTGGGTGTGAACACAGGAGCCTTTGTTGGTGCAGAACATTTCGACGACATTGTGGGTTTTGTCGAGGAGAAAACTTGCAAACATACAGCACTTCAGACTCACACTGCTAGAGAACGAACATTTATGTAAATTTTTCAATCTGAACACATTCGGTACTGTACAGGAGACACAACACAGAGGAGATTGATTAACAAAGGTCTACAGTTCCTTAGCCAATCAGGATGCAGGGGGAGGAACACAATGCACGTTCATACACTGTAAAAAAAAAAAGCATGCAAAATTATACCAAAAAAATCTGCGAAACTCAAGACCTCGAAAGATGAACCACGTTATAGTGAAGGGACGACTGTATTCCAAATCCATTTGACACAGTTCAATAAAAACAAAGGATAAATCAAAGCTGTGGTACTAAAAGTGTTTGTTAGATCACTTCTTCTGCAAAGTTCAATTGAAACACAAACATTTTAATCATCAAAACAGTAAAAATGAGTTTCCTTCCTCTAAACAAGCAACAAAACTGTAGCACTGTAACAAAATAATTTTGTAAAACACAGCAAAAAAATACTCTTGGCGATATATCGATACAGCAGCCCTCGATATCGATTCTGTATCATCACATTAGGCGATTCAGTATTGATATTTTGATATTTTTGCACACCCCTAGTCCAAAGAGGCGACTATTTCAAATGTTTCCTTAAATGTTACACCACTGACAATGAAAACTCATCATCTACTCTCTTCTTCTTCCTTTCCTCTTCTTTTTCTCTCGCTCTTACTCTTTTGTCTTTCTGTTATCCCTCTTTCACCTCCTCTTTTCCTCTTTCTCTTTCTTCCTCTGTCTTCACCTCCCCTCCTTCTCCTCTCCTTCGCTCTCTCTTCCTACTCCATTCCCTCTCTTCCTTTCACTTTTTTCTCCTCACCTTCCTCTCGTCCTCTCCTTCTTCTCTCTCTCTCTCTCTCTCTTAGACCACTTTGCCACAGTGATCCTTCTGTTTGAGGACAGAGGGGGAGAGACGGGTCTTTCCGTGGACATTCAGGGCGTCCCCTCCGGGTCTGAGGACAGCACCCGAGAAGGCTGGAACCGCTTCTACCTCCAGGCCATCAAACAGACTTTTGGATACTAGAACTGCTCAATACAGACGATCAAAAACGCCGGAAATTAGAAGCACTCACGACGGCAAACTCCCACAAACTCCCACAAACCAAGGACTATTTCGCCTCCATGCGCTGCCTGAAAATTCTGAGAAAAAGAGGGGGTATTATGACTTTTTTTTTCTTTTTTACCACATTGTAACGTTCTTTCCTCATCACAAATGCCTGAAGAAGTGTTAGATCTCCATAGATGATCCATGGATAGGGCCTGGTATCATTAAGAAGTTGCAAATACAATACATATCTCGATACATAGGCCACGATACAATACATTTTGCGATACAGTGCGCTTTCAATTCAATATGATTTGACACGTTTCAGTGAAAAATAAAGGCTAATTCATCATTGTGATACTAAAAGGCCACTAAATCCACTAAGTCTGTGCAAAGTTAATATGAAAAACACCCATTTTACTCATCAAAAAAGTGAAAATATCAACACAATTGCAGCTCTTACACAAAAAATATGGATATTTCAATATTTTTGCACACCTCTATTCGTGTACACTACCGGTCAAAAGTTTTAGAACATCCTCATTTTTCCAGTTATTTATTGCATTTCAAGTTGTGCAAGTCCAATGAAGAGTTTGAAATGGTGCAAAGGTAAAAACTGAACAGACAGAGGTTAAAAAAAAAGATAAAAGATACAAAACACAAGTCCAAGCTCTGCCAAAACTACCTCAGGAAAAAAGAACAAGATGGTAAAACTTGAAAACATGGAGTGTCCAGCGGCACAGTGTCCAGACTTAAACTCCATCGAGCTGGTTTGGGATGAACAGGACAGAAGAGTGAAAGTCAAACAACCTACAAGTGTCACACATTTATGGAAACTTCTGCGACAGGCTTGGGAAGAACTTTCTGAAGAATATTTGATTTCTGTCGTAAAAAGAACGAGCCACGAGTGTGTTCAGCTGTTATATCTGAAAAAAACTGAAAAAAGTGTGATGTTCTAAAACTTTTGACCGCTAGAGTATGTTTGAATAATCTAGCGATCTCTCCTGGTCTCTTTTCAAATCTTTGTTATGGTTGGCTGTCCAATACTCAGCCCAAAAGCCTACTTCACTCACGCTCCCACATGATAATTCCCATAAATATACAAAACGTTGATGCAAAACTGTACACAACAACTTCACAAACCTGATGCGATGTGCTGTAGTTTCATTAGCGGGAAGCACGGTGTTGGGGTAAACGCTCTGGAGGGGAAAGAGCAAAGAGCAGGAACAGACTCAGAACGTTGTTTTTGCTGAATATAGAGTTTTCAAACATGGTGATCTAAATATGTTATGTGTTATCAGTAGAGGTGTAACAATAACCGAAATATCGTGATATCGTATCGTCAAAAGTCTCACAGTGATATCGTTTGCTGTCACAACATATCGAATTACAATTTTCTTTGCTTAAATTCATTGTTTTGGTGCAGCTACAGCTAAAAACGGATGGAACTACATAGACCATGATCCTTTGCTCTGTTTCAGTGCAGACTTTATGAAGAAATAACTGTTATTAAGCGCTTTTTTAATCTTAGTTCTTTGGATTATGACAGAACCAAAGTCTTGTCAATGCTTTTTTAAAAGGACAAAGTAGTATATTCTCAATTTGGTCAGCCTCCACAAAATATCGCAGTAAATATCGTACCGAGGGATCCGGGTATTGTTACATCCTTAGTTATCGTATAATCCTAACCCCACAGAAGTAAAATACCCCCTCTTTTAAGTGAACATTAGTTGAAGTCATCTCCCAAAACAGACAACAACGCACACAAAGTTTCTGTCTTTGCATCTTTAAAAAAAAAAGTATTAAGATATATATTTTTGCTTGTATTATCTAACCTGGCAGCCTGGCCTTGCTTAACCGTATAAATCAAGATTTCTTTATTTTTTCAGTTTTAACTTCAGTTCATTTCATCACACTGAGTGATCCACATGTTTTTTTTAAATACACGTATTTTAAGTTAAGCAAATACAGGAAACTAGAAAGCTTTTTGTAATCATACTTTTTTCGCTTTACATTATAACAAAATAAAAGGCAAAAGGACGTTTCTTCTGTGATGTAATTTACAAACAAGCCACTTCATTTTCTGTTCTTTGCAGACATCTTTTAAACACAGCTGTATTGTACATTTATTTATGGTATTTATTTATTTGTCTTTTTGTAATAATAAAAGAAAGAATATTGTGATTTCCTGGCTATTTTAGGACTTTTATTTGTACTTCCATATGAGTAAATGTATTCTATTTGGGATCTGTTGTACTATTTCTATATGATTGTACATTTCTTATGATATATTAGTTAAACAAGTTGCAAGTTTCAACCTAAAGTTCTTTACCAAATGTACAGATTGAAGTTAGGTTAGAAGGAGAAGGATCAAAGTAAAACAGAGAACATTTCATTAGATCAGGTTTGCTCAGTAACAAGACAATGACACAAGTATGAAAAACTTGGGGTTTGGGAATGGGGAGGAGGGGGTTTAAATGTGGCATTTGTACACTTGTATATTTTTTGTGGCATTTTTTGTGTGGCCGTAAGACCACAATATTAAAAAAAAAAATCAAAAAAATTTAATAAAATATATTTGGAAAAAATAACAAACATCACGAGCCCCGTCACTCTGGAGTAGTCGGTCGGTTACAGTAGTATTAAAATAGATCCTTTTTAATACTCGTCTCTAACCTCTGAATGTTTGGACTCCATCGCCCCAAACGGCTTTTTTTAGCTTCACGTTGGCCCACATCTATATCTCTTTTCCGTCTCCGTTTTTCCTCTGCATTTGACCCATCCATCGGCCGGTGGATCCGAGCGCGTCGTGGGTCAACCGCGGGGACCTTTTCTCCGATCTCGGTCAGGAGGAGTTCTTGTAAACAAAGCGGCTCGAACTGTAAACAACATTAGTCCTAGTTTAAAAATCACTGACCCAGATATTTTTTATAATATTTTGCTTTCTGCTGAGTTAATGCTTTTATAAGATTGCCATTTTTAGATCCCATATTATTTATAGTTTTCCGCCTGAGCCCTCTGACCCGGATTGGCATTGGCTCGTGAAAGAGGAGTAGGTGCGTATTGGTAATCTAAAACTTTATAAATATTGACTTTTTGAATGGTTACTTTAATATTTCTGGAGCGAAAATGGACCAAAGAATGAGTTTGTGGTTCATTTTGAGGACATCTGGTTAGTGTGTCTTGAGCCCATTGAGTTTCTAGTTTCTCAATGTGGACCAAGAAGGTCAGCTATTAATACCGCTCTATCTCTCCACCCCTCTCCCTCTCTCTCTTTGAAAATACCTCCCCCCCAAAACACACTCATGTATCCTGTCAGGGGCAGGGGACTAAGCAGCACAACTTCCTCTGTATTAGTTTAGCTCATTTAAACTCTCGTCTTAATCCGCAAAACCCGAAGAGCTCCAAACTTAAACCGTGAGTAAATGTTTGTCTTCTCTCAAGTTAAAGCTGACATATTTTTTAAATACACTGAAAAGAAAAGGTTGCTGGATTTGCGCAAAAAAGTTCTGGAAAGCGGTTGCATGCAATAAAATGTTTAGGCTCTGAAACTTATTTTGATCCTCTCTACACATATTTTTCTCCGAACATGAACGTCACTTTTTCATGTTGATGAAATTTGATCAAATCATGCTGAATATGCATATTTATCATATGTTGCCTTATCCTGAAATGTATAAGTATGTATAATTTAATTTAATTGATCTAATTCTGTAAAAGAATACAAAAACAGTCTTTAGTTTTCCACAGTTCTGTATTGTCTTGAACAGAATCAAACACAAAGAGAGCACAGGGACAGAGACACACAGTTTGGAGCTGGACAGTGTGAAGATTTATTCCAGTGAAGAAGCTCTGGTCTCTGCCTGTGGACACAGAATAACACATGATGATCACATTCTGATGATCTACTCTGTTGTACATGTTTAAATACATTTAAAGCACTTATTAATACAATAATGGACCAGAACAGAATCACAAGAACATTAGAAGTGTATCTGCAGAAACAAAACTCACCATGTGCTGCTTTTCTTCCTCTAAACGCAGTAACAGGGAGGGCATCTGGTATAAAGTCTCCTAGTGCCACATCACCCTGTAGAAACACGAAAACTGTTTCAATAGAAATACATTTTCAAAAATGTGTTTAAAATCATTTTAGTTGGTTTACTTACTTTGTTCATCTGTGCTCTGTGTTTTTTTGGTTCTCAAACATCTTCCTTTTTCCTGAAACATCAGATTCATGAACTTCCCCACAGCTCCAGCAGAGCTCTGGACCTAACTCTTTGTTTGTGGACGACTCTGGAACAAACACATTCAAATCTTAGTACAACTGTCACACTCTTGTAGATGGACAGTCAAAAACAATTTGTTTCAAGGAAACAGTCCTTACATTAACTCAAATTTCAAATAAAACACCACAAACATGTTTTAACAATGACGACATTCTAGGCCAGAGAAACATATAAAATCTTTAAAAGGTTTTACCTCCAGATCAGCTCTCATAATCCTCCTGCTCCACACTGTGTGTCCTCTGCTCCTGTATCTGTCCTGTGTCCGGCTGCATTTGAATTTTCCCTCCAAAAAATTGAGGAGGAGAAATCCAGAGGGAGCAGCCTCACCAGAGATTATAATAAAGTCAAGTTTCCTCAGTCTGATTAAAACATGCAGGTCTGACATCGGCCACAATCAAGTGACCTTTGTAAGATTTAAACATGCTGGACAGAGAAATGTAAAAAAGTCATGTTATTGTTGTCAAATTTGTTTTGCAATTTGAACAACCCCTCTTGGACAATTTTTTCAGTGTAGTTAAGAGACACATGGTTAGTTTAAGACTCAGTTGTTGGTATTGGACTAAAATGGGCCACTAGAGGGCAGCGTTTTTGACATTGAGCTGTACTATAGAGACTAAACGAGAACCAGGAAGTGAAAAGTGTAGTTTGTTTGATTTCTAAAGCCTTCTTGGTCACCTTTAGACTCCACTGTATATTTCTCAAAAACTTTTCTACACTTGCTCCATTGTGTGTTTACAAAAAGAGCTTCAATGTTCACAGGGCTTTGGGTTTGTAAAATTGTGTATTTTTGGATAATTAAAAGGTGCACTCTGTGACTTTTCCACTGGAGATGGGTTCTGCCACCTGCTTGTCTCACTTGAGATCTAATTGCTTTGCTTGGAATGTTCCAGAGTATGGCATTGCTGCTTCCCATAGTCTGGCATCGCTAATGTTCCATACATAGACTGTATGTATAAATGGACATAGCTGAACCTATAGACGCCACAATCCAATTTACTTTCTATTGAAAAAAACCCCCAAAAAAAACATCTGTGACCGCTGCTGTCACTCGTCATTTTGGTGTTATAATGTTTGTATTTACCGGCTCTGCATGATCCTGGGATTTTATTTCAGTATTTTCAATATAAATCAACATATGAACATTAATAACAGACAAATCAGGAGCTTCTTTCCTCGAGGTTGCTCTGGTTAGTGAGACACAGTGTTACCTTCAACAGCCTGATCTCATCAGGTCTCAGAAGCTGCGCAAGGGCCGGGTCTGGTTAGTACTTGGATGGGAGACCTGAGAGAATCAGGAGCCACGGGGGGCTTCAGTCACAAAAACTGTTGTGTCCTTAGGCAAGACACTTCACCCACATTGCCCCGTATGAAAGTGCTGTGTGTGTGTGAGTGATGATGGTGGTCAGATGGACCGATGGTGCTGACTGGCATGGCAGCCTCGCTTCAGTCAGTCTGCCCCAGGGCAGCTGTGGCTACAGTAGTAGTTTACCACCACCAGGTATGGAGTGACTGAATAATAATCTGTAAAGCGTCTTTGTGACAAAGGCCTGTGAAAAGCTCTATATCAGGAGTGTCCAAACTTTTTTCATCAAGGGCCACATATCTAAACACAGACCAAGCAGAGGGCAGATCCAGGGCCGTAGACTGATGCTCAATACAGAGAATAATAGAATGAATAAAGACTGATGGCTCATTCTAATGTGTTAAACATGCACATATTTCAAAGATCCTTAAAACCACACACTAAATATTCAATATTAGCTTTATCAAGGTAGATTTTCAAAAAACCTGCAGTAAAAAGTTCATTTTTAATTAATGCAAGGTCATTTGGGCCAAGTCACCTGGAAGCCTGAGGGCCAAGAAACATTTGTCCGAGGGCCGCATTTGGCCCACGGGCCGTAGTTTGGACATGCCTGCTCTATATGAATAAAAAACGTACGTACTTACTTATACGCTCGCTCCTGATTGGCTCTTTGGTTGCTATGATTGTCGCAGTCGGAATTCCAAATATGGAACTCAGCTCTAAATTCATCGTATAACTGCTAGCCTTGATGAGCTTCATTTGTCTGGAGCCGAACACTGTGGTGACGTCACACACTTTAGTCCACCTCTTCACACAGTCTGTCCTTAAACTTGTCTTTGTTCCAGTTCATCTCTTCTATGCGCGGTCTCTCCTGATGTGACCTGTTGTTTTGACTGTGGGCGTCACCTGTTGTTGTCTCAGTGGAGATGGAAGTTCAAAGCCGTACTGTGGAACATTCCAGACAAAGCAATGTCATCTCCATAGAAACAAACAGGTGGCGGACCTTCTCCCAGAGACAGTTACATAGTGCACCTTTGGGAGAATTAAGACCGACTTCCGGGAGTGGAGGGAGATAGGAAAGGTTAAAAAGGGGTTTCTTTTGTTATTCAGGAATATTTTTGATGAATTGATTATATTGAAGCAAAAAGCTCAAAGTTTCACACATTGCAGTAACGACAGTGTGTGTCAAAACATCACCACCTGTAAACTATGAGACAGTATAAAAATACATAGACTGTTCTACATCCACTACATGAAAATAAGTGATTTCAAAATGTTGAGTGAAGGCGACAACAATGAATGTACTGATGTTTAAAGAGGCTGTGTACTGTAGTGATGTTGAAATGAAGCAACATGAAGCACTGAAGCCTTCCATCCATTTGCTCGACTCTTGAGCCGATGCTTCAAGGTGCTTCATTTGCTCCACGGCGCCATCAAGTGTCCAAAAAATATATATAACAGGCAGATTGAAAATAGAACAATCAAGATGATCATCGAGGTTCTGATAGAAAGATTTATACTGAATAAATGAATGATTAAATATTTGAATGTTTGTGATTTCAACATAAAGTGTGAGTGTATTAACCTGGAGTCTGTGTTCATGATATAAAGGTCGGGTTAAAAGGAAAAGTAGGAACAAATTGGAGATAGGGATGTAATGTGACTGTGCTTGTGTTACTACTTTATGTCTGTGCTTATGCCACAATAAGGACGGTAAAATAGGGTCATTTTATTCATTTTTATTTAAAAATATCAATTTCTCCACAGTATTTGGACTCAGATGGTTTCTTTTTTACAGAGAATTTCCCCTGCTTTAAAAAAACTTTCACAGCGCACAGATAAATAGGCATGCAGAGAAAAGCCACTTGCTGGCTTGAAAAAAAAAAAAAATAAAATCTCAAATAGAATGTACCAAACTCACAATAACCCAAAACCACAAAATGTTTTGGGGGAATCCGTTGCGTTTCACTGGCCCTAATATTTCGAAACGCGCCAAATCCGCGAACCACTTCCCGAAGCAGTCACGTGGTAGAGCCGGGCAGCGAGGCTTCGGATGTCATCATTTTTGGCTCCTCCCCCAAATGAAGCGAGCCTCGACACGCGCTTCACAGAAACACCCCCTTCATTACTCGACACAGGCTTCGAAGCCTCGGCACATCTCGGAACATCACTAGTGTACTGTCGGCATAATTATAAAGCATTTTTATTGTCCAGGAACTAAGAAGTAATATTGCTGCTCTGTTCATACTAGTTGCTGCACTAAACTTTTTTTTTTTTTTTTGCAGACTTCTGCCCCCTGCTGGTGATCATGGCGACCGTGTCGTTTGAGGACTACTCTCTGTACAGTAACCTCTCTGATGACGAGCTTCTGCAGCTCGCCATAGAACGCAGTCTGGACGAATCCCACCAATCACAGGCCCCGCCCCCTCAGGAACCCCCGCCCCCTCAAGAGAGCCAGCCAGTCAGAACGTCTCGCACCAGGCAATACCAGAGTGCGCCTGCGGTCAGAAGGAACTCCAGCTCCCATAATCCTCCGGTGCAGGAGCACGCTCACTACAGCTCGCCCAACCCGCCCAGCGAAAAACCGCCGGACCCGTAAGACCAGTGTATTTTCTTTGATTTTACCGGAATATCAGAAAGGAGACTGGTAATGTCCCTCTGTCCATGCTCGTCTCCATGGAGATAATATTACTTTGCCTTGAATGTTCCACAGTATGGCATTAAACATATCCATTTTGCATTTCTATTCATTTAATGTGTTTATATTGCAAAAAATTTACCATGTGCAAGCTCACCTCTCCACAGATCTGACCTGTAACTTGGTTTGATGGTGTCGTCTGCTTGGATCAGTTTAACAAGGCCACACTGTGGAACATTCCAGCCAATGCAATGATATCTCTATGGCAACAGGGGCGGCGACAGGGGGGTCTTGATGGGGCACTAGCCTCCTCTAGAATACACCTCAAAATGTTCTATTCACATTTACGTCACAAACCACGAAGACATTTGGAAACAGGCGATGACAACTTCCAGTGTAGTTACTATTAAGAAGTTGCTGATACGATACATACCTCGATACAGTGCACTTTCGATTTGATACGATTCGATACGATATATTTCAAATCGATTCAATACGGTTCAATTAAAAAAATAAAGGTTAAATCATGGCTCTGATACTAAAAGTCTTTCACTTCTTGTGCAAAGTGAATATGAAACACAAACATTTTAATCATCAAAACAGTGAAAATAAATAAGTTACCTTGCTCTAAACAAGCAACAAAACTGTGCTGTAACAAAATTATGTAGTAAAATAATCCAAAAAATACTCTTGCCGGATACATCGGTATAGCAGCCCATGATATCAATACTGTATCATCACATTAAACAATACTATATATCAGTATGTCGATATTTTGATATTTTTGCACACTCCTAATAGTTCGTGACACTGGGCTCGCTGAACGACTGTGATCAAAGCCACTGAAGTAAATGTGATCAGCGGTAAAATAAAGACTGTATATTTATGTGCTGTTTGGAATCATCTTGAATTCGGTGCCCTCATCTTTTCGTTCGGAGATGTGCGTCAGTGGAGAATTTATGAAACTGAAGTATGGTTGTAATTGTTGATTAGCCGAACATAACGGAACGCTAAAATGACATGGAGATGAAGAAAACTTTTCTCATTTTTCTTAGATTTTGTTAGATGTACACTACCGGTCAAAAGTTTTAGAACACCCTCATTTTTCCAGTTATTTACTGCAATTAAAGTCATGCAAGAGCTTGAAATGGTACAAAGGTAAGAACTGAACAGACAGAGGTTTAAAAAAAAGATAAAAGACACAAAAACTACCTCAGAAAAAAAGAGCAAGATGGTAAATTTGAAAACATGGAGTGTCCAGCAGCACAGTGTCCAGACTTAAACCCCATGGAGCTGGTTTGGGAGGAACTGGACAGAAGAGTGAAGCAACCTACAAGTGCCACACATTTATGGGAACTTCTGCAACAGACTTGGGAAGAACTTTCTGAACAATATTTGATTTCTGTCGTAAAAAGAGCGAGCCACGAGTGTGTTCAGCTGTTATATCTGCCAAAGGTGGACACTTTCATGAATCAAAAGTTTAGAATACGTTTTGGTCAACAGTCAACGGTAAAAAAATGGAGTGTGGTGTTCTAAAACTTTTGATTGGTAGTGTACTTTTGCGAACAGAGCCCATCGGAACTCAAACACAACAGACTCCAGGCACCCCAAACAAGTAGAAAAAGTAAAAAATCGCACGAAGAAAAATATAGTTAAAAGGCCTTTATTTGAATGGCCAAATTCAACATGTTTCGACCTTAACTGGTCATCATCAGGGCTTAATTAAAACAGAGTATGGGCGTGGCCTTCAAGTAAAACACATCAACCAATAGGCGCGTTTCAACTGACGTCATTGTTATTAAAAGCCCGCGTTGCTGCTGGGAAATATTTTGGTCGGAGGCAAGAAACACGATAGCGTCAAACACAGTGCGTAACCTCACGTATTTATCCCCGATAATGGTAAATTCCTGCATTATCGGATGCACAAATAGAAGCACGGAAAAAAGAAAATGTCTTTCTCGTATTTTGAGTGAAAAGAACCACTAACGGTGAATTAAACGTCTTTCAAACATTCGCAGAGCAAACGTAGAAGATCCTAACAAACCGTGGACTCCAACAAGTTCAACAACACATCGAGACTCTTGGAGGTTTTCATCTTTTCTGCTGTGAATGGCCCAGGAGTTTCCACCAAGTCATTGTGGATATCGCCAAAGTGAATATTTGTCCAGGTAGTTGGCGATTCTGACCAGAAATTTGGTTTGGTCCACCTTTTGTCGGGGTTGAAAAGGGTGATTTGGCTCCGTCGATGCTTATGACCAATTTCTGGTCAAATGGTCTTGGGTCCTCTGCCGTTAGAGTGGATAAATAACCGGGATCAATACCCTTTACGTGCTTTCTCGCTCCGTCCGTCATGTTGAATTAGTGTTTCTTGCCGCCGACCAAAATAATTCCCAGCATGCAACGCGCGCTTTTGTCAACAATGAAACTCACCTATAGCAGGCTGGAGTCGATCCCGATCTCGAGCCCGTCTGAAGTTGTCATCGCATGTTTCCAAACGTCCTCCTGGTTTGTGAAAGCGTGAACAGTGCCCATAGCTCCTCCAAAGACTTTAAAATGAGGTGACAATAAAAAAAGTATCGCTTATTAAATTTATAAATCACTACAGGGGCTGAGTACATGTGAACTTGTTTACAACAGTGAAGCACACATGGTAAGGAGGTGGGGAGGGGGGCTCCATTGATAAAAGCCTCCGCATTTACACGTGTGCACCCACAATGAAGAACTCTGCACTTCCAAAAATGTCTGGCGCTGCCCCTGGATGACGACAAGGGAAGGCGAAGGGAAGTCCCTCCACCAGAAAAATCTCATCCTTAAGTTTCATGCTCCGATTTCTTCCACTAAACATGTGAAATTGGATAATGTGAGATCATTTGATTTTGTGACATTAAAAATTGGCTAGTGTCATAAAATACATTTAGCAGCGAGCTCCTTAAATGTTGTTTTCGAAAGGGCGTCTCTAGAGGAGCCAAAATGTGTAGAAATCCAAAGTAGTGAATCAAATAAACACTATAATAAGACAAATATAGGTATAAAGATTTATGATTTATGAGTTAATTCACTGTAACTGGACAGAGCAAAACTTAAATAATGCAAAGATTCTGGTATTTCTGAAGACATAATCGACACAAAAACACAAAAACAAATCATATCTAAAGTTAATTTCATATTGACACACATAAAAATAAAGTTTTTGTCACAATAGTTTAGACTTGCTCACAGTAGGAAGAGAATTAAACCTTTTTATCCCCATGGAGACCAAACCAGACCAAGTTACAGGTCAGATCTGTGGAGAGGCGACCCCGCTCACCTTCAGAATTCATGTTTTTCAGTTTTTCTAGGTATTTTTGAACCATAAAACCACCTGCAATTGAATAAATGTAAAGTAGAGCTGTTTAATGTCGCACTGTGGAACATTTCAGGCAGAGCAGTGACGTATCCATAGAAACAAATTAAACAGATAATGCACACCAAAGTTCTTGTAGAGGTATAAATGCAAGGAACAGCAAAATAAAAGTGAAAAAAACTGAGATGGTCGATGCCCAAAAGCTTTTTTATTATTTTTAAGTTACGTTTTGGCAAAAAAAAAGCATTAGATATTTTTCTTGTTTTGGACCACAGTGCACCGTGTCCATAGAAACAAGACGTGACAGACCCACAACCAAAAACTTACATACAGTAGTGCACCTTTAAATACATTTTTAAATATGTTTTTGCTTCAGTATCTGTACTTTTACTTAACAAAATGGAGTACTTCTTCGACCACTGTGGTTTTATCTCGGTAATAACCAACTGACCCAAGAAATACCAGAAGACGTATGTTTTATCCGTTAACACTTTGACTGTCATCAGACACTCTGGATTTCAGACATAGTAGCCTAGATATTTTTTATCTGAATTGGCTGCTCTGCTTGAGCCTGAGCTTGAGTCCACACGATTAAACTTTTATACCAATGAGACCAGAATGTTAAAAACTCACTGTGGAACTTTGGAGAAGGAGTGTCCACCACCTGCTTGTCTCCATGAAGATGTTATTGCTGTGTATGGCATTAAATCCACATGGAGACAAGAAAGTGACACTCTCAGGCCAGATTACAGGTCAGATCTGAGGAAAGGTGACGCCGCTTACGACATGTTTTGGCAATAAAAGCGTGTAGCTAAATAAAAGCAAGATAGATTAGTGTTAGTTCAATCCAAAAGTCACTGGAACATTCTAGGCCAGACAACCCTGGCCTAGAATCTCCTCCTCCGGTGAGCTGCCTTTACAAAACGCAAATGCCAGAGAGCTACTAGTTTTAGTGGTCAGAAGAAATCAAGCAAATATAAGAACCAAGGCAAGTCTTAGATGAGGTACAGTTAGATTATAAAATGTAAACCATTATTCATTTATTAGTGCACAAAGTTCGGCATCAAAATGATATATGTACAATGGTCAAAGTCTTTAAAATTTTGTGAAGAATCCCTCAGTCGTCCAGGTAGAATCCATGGCAAGGAGAAAATTCAGTTTGTCGACTGGACAAAAGTTAGTTTGGTTGAAGACGTTTCGCAGCTCATCCAAGCTGCTTCTTCAGTTCTGGTCAGACGCTGGTGGACACTTAATACCTCTGCACCTGTATCCAAGTCAGGTCCAGAGGTGAGGAAGCTCCAATATGGCTCTGAATTGTTATGCTAATTAGAGCCCACACCCAGTACAGGTCAATAGGCCGAACTAACAAACAGAAACTGTAAACAAGTAGGTGTGTTAGTTTCAGTGTAGTTAGCTGCTCCCTGTAGGAAGTGTTCACCAGCGTCTGACCAGAACTGAAGAAGCAGCTTGGATGAGCTGCGAAACGTCTTCAACCAAACTAACTTTGTCCAGTCGCCAAACTGAATTTTCTCCTCGCCATCTTTAAAATTGTACTTTTTCAGCACAATACTTGTAATTCAGAAATCCCTTGGCGAGCTACTAGGAAGGGGGTGGAGAACTACCGGTAGCTCCTGAGATACAGGTTGGAGACTCCTGTTCTAGGCAAAGCAATAACAATCTCCATGGAGACAAGCAGGTGGTGCATCCTCCACCAGGACGACAGGAGGATGGTAGGTGTTTATCCAACGATCAGTGGTTGGTGGTTCAAATCCCGCTCTTGTTTTACACACTCAAATCCACTGACTCACAGAGATTCGAGCTCTCCACAGATGAATGCTGTTGTTGTGTGTTGTGTCCTTGGGCAAGACACTTCGACCATCTCGCCCTTTGTCTGCATACACTGGTGTATGAGTGTGTGTGTGTGAGTGAATGGGTGAGTGGTTCCTTGATGTAAAATGATTTGAGCGCCTTGAAAGTGGAAAAGTGCTGTATAAAAATGTGACTGTTTACCAAAACACAGCCCTGTAAACATGCAAACTCCACACACACACTTGGTTTGGCAACTGTGAAACTATGACCTTCTTGCTGTGAGGCAGAAGTGCTAATTGTTGCTTTGATTTGGATTTTTAAGAGTTAAATTTATCAGAAAAAAACAAAGTGATAGAGGGACATAACCAGCCTTGTTTCTGGTGGACACTCCCACCAGAAAAATTACACAGTCTACCTTAAAAAACATACTACTCTTCCAAATATTATAATGAATTTCTGGCAATTTTAGTAAATTGCTGGTGTATTTCCTTGTCTCTCATCCAGGAAAACTTTTGATGGGACGATCAGTCGCTTCATGACTGGATCAGGGAAGAGGATGGTGGCTTATCGCAGGATGGACCAGAGCATAGCTTACATCGGCCCAGAGCCAGACGAGTAAACCCAGATAATAATAATAATAATAATCATACTCATAATCATACATTTTATTTATATAGCGCTTTTCTAAACACTCAAAGTCGCTTTTCTAAACATGATTGTGCTATTGACTTATTTTTACATACCCGGAGCTGTGTTTAGACTTCTTTTTGGGGGGTATATAGTAAAAAAAAACCCCACATAGATCATTATTTAAAAGTTTGTTTATGGCCATATTGCTCTAACACTGCTTAATAATAGAAACAGGTCCATTGGTGTACTGCACAACTGATGAGCATGTACGTATACTAACATGTGGGCAGAGATAGGGGGTAGGTGAAAAGTGAAGTTTTCTGAGTACTCAAGCCTCAAATTCAAGACAAATCAAGATTACTCAAAGATGCAACTAACTAAATACAAGCCTAAGTAAACTAATGATGAAGGAACAGTGTTCATAAAGGTTGATTTAACATCCATTTCCATCCATTTTCTTCCGCTTATCCAAGGTCAGGTCGTGGGGGCAACAGTCTGGGGCAACTTCCCTCTCCACACACACGTCCTCCAGCTCGTCCAGGGGATCCCGAGACGTTCCCAGGCCAGCCGAGAGACATAGTCCCTCCAGTGTGTCCTGGGTCTTCCCCGGGACCTCCTCCCGATGGGACGTGCCCGGAACACCTCCCGAGGGAGGCGCCCAGGAGGCATCCGGAACAGATGCCCGAGCCACCTCAACTGGCTCCTCTCAACGTGGAGGAGCAGCGGCTCTACTCCGAGCTCCTCCCGTGTGACTGAGCTCCTCACCCTATTTCTAAGGGAGCGCCCAGCCACCCTGCGGAGGAAACTCAATTCGAGCGCTTGTATCCGCGATCTTGTCCTTTCGGTCATTACCCAAAGCTCATGACCATAGGTGAGGGTAGGAACGTAGATTGACCGGTAAATCGAGAGCTTCGCCTTTCGACTCAGCTCTCTCTTCACCACAACGGTCCGATACAGCGATCGCATCACTGCCGACGCTGCACCGATCCGCCTGTCAATCTCACGCTCCATCCTCCCCTCACTCGTGAACAAGACCCCGAGATACTTGAACTCCTCCACTTGAGGCAAGGACTCTCCACCCACCTGGAGAGGGCAAGCCACCTTTTTCCGGTCGAGAACCATGGCCTCGGATTTGGAGGAGCTGATCTTCATCCCAGCCGCTTCACACTCGGCTGCAAACCGCCCCAGTGCATGTTGAAGGTCCTGGTTTGATGGAGCCATCAGCACAACATCATCTACGAACAGCAGAGATGAATCCTGTGGTCCCCAAACCGGACCCCCTCCGACCCCTGACTGCGCCTAGAAATTCTGTCCATAAACACAATGAACAGAACCGGTGACAAAGGGCAGCCCTGGCGGAGTCCAACATGCACTGGGAACAGGTCTGTCTTACTGCTGGCAATGCGAACACAGCTCCTGCTCTGGTCATACAGGGACCGGACAGCCCTTAGCAAAGGGCCCCGGACCCCATACTCCCAGAGCACCCCCCACAGGACACCACGAGGGACACGGTCGAATGCCTTCTCCAAGTCCACAAAGCACATGTGGACTGGTTGGACAAACTCCCATGAACCCTCGAGCACCCGATGGAGAGTGTAGAGCTGGTCCAGTGTTCCACGGCCAGGACGAAAACCACACTGCTCCTCCTGAATCCGAGGTTCGACTATCGGCTGGATTCTCCTCTCCAGTACCCTGGCATAGACCTTACCGGGAAGGCTGAGGAAGTGTGATTCCCCTGTAAATTGGAACACACCCTCCGGTCCCCCTTCTTATACAGAGGGACCACCACCCCGGTTTGCCAGTCCAGAGGTACTGTCCCCGACCGCCACGCGATGTTGCAGAGGCGTGTCAGCCAAGACAGCCCCACAACATCCAGAGACTTAAGGTACTCAGGACGGATCTCGTCCAACCCCGGAGCCTTGCCACCAAGGAGCTTGCCAACCACCTCAGTGACTTCAGGGGGGTGATGGATGAGTCCGCCTCTGAGTCTCCAGCCTCTGCTTCCTCCTCGGAAGACGTGACGGTGGGATTGAGGAGATCCTCAAAGTATTCCTTCCACCGCCGGACAACGTCCCCAGTCGAGGTCAGCAGCTTTCCCCCCGCACTGTAAACAGTGTTGGTGAAGAACTGCTTCCCCCTCCTGAGGCGCCGGACGGTTTGCCAGAATTTCTTTGAGGCCGTCCGATAGTCCTTCTCCATGGCCTCCCCGAACTCCTCCCAGCTCCGAGTTTTTGCCTCTGCGACCGCACGGGCTGCAGCACGCTTGGCCCGCCGGTACCCGTCAGCTGCCTCAGGAGTCCCATGAGCCAACAAGGCCCGATAGGACTCCTTCTTCAGCTTGACGGCATCCCTTACTTCCCTGTGTCCACCACCGGGTTCGGGGATTGCCGCCGCGACAGGCACCACAGACCTTACGCCCACAGCTACGAGCGGCCGCATTGACAATAGAGGCTGAGAACATAGCCCACTCGGACTCCATGTCCTCAGCCTCCCCCGGAATCCGGGAGAAGTCCTCCCGGAGGTGTGAGTTGAAGATCCCTCTGACAGAGGGCTCCGCCAGACGTTCCCAACAGACCCTCACAATACGCTTGGGCCTGCCAGGTCCCTCCGGCTTCCTCCTCTGCCAGCGGATCCAACTCACAACCAGGTGGTGATCAGTTGACAGCTCAGCCCCTCTCTTCACCCGAGTGTCCAAGACACGCGGAGGTCAGATGACACGACGACAAAGTGGATCATCAACCTCCGGCCTAGGGTGTCCTGGTGCCACGTGCACTTATGGACACCCTTGTGCTCGAACATGGTGTTTGTTATGGACAAACTGTGACTAGCACAGAAGTCCAATAACAAAACACCGCTCGGGTTCAGATAAGGGAGGCCGTTCCTCCCGATCACCCCTCTCCAAGTGTCACTGTCGTTGCCCACGTGGGCGTTGAAGTCCCCCAGTAGAACAATGGAGTCCCCAGTCGGTGCACTGTCCAGTACCCCTCCCAGGGACTCCAAGAAGGCCGGGTACTCAGCACTGCTGTTCGGCCCCTAGGCTGACACCACAGTGAGAGACCTGTCCCCGACCTGAAGGCGCAGGGACACGACCCTCTCGTTCACCGGGGTAAACTCCAATACGTGGCGGCTGAGCTGTGGGGCTATAAGCAAGCCCACACCAGCTCGCCGCCGCTCCCTGTGGGCAACGTCAGAGAAATGGAGGGTCCAACCCCCGTCAAGGAGTTGGGTACCAGAGCCCAAGCTGTGCATAGAAGTGAGCCCGACTAGATCTAGCCGGTATCTCTCAACCTCCCGCACAAGTTCGGGCTCCTCCCCCCCAGCGAGGTGACATTCCACGTCGCCACAGCCAGATGCTGTGTGTGCGGACCAGGCCGTCGGGACACCCGTCCCGACCGCCGCCCGGTCCTATATGCACCCGACCCCTATGAACCCCTCTGAGGGTGGTGAACCCACAGGAGGGTGGACCCACGTCGTCCTTTCGGGCTGAGCCCGGCCGGGCCCCGATTTAACAGGTCTTCTTTAATCTACTCGCAGTACCAAAACTAAAGTGTTAATAAATCTGAATTATGTACATTCACAGACTTTTAAATGTTGTTTTCTCAGTGAGGAGGAGCCCATATTCGAGGCGATCCGTCTGGGTAATGCTGCAAAGGTGAAGGCTCTGGCGCTTAAACCTGGCACAAACCTGATGCTGCCCAGTAGACCCGGCTGGCTGCCCATCCACCAGGCGGCGTGGTACGGGCAGACCGCCTGCCTCAATGCTCTCATCGCAGGTCAACCCTCGCTCCAAAATAAACTCATGTTCTTTTTTGATTTCAGTTTCAATTGCTCACTCACAGTTTTCAGAAGTTGCTGTAATGTCCAGTCTGCTGATTTAGATGTCCCGCAGTATGGCATTAAACGCATCTGTCTCCATAAGCACAAATATGTGAACCCCACGCCAAGTTACAGGTCAGATCTGTGAACAAGCAAGCCCACTCACACTACAAATGCTTTTCAAGGTATTTCTTAGTAATAAAAACACCTGTAGGGGAATCAATGCGATAATGAGATAAATTACTTTAATGCCATACTGTGGAACATTTTGGTCAAAGCCATAACATTTCCATGAGACAAATACGTTGGAGACCCTCCACCAGAAAATGTACACAGGTGTGTGAGAGAAGAAAGGCCCCCTCGTCCTGGTTTATAGTCCCATGGGCACGTGTCCATATTTCAGTTAGCTCCTTCATCCAGTGACGATGTTTGTTGTCCTCTGTCACATGATCGCTGTTGTCCTACCTCTACCAGCAGGAAAAGAGCACAAAAATATGCGTGAATCAGCTGACCAGACACGTAACAGCAACTTCTAAAGACTGAAGAGTGGAGAAAGAGCAGTTGAAACTGAAAAAATAACTTCTCTGGACTAAACTTGAGTTCTGTTGTGTCCTCTGCTTATGAGTTACTGAGGTGATCAAAATGGAAAACCCCAGGTCTTACCCTGGTCTAACTCTTCTTCTGTACAGTCCAGCCTGGGATGATAAACAAGCGTGCGTCCCGTGGAGAGACCCCCCTGCTGGTGGCTGTGCAGAGGGACAGTCTGGACTGTGCCCTGGTGTTACTGGACAACGGAGCTGATCCAGACACTATGAACTCAGACAAGGAAACACCGCTCTACAAAGGTACGGCTCAAAACACAGGGGTATGAGGATGTACTCGATTTGAATAAGACGGATTTTTCTAGTTAAACATGGGAGGGGCTGATGGTGCATATGGGCAGCCTTGCTTCTGTCAGTCTGCCCCAGGGCAGCTGTGGCTACAGATATATCTTGCCAACGTGTTTGGAGCGAATGAATAATGACAATGAGTGGTTTAAGATGCTTTGTCTCTGTAAATTGCAGTACAAGTGTGAGGCTTTATAATTATATAAAATTATTGTGCAGGATTGTAGAATGAGGCGCCATGGGGCACATGTTTAATTATAATTCTGTTCTGTGCTCAGTGTCTGACTAATTAATTGCTTTAATTAGAACTCATATAGAGTTAACCTGTTCTTCTGCTGCTCTCCTGCTTTTGTCCTTCAGCTTGTGAGCGCAATAACGCCGCCCTGGTGGCGACTCTGCTGAACCACGGGGCCGGGGTGAACCTGAACTGTATCCAGGGCTGGACGGCTCTGCAGGAGGCCGTGGTGAGGAACAGTGTGGAGATCTGTGAGATGCTGCTGTCGGCTGGAGCCAAAATCAACATCGCAAACATGTACGGCATCACGCCACTGTTCACCGCCGCCCAGACCGGGAGCATGGACACCCTGCGCTTCCTCATCAGACACGGTCTGTACTCGAGTACTTCCTCATAAAATCAGGCAGGAATCACTTAAGGAAACAGAAAGTTGTGATGACCAAGTCTGTGGGATGGGGATGACTGTCTATGTTGTATTTTCATAAGAAACATTCATACCTGACCCAGGCTTTTTATTTGTCTGGAGAATATGGTGATGTAATTTTAAACCCAGCAATGCATTTGTTTGATCAACTACAACAACTACATCTCTCTACTCATAATCATTGTCTCTCTTTGTTTTTCTTGTAATGAACAAAGATAATATAATACATTTCTCTTACATTCTCCCTGTGATTCTGTAGGCGCAGACATAAACACGCAGGCTTCAGATGGAAACACAGCTCTGTACGAAGCGGTGAAGAATCGTCATGAGGAAGTGGTGGAGCTGCTGCTGTCTCAGAACGCAGACGCCAATCGACCAGGACGCAACGGACTCCTGCCTCTGCACATCGCCGCACAGAACGGAAATGAGACGTATGATTCACACAGAGACTACACACATACATGCATACATACACACACACACACACACACACACACAAGTCTATAGGAACAGTATCAGAAAAGCGCTCCAGATGGTAAAAATGAACAATCTTGTAGAAGCAGATAAGTACAATTGCCCACACGCTTTCAATAACCCTGCGTATTTAGTCTTTTGGCTCAACAATTTATCAATTTATCAGGCCTAAATTAAGGCTAAAGTGAAACCAAATCAAGTTTATGCTGAAATTAAACCACTGATAAGGTACTACTAAATAATAAATAACCCAAAGGAGGACAAAAACATAAATAACTCATAAATCATAAATAAGTTATAAATTAAACAAACTGGAGAGGGCCCTGTGTGCACATGTCATTGGTACATGTATTGTTTGACCCTACAGCAGAGGTCAGAGTGTTTGTCCAACTGATGGTCGGCTGTTGAATTTCAGCACAGACCAGAGCACACTGTCCTTGGGCAAAACACAAGCTTGTAAATAACAGTACAAAGGACATAAGACGTTATAATTGCTGGTGACAGATACATGTGTCCACAGGATCGTCGCTCTGCTGATCCCAAAGACGAGTAAAGCCCGTGTGCGGCGCTGTGGCATCAGCCCTCTGCACCTGGCAGCCGAGAGGAACAGAGACGAGGTCCTGGAGATGCTCCTCCACGCTGGGTCTGAATACACACACTTTTCTATTTCACATTCATTCCTCAGTTGTTGATTAAATAATTTGCGCTGAATAGGCAAGTTTCAGCTGACGTCATTGTTATTAAAAGCTCGCGTTGCTGCTGGGAAATATTTGGGTCGGAGGCAAGAAACACGGTAGCAGTCAAACACAGTGAGTAACCTCGTGTATTTATCCCTGATAATGGTAAATTCCTGCTGCATTATCGGATGCACAAATAGAAGCACGGAAGAAGGAAAATGTCTTTTTCGTATTCTGAGTGAAAAGAACTGCTAACGGTGAATTAAACAGCTTTCAAACATTTGCAGAGCAAACGTAGAAGATCCTAACAAACCGTGGACTCCAACAAGTTCAACAACACATCGAGACTCTTGGAGGTTTTCATCTTTTCTGCTGTGAATGGCCCAGGAGTTTCCACCAAGTCATTGTGGATATCGCCAAAGTGAATATTTGTCCAGGTAGTTGGCGATTCTGACCAGAAATTTGGTTTGGTCCAGGCTTTGTCGGGGTTGAAAAGGGTGATTTGTCGTCCATCGATGCTTATGACCAATTTCTGGTCAAATGGTCTTGGGTCCTCTGCCGTTAGAGTGGATAAATAACCGGGATCAATACCCTTTACGTGTTTTCTAGCTCCGTCCGTCATGTTGAATTAGTGTTTCTTGCCGCCGACCAAAATAATTCCCAGCATGCAACGCACGCTTTTGTCAACAATGAAACTCGCCTATACCTTTTTAAAAAGTAAAATGTGTCTGTGGTGCTTAAACCAAACACAGAACTAGGTCATTTTAAACAGTTAGTGGTTGCAGTGGTCCAAAGTTATTCCTCACTTATATATTCAGCATCCTAAATATTCACTGTGATCAATAAATTTGCACTTTTCATCACTTTCAGAGGACAGTTTTTTTGCCTTTACAGTAAAGCTAAGCAGCAACTAGCATGCAAACCATGCACTTCCAGATGTTTAACAGTACAAAATCATCTTTTGTTGTAGTTCTAAATTTCTTTATGGTGAGATTATATTAAAACAATCTTAGATTAAAGTCTAACTTCAGAGCTGCAGACAGAGCAGTCCCTCTAGTTAGAAAAGTATCAATATTTATTTTCTTGTTTTCAGTTATGACCCAAACATGCAGCTGAGTGAGGAGCGGAGCACGCTGTACGAGGACCGCCGTCGTACTCCGTTGTACTTCAGCGTGGCCAATGTGAACGTGTTCGCCGTTCGCCTGCTCCTGTCCCACGGCGCCGCCACAAACCTGGACACGCTCCCACCGCTGATGGTGGCGGCGAGGCAGGGCGCCGTGCGGACCGTCACCCTCCTCCTGGAGAACGGCGCCGACGTGAACATGACCGTGCCCAGTCTGACCACCTCCTTCCCGCCCCTCATCATGTTCTGCTCCCAGGACCCTCCTCTGCTCAAACTGATGCTGGACCACGGGCTCAAGGCCGCGCCCTGCTTCACCTGCTCCTACGGCCACAAGGAGCACCCACCGCTCAGGAACCAATCAGAGGACAGGACACGGAGAATGGAGGTAACGAGGCATTCTGATGATTTATCTGTGAGTTTCAGAATGATGGAAAAATGAGGGCTGTCAAGAATATTCAATATTCAAAAATATAATACTAAAAACCGTCAAGGCGTCCAGTTTGCTTCCAAAGTCTATGTCCTGCGTCCTGCATTTTTGCAGCGCGTTGACTGAACCAGGTCTAAACCAGGACTGGACTAGGACTAAACTATGACTGGACCAGGACTAAACCAAGACTGGACCAGGGCTAAACCAGTGTCATTCATGTGTCTTTAGAGGAGTATAAATATAAACATGCTGCAGCCGAAGAGCCAATCTCCTCCGCTGATGGTTTTATGTAATAAATACACTAAAGTCTCTCTCAACCTGGTCTGCTATTGTTCCGGGAAAAGACCGGGACTTGTTTCCAGGGCAACGGACACCATGGACGCACGTCAAGTATTTTTCTCCCATTCGTCCACTCCGTTCAAGACGTGCATCGGGGGCGTCAAAACTCAAATATAAAAGCGTCCAACTAGAGGCGTTCACCGTGTTTTTTGACGCTCCAGTCTGAACGGACCTTAAAACTACTATTGATTGAGTGGTTGGACACTTGTGTAAACAAGTATCGATACTGAAGGAGCAGTTTCATCTTGAGTTTTATCTAAACGAGTTAAGAGCACATGGTAAAATAACAAATACTATTATTTTATATTGAAAACTGCAATACTGTCTAAAAAAAAGAGCTTTTTAAATGATCATTTGGGTATCAAAATCAGTTTTGAGTACTGAGTCAAAATTTTAACTGTGGTCATAGCGATTAAGCATCACATAGGGGGTGTTCGACATGCATCTCCATGGTGGAATGTTCAGCAGTTACCATGGAGACATAATGCACACATGAGCAAACACTGTCAAAAACGTTTTATGATCTGAAAACTGAAAAAAAAAACAAAAAAAAAACTTTTTCCTGTCAGTATGAAAATGTTACAGCTTTGCCTAGAATGTTCCACAGTATGGCATTACACTTATATATATTCATGGTGATAAGCAGGGAGAGCTACAAGGCCATGTCCAAGTCAGATCTGTGGAGAGGTGACACTGCTCACAGTAAGATTACATGTTTTTCAAGGTATTTTTGAGCAATAAAAAAGACTAAAACACTTAAGTAAATGCAAGATTGAAGTTTAAGTCTTTGCTGAGGAACAGTCTAGGTGAAACACATCATCTCCATAGAAACAAGCAACACCTTCACCAGAAAAGTTACACAGTGCTTTTTTAATGACAGTAAATTTGTCATTCACAGCTAATATCCCCATCTCTTATTTGATTGACAGTTCTGCGAGATGGTGTCGTCCCCCCAAGTGAGCAGGTGGGTGGGGCCGATCGTGGACCTCCTGTTGAACTACGTGGGTCATGTGACTCTGTGCTCCCGCCTCCTGGATCACTTGGACAGTTACTCAGAGTGGAGCAGCATCAAGGACAAAGCAGGTAACATTAGCCCCGATGTTGATACGAACGCTCCCATTTTAGCCGAAGAACAATGTCGAGCATGACGAAGGCCAGCGCTGTGTCCTCGAATCACACAAGTGTTTATGTCCTCGAATCACACAAGAGTTTACCATCACTCGTTCAGAGGAGGTTGTTTTAAATGGCATTCTTCTGTTTAAATGCTAATATGAGGTAAGGATTTATGCACAGATTAAAGGTCCTATATTAAGCAAAACTGTCTTTTGTGAGCTTCTAGCCTGGCAAAAATGCTGTCACCTCATCAAAAACATACCCAGTAGTGTTTTATTTCATTCACACATGTTTGAATAACTCTTTATTTTATTTATGTCTCTCTACATCTCCAAAACTCCATCACATGTTGTGGTAGTTTTCAGTTTAACAGCTCCTTTTACCTTTAGCTTTGTAGAGATTGTCAATTCCAGGTCTGAAATGATCTGTTTTTAAAGAAAAACTCCTGCACACCATCTCACTCTTGATTATTCTTTTATTAGTACGACGTTTCGGTTTGTCAGACCTTCCTCATGTATAGAGGTAGATATCTGAGGAGGGTCTGAGGGACTGAAATGTCATACTAATAAAAGAATAATCAAGAGTGAGACTGTGTGCCAGAGTTTTTCTTCAAAAACAGCTAAGTGCCTCTCCTCCAACACACCTGTCGCCTAGTCAGGTGTGCAGAGTCTACACAGAAACAAGGTCTGAAATTATCCAAATGATTCTAGTGAAAGTGTATGAGGTTTAAAAATACAGTGGAGCCATTCCTGAACTACCACATGACATCACAAGGTGGAGTATTTTCTGTTTGAGAGAAGAAGTCAGCCTAAATCTGCAGGATTTGTGTGTTAAACATGTGTGAATGAAACAAAATAAAACTCCAGGTCTGTTTGTGATGAGGAACTTTCAACTTTCAGTTTTATTATTGTCCCAAACGGAAATTATTGTGCAGCAGAGTCAGACAAACAGACATACAGTACAATTCAATAATACACTACACCACAGCTTAAGCTTAGCTCAACAATGCAGACATACATTCCCTTAAAATAAGGAAAAAAGAGCAGGTATGTAACTGCATTTCACCACGACTGCTCCTGAGCTATAAGAGAACATTCAACCTAGTTATGGCTTCAGAAATAAAGGAAGTCTGAGCTCTCTGAGTTCTGATCCAGGGCATTCTCAGACACCACCCAGAAGACAAGAGGTTAAACTCCTCAGAGAGCGGGTGGTCAGGGCTCTTCCATTATTTGTTGGGCCTTGCAAATCACCCTTCTGTTCTATAATTTTACGTGCCACTTTGACTAACCAAGCCAGACGATTTCTACTAGACATGGAGAGAGCACCGAACCAACAGACAATACAAAATACAAGAACAGATAAAAAAAACTGATGAAAAAGAGTAATAAAAACAGTCACTTTCCTTAAAGAGAACAGATTTTGCGGCACCTGGTTCTTGCCGATGTCATCAGTGTTCGATTCAAAGCAAAATGAACTGTCAATAATTGTCCCTAGATATTCATATTGAGACAAACTCAACTTCTTTTCCCTGAATTAGAGAATGAGAGGGTGAAGCATGTGTTTAGTCTTTGACATATTGATAGACAAATAAACACGTTCACACCATTCAATAAAATCATCCACCACAGGTCCATGACTACTCTCAATGTCTCTCAAGAAACTCACAATTACTGTATCGTCTGCAATATTTATAACATAGATCAGAAAATAAAGTAATACAGACGCTCTAATAAACCGTTGTACGTCTCTTTCTGTACAGTCCCCCCTCGGCCGCTCATGCATCTGTGTCGTCTGAGGATTCGCTCCCTGGTGTCCCAACGTCGGTTAAAGCGTCTGCCTCTGCCGCCTTCTCTGCTCCGCTTCGTCCAGCACGAGATCCTGGAGGAGCCAGACCCAGACGAGCTGGAGTATCCGGAATACAGCGACTTCACTCATCAGTTATACATTTAATGCTCCTACAAAACTGACTCTGGTGAGCTTTAGGCCAAACTAGAATGTGGTTACCTCCTCAAACACAGACCTGGAGTTGTGTTTTGTCTCATTCACACATTTTAGAGCAACATTTATTATTAGTCTGTCTACATCTCTAAAGGTCAAAATACACTAGTTTTCAGGTTAACAGCTTCATTTTACCTTTAGTTTAGTAGAGAATTTTAATTCCAGGGCTGAAATTGTCTAAATGATTCTAGTGAAGATACCAACTTGTCAAAACCTGATCCGGTCTGATCTCAGAAGTTAAACAAGGCCAGGCAGAGGTTGGGACTTGCAAGGCATGATTTGGACTTGAGTCAGACTTGAGTCACTATTTTTAGGACTTGAGACTTGATTTGATAAAACAGACCAAGACTTGGGACTCAACTTGGACTTGAAGCTCACTGACTTGAGACTTGACTTGGACTTGAGCTCTGTGACTTGAGAAGACATTTCTGTTCTGACCATAAATATTTCCACTAAGATCTTGACAAGACATTTAAAAAGGAAAAAAATCAGCATTTCTACAACTCTTATATCAATACTCAGATATAAATAAACCATGTCTTCTTTAGTACAGTTTAATTTAAAATTCATATAAATTGCAAAAATCTAAGCTATATTTGGTACTTTGGTTTGAGGACTTGAATTGACTTGAAGTTCAAAGCAGAGGACTTGGACTTGACTTGGACTTATGGGCCAGTGACTCGAGAGTCGACTTGGACTTGAGGTCAAAGACTTGAGACTTGCAAAACAAAGACTTGGTCCCACCTCTGCTGGTTAGTTCTTAGATGGGAGAGCGCCACATATGCCACAGTGGGGTGAAAAAGGTGAAAATTGCAAAAACCGTTGTTGTGTCCTTAAGCAAGACACTTCGCCCACATTGCCTTGTATGAAAGTGGTGTGTGCATGCGTGATGGTGGTGGTGATGAGTGAACGAATATGCCATGTGAATGCTGTAAAGTCTTGGAGTTTCCAGAAAAGCGCTACATTAAAACTGATCCTTTATTATGATTTAATATGGACAGTGTCGGGGAGTAACAGATTACATGTACTGGAGTTACGTAATCAGAGTACAAATTATGAGTAACTGTATTCAGTTACAGTTACTGTTTCAGTGAGTGATAATTGGATTACAGTTACTTTGTTGAAATAAATGGATTACACGGCGGGATTTTCCTGTTTTCACATTTGGGGCTATTATCCCCCCCCTTTTTTTTTCTTTTTTTTTTCTCGGTAATTACAGGATGATAGGTAACAGTTCAATGCAATTCTCCAGTGTGAAGTAATGATTTACAACCAAGAAGTAAAATTTTAAACGTAAAAAAAAGGAAAAACTGGGAAAAGATTTTTAGCAAAAAGTTAGTATCATAGAGGCTTTCCTTTTGTGGTGATTGTGATGACGACTGTGAAGATGTCGTACTCTCAGGTGGGGGCAAGAGATAACATTGCACTTTGCCATGAAATTATTTAAAGGGACAGTCCAGAATTTTGGACATAAGACCTCATTTCCTAGTGAGCCAGAGACGTGTGGAGACACTTTTTTAAATATTCCATCCAGTCCTTATATTTGCAGAGGTCGCTGGTGCTAGACTAGTGCATGTCAATGGCCATAGTTCTCCTGACACTAAAAACAGTCTTACCCACTCCACAAAACACCCGAAGAAAATCTATTATTACTCCAGACTGTCCATGTAAATGTCTGTGTTGATAGAATAATGTTTGAAATAAAACTAACCTTGCATCGAGTGAATCGTCACATGTTGAGGGACTATTTTCTCATAGATCAGTCCGCCGCTGCCGAGCTTTTTATCAGAAAGTACAACTCACTGCTGCTGCTCAGACAGAAATCCTTCAACTGCAAGTTTAGTTTTACTTCTAAACTTATTCTATTAACACAGACATTTACACCGACAGTCTGGTGTAATAATAGATTTTCTTCGGGTGTTTTGTGAAGTGGTGTCAACTTTTTCCCTGGAGGCGGCCTGAAAAGAGTCTTAAAGAGAGTCTAGGAGAGTTAAAGCAGTTCACAGACATGTCTCTTTATTGGCTCAAGCAGGTACAGGTCTCTGGTTCAGCCACAAGCATCTCTTCACGTCACCCCCCTTAGTACAGTAGAGCATTTAGCTTTATACTCGACCATCTTGTCAAAATATTGACTGACTGTATGACTTTTTTTTGCAGGAATTTCACAGTAATGTTGACCCAGACAGTGTTATCATGGATTGGCATATGTTAAAGGGTTCAGACCCTCCCCTTTTCTGTCTCGTATACATCACAAAGTCCATACAACATGTCCCAACCTCATTGACACTTCAAAGTTGTAGACACTGACCTCTCTTTATAACACATGTCAAGGGATATTGAGTAACTTCTATACTGCATGGTGAATTAAAATGAATGAAACATTAAAAACACAGAGAATAATTTCGACAGTGGATAAGACTGTTTTTAGTGTCAGGAGAACTATGACCATTGACATGCACTAGTCCAGCACCAGTGACTTCTGCAAATACAAGGACTGGATGGAATATTTAAAAAAGTGTCTCCACACGTCTCCAACACTCTGGCTCACTAGGAAATGAGGTCTTATGTCCAAAATTCCAGACTGTCTCTTCAAATTCACAAATGTTGAACCTGAATATTTTTTGCACTTACTGACGTTTTGCATCATGACAAAAATCTGCACTTTAACAATATTAATTTGAGCTGCCCCCATCTGTATTAAATAATATTGGTCTATCTTGTGATGTCATGTATGAAGTAAACATGTGAAAGCACTTTACTGCACAGCATGCGACAGCACAGTATTAGGACAGAAATAGAATGGTAAATTTAAATGTTTTTCTACTTTATTTCATGGCGATATGATTAATCATTACTTTGGGGACACTTTAAATTAGGGCTGTAGTTGACTAAAGAAATTCTTCTAAAAAAAAACCAAAACTTTTCCTGTATTAATTTTGTTGTAAGATCTGACTCTCTTTAGGTTTTTATACTTTTTGTACAAAGCGTTTTGCCTGTTGTAAATGTTTTTGTACTTTGTTACTTCTTCCAATGCACTTTGCCTGATGATAATAAAACTGTGGCTGGAGAATGGACGGCTCATTATTTGGCGGGAATTCAAACAAGACACGAAAGAATGTCTACAAAAGTACTTAAGAAAGGGAGAAAGAGACTTAGGCTACTTTCAGACTGCAGGGCTTAAAGGGGTAGTTTGGGTTTTTTGATCTGTATGGCATCCCCGTCAGCAGTGTCGTGCATCCACACTGACTTGCCCCCGACAGCGTCCGGTGAGCCAAGATCCTGGCCGGTTTTGGTGCTGACGAAAGTAGTCCCGCAAGTTGGCTGGGGATATTAAAATAAAGTGTTTTTCTTTGGCCGCGCGCAGTGATACGAACGGAGAGAAAATAGTGCCAAGCGATTATGAGGTCTGACTTTTTTGAGGACGAAGGTTTTGTGATGCAAATATATCACTCTTTTGAACACATATTGTTTTGAGAAGAAAAACGCTTTATTTTCGTGTCCCCAGCCAACTAGCCGGACTACTTTTGTCAGCACCAAAACCACGACACTGCTGACGGGGATGTCATACAGATTCATGTTAAAAAACCTGAACTATCCCTTTAACGCTCAATTCGGATTTTTTTGTGAAATCCAATTTTTTTTTGCGTGGACCTTCACATTTCCAATTAAAGGCGACTTGTATGTGATCTCCAGTGTGAACTTTAATTGCCTCAAAAGTGTCCCGCATGCTCACTGGAGGACACGATGACTTCACATGCAGCAAGTGCGCTCAGTGTTTACGGAACTCGCCTAAACGCTGGACTTGTCTCCCAAAATATGGTCCAGTTCTTGTAAAATGGATACGTTACATGTCCACGCCCACTTCGTTTGTTTGAGTCTTTATTCTCCTTGTATTTGGCTCTTTATTTTTTGTTGACATTGGAGCCAGGACCGTCTGTAGTCGCACTCAGACATTTCTATGGTAATCATTTCAAAAACCGCCCGGTTCCGATAAGACTCCTCCAATTTGGCCTGAATACAGCGATCCCCCAAAATATTAATAAACTCACTGAACTCGCTTTCTCTCCATTGAGCCTGACGTGTAGGTTGGATGAATGTGACCTGTCCGTTCAGACTGAAGTCGCATGTCAAAAGATCAGATATGTATTGGTTTTAGGAGCACATATCCAAGTGGCCTGGGTCACATTTGAAAAAATCTGATTTGGGTCACTTCAGGCTGCTGTCTGAAAGTAGCCTTAAACTTAGAAATACTTGAATGATTCAGAAGGAAATTCAAGTTTTGTAGAAACATTTACAGATCCTGTGTCAGGGCAGTTTGAGGAGAGGAAGAGCCCAAAGTGTCCCTCCTCTGTGTCCAGCAGCATCACAGCAGTGTCCGGGGGAACCAGGTGAACACAACAGGACTTACTTTCTGACGCTCTGCTGTTTCGGCTGGTAATGAAATAGTTCATTCTCTCAAAATGTTTCTTTTATAAGGTCTTGAAGTATTTCCTCTGGAACGGTCTTCTGCCATAGTTGCTGCCACATCTGTTGCATCTCAAATATCCACAGGTAGCTTTGATTTTATACAGTTTTTATTGTTTTAGGACTGTTTTAGGTCGCTCGATGTTCCTGATACTGCCTGATTTACAATCCATAATGTGGTTGTTCCTTTTACAGTGGTCTGATATGGCGGATTTTAGGTTTTCCTGTTCTGTTTTATCTTTTTGTGTTCTGGTGAGTCTCCCTGATGTTTCCTTTTCACGTTCAAACGCTGGATCAAGGAGGCCACTGAAATCAGGAAACGAGGCACAGACAGCATTAACCGCGATGACGGAGCTTTCCTTCTTTCACACACCTGGGACACCCTCCTCCAGAGAACACCGAGCGACGGGAGGCGTGGTCAGTCTGAGCGACCTGCAGGGTCCATCAGGCTGACCACGCCCACAGGAAGTAACAACAGCTGATATACG